AATCCGATGCTTTTGAGGGTCCTCCTGTTGCCATTCCGGCCAACACCCTGGCCAAGCGCCCCATTTATCACCCTCCCAGAAGCAATGTGTAATCAGCACCCATGCCCCCCGACTCTCTTTACCACCCCGAAGCACATTGCCAGCCGGGGGTTGAAGAACCAGGCATCGCCTCCCCTTCGACAAACCACATCCCTGAAATATTGCCTGGGGGTATGGGTGGCTGTGTCTCGTGTCTCGGTTAGGGATAGTGAAAAAAGTTGGCGAATGGTGATAGATAGAGAGGGTTAGAAAAACAGTTAACTGAGTCTCGGTTAATGGGTAATCAGAGGCTTTCAGCGTTTAGGTGCTCACTTTGACTTTTGGGGAGAGAAGCGGTAATAAAATTCAAGTTGAAGGGTGGGAAAGCCAGCCGGTGCCTGGAGATGTACGATACTTTAGCTCGATTTTGTATATTGTTTGTTAAACTGTTGAAAGATAAAGTAAATCTGGAGTTTTACCGACTAGAGGTTGACAACAATTCTAAATAGAGCCGTAAAGGCTCGGATAAATAGTTTTATTCGCCGCATACTATTTTAAAATGCTAAAATCCAATTTCCGACCATTAGAAACAACTCGTATATCAATAAAGCGTACAAAGTCACCGAGTTTTGTATTCTACATGCCTAATTTGTCATAAAAATCAACGGTAAGTTCTACAGGATACGGTAGCAATTCCGAACCAGGCTCTGCCCATATCTATCAAATTACAAACCGTTAGCTGAAAAGTGCCCCCATACCTCGTAACCAACACTAAATTACATTAGAAGCTCCAGACAACCACCCAACCCCCACCCCAGTAAGCGCCTCCTTTCACGGTCAACCCTCAATTTGGCACCACCATGCCCCCGGGCTATCCCCTAGAGAACTGGCAGCAGGGTACGGTGGGTGGGTGCATCAACTAGCGTCCCTCGATTCAATTCAGAAGCTAATCTGGGACGGCTCCGGACTATAGGGGGTGGCTAGACAAAGCCGCGGATGCGGATACGGTAGCCTTGTCCGAGGTGGGGTGTGTTGTGTGGGGATGGACAATGGGTGGACCGCCACAAATACGTAGACACAGAGAGACTACTCGATGGATGGTCGGTGTCAACATGGCCCATTATGTAAGCGAGCCGCCGACTATGGGGCCCGCGGGCGTGGATTGGGGGGTTGCGGATTGAGAAGCTTTAGGTGGGGGAAATCGGGTAGGCGTGGTTGGTTAAATTTAGATTTTATACCAGAGTTGCGAGACCGCTTCCGGCAAATGTTAATTTTTTAACAAGGGAGGGATATCTGTATTTTTGCAAAAGTTAAATATCGTAGCAAAAAATAGCGTTTTTATAAATCTGAGAAGGCGGCAGTGGTTTTTGGGTCGATAAATGCATCATGAAGTAGCAAACATACCCTAAACCCCACCAAAGCTTACCTTTAAGTAGCGTTGCGGTGCATGAAGTTATGCAATGTCAAATGGTGTCAAATTTTATTCTATATAGATATTTCACCCAAGAACTTTGAACTTTACCCACCCACACAACACTTTCCCAGAAAGCATCGCGGAAGCGACTTCACCTACCGTATCCCCTCCCCCTCGACACGACACCCCCTAGGGACCCAACCCCAACCATCCTCCCAGTGGCCCTCCAGGGGGCGCCAAATTGAAATTAGCCGTGAAATGAGGCGCCCAGCTCCAAACAACGCATCCCTCAGCTCCCTCAAAGTGGGCCCACCCCAACTCAATTGTCCCCGCAATTTCGGCGGGTCGTCTTGTTACGTTTTAGCTCGGACCACCCTCGACAACTTTTTCACCCGAAGGGGGTGGTAGTAAACTGGGGATATACGGCGAAAATTCGTTAGTAATCCTGAAACTTCCCGACAAGGCAATCACTCACTGCATCTTTTTGCCAGTTGCCCCCACACCGCAACGAGGTTGAGGTCCGGCCACGCACCACGCACTTTTTGCATTTCTCGACCATCCACCACGAACATTTGTCACAGTTTTAAAGAGGCGCCCGTCCCTCCTCCCTCAGTGCCCCCCGAAATGGGAAGCCGCGTGAATGTTGCCGATTCGTCTCTGTCGGAACGGCGACGGCCGCGTGCAGAAATTGCTTCTTTCTGTGGCTCTTTTTGGTTGCTACTCCTGTCCACACACCGTAATCAATTATCCGCCGGGTGGGCAGGAGAGCCGTGTCCGTCCTCGAATAGCGGACATCGTTTTCCTGCGGGGGGGGCTAACTTTCGCGGATTTGTGGGGAGGGAGGGGCGAGATGAGAAATTCACGGGGCTGGCTAAAAATAACTTTGGGATACGGTAGGTATGACTAAAAATATATCTAATTTAATCTCGTGAAGATGGGGAGCTAGGAGAGGTATTATACGGATGTGAGTTTTTTCATGAGGTGGCCAACTGAGACTTCTGAAAGCAAACGACTCGCATAAAAAAATTTAATACAATCATTTTTGTTTTTAACAAAGAAAGTCCCTAGATTTTTTATAAAATGCACATTTTCTGATCTAGAATAGTCGATCTCAAAGAATCTGACATGTGGACAGTAATTTTGAGGCCATTACGCACTTAATGCCATATCAAACATTCCTGAAAATTTCAGGCCAGGGAGCGGAAATTGCATGCAAATGCCGGCACACACAGAAGCTATTTTTTCCACGAACAGTAAGATAAACTCACATACCCGGAAATTTTCCAGAACCCGCCCGTAAAATGACACCCACCCCACTCAACAAGCCAAACCGTTTCCAACAAGTGCCATCCTGAAGCACCTGCCGCCTTTTGTGCCCTTCCCGGATGAGCAGAAATATTTGCTCGAACACCACTTGTCCCCTCCACCCACCAACCGAGAGGCGCTACCGTTTGAAGACATGTTGGATCAGGCAGAAACAGGGAGCAGTTCTTGTGAGAGTCGGTGTAGGACACGGTCTAGAGGAGGATCGGGTGGCAGAGACCCTAGCTGGGGCGGCGGATTAGACGATTTGCACAGTTAGAGGTCAAGGGGGACACCCGCTGTTGGCGCCGCCAGAAGTTGTCGCTGGTAGCACAAGTGGGGGATGTAGTATGGCAAGTTTAAGAGGGCCAAAAACGGTGGATGACGCAAAAAAAAAATTCAAAAAATATATAGCCCTTCCTTGGATGTAATAATTCCTTCATAAAAAGAGGCTGATCGAGATTCACAAGAACTTAAATTTAATGTCGAAAATAGCGAATCTTTAAAAATCTGATTTGTGTGCAGGCATCTCGAAACCTTTACGCACCCAATTCCGTAACTAACACCAGTTTAAATTTTTCCTCTATCGGGATACGACTGGAACGACCTAACGAAAGTTGCATCCAAAATGGCACATACAGACGCTTTTTTATCGAACTAAATTTAACAATTTCCCAAAAATAATTGATGTACCACATTCGTTTTATTGGTCCAACACACCCGCCAATTAATCTCCATTCCCCGCGCTACCAGATTTACGACTATAATCCACTTTATTAAGGTTGAAACCCCCACTGGCATACGGTCGCATTCATAAGCCGTCGAGGTGACAGTCCAGCCCACCCAATTATCCATTGTATAACCGAGGAAAATGGGGGAGCACGTGGATCGTGGAGAGGATACGGCTTACCGGCTCAAGGCGATCGCCATAAAGCAATAATACGGGTCAGCCTGGTAGATCAGGCCTGGGGCATGATTAGTTGAAACTGTAGACCTGGCTAGGGGATATGTTAGAATATATAAATCGGCAATGCAGATCAGTTAAGCTTTGCCTATTTAAAAAGTATCCTTTGTGGCAGTCTTTTCAAAATTTTTCCCAGCCACTTTCTCACGAGATATCTAGATACTGATATTGTCTAGATTATAATCTCATTGTCCCCCCTACACGCCTATTAACAACAAAAACAGCTGATTTTTAGGCGATATATAATCAGTCACGAGATATGATCGCTTGGATTGATTAACCCCCTCCCCCGGCCAATTTGTCCCCCCCCCCATCTACGGGGTGACAATCTGAAAAATGGCTAATCATTGCCCTGGAGTCGCAATGACGGATCTACCACCCAAAAATGGCTCGAACGGCCCACGAGCCGGTGATGGATCGAGACGATAATCAGTGCTTGTTTGTGCCACTGAATCCACATCCCAGAACACCGGCGTTCGCGCGCAACATTCGTTTTCCGGATGGATGGGAAGCGGGGGTTGGCATGAAAATAATTGGTTTACTTCAAAAGTACTTCTATTAAAAAATTTCCATGGGTATCCAGAAAAAGCTATGTTACCAGTCCCATGTCAGAAAAAATCAAAGATTTTGAAGCCGTACGGCTGTATTTCAGCACTGGTATCTAGCTAGCTGTCGGGCTAAATTCCGGCATTAGTTTTTCGAAAGTCTGTGTCACGCCTGCAGCGCACTAATGAAAAGCGCATCCGTTTCCCTACCCTCCAACATCGATTTTTTCCAGAAACTAAACCCTTATCGAATTTACGAAAAATCCATCCCTCTCCCAAGTGATAAGATCCGCCGGAAATTACCCAAATCATCACCCTGAAAAAAGTGTCCACAACTCGCCGACGAGAACGCGCCAATCCGAACGCGGAGCACTTTGAAGTGGACCGCCGTACGTTCCCGGCTCGGCGGCTCGCCCATCAAAGCCGCATTTTGCGCGCCGTAAACGCGGCCCGCTAATGAAGAGAATGGGGGTAAAAACCAACACTTGCCCCTGATTGAGACAACCGCCGTGCCATCATAAACCCTCTTCGAGAAGGAGAAGACCCCCTCTTGGGACCATTTTATGATCATTGCCTCGCAAGAAATCTACCCCCAACACTGCTCCATATGTACGAGGGGGTTTCGACGGTCCGGTAGGGAGGGGTCGACTGGGAATTGCAAAAAAAAATGCTTAATCGGCTCAAGAAAAATTTATTCGGCATGTACTTGTTGCATGCAAATTAGAAACACAGATGATTTTTAGAGCGGTTTGCTTCAGTTGTCGGCTTTAATTCGCCGTGCCTCCTCACCAATCTGGTTGCATTTCCCAGCCGGCGCTTGTTCCTAAAAATAGGCACCTTAAATTTGCAATGCTATTCGGCTTACATAAAACTTGTACATGCGGCTGTCTTTCGGGCATTGAAAGGTTTTATGGAAGGAGCTCATCAAGGACAACGGGGCATTAACCCTCAAGAAATTCCCAGAATGACTGTCATCGCTAAAAAGCTATTGATTATTATACTACTGCAATATTTTTTAATTTAGACTTGCTTACGGATCTCCCACGCGACGGCCAGGGATGCACCAAACGGCAGCCCATGAATAGAAGAAGAGCATTTCTCGAGTGAGGCGCGGCAGCTGTTTATATGGCACCAGCTGAAAGCCGATTTTTTTTGAGGCTACATGGAGCTCCATTAAAACTAGTGGAACCGCATAGGTAAAACTTGTGACGAATTGAAAAAGACATGCCTGAAGCAAACAAATTTACCTTCGCGGGCTGGGCATGTTGTTGAAGCAACTTGAACGAAGTTTGTAGTGCTTCAAAGTCAGGCAAATCTTCTCCCCAAGTCTGAGTCCCACTCAATGGCACGTTACTATGCTATATGGGGAAATTATGAGAGGCCTTGGCATACAGAGGGTGTCCCAAAAAAGCACCCGTCCGGCATTTCGCACATCGGATCGGTCCCATACTTGGCACAAGGGTGTATCAGACCCTAAATAACCACAATCCTCAGTTTGAGCCCGATCGCTACAGTAGTTTTCGAGTTATCGCCAAAATACTATTTTTTACGCAATTCTTAACAGTTTTTCGTCTATCTTTTGGACTTTGCATCGATTTGCATCGAATTCCGGACTGCAAATCCCTAATTTCGCTTAATATCACGGGTGACCTTAGGCTAAAAAAGATTGTTGAAATCAACGGTTATTTAATGAATTTGTATCAGGAAAAAATTCTTAGTTGTAAAGAAGGCCTGCCGCTTCATTTTCACTTCATATTCGAAGGGTCGATTCCGACGAAAACCTTATGAAAAACGGATAATAAAGTTTGTTTTTGTTGTATCTTGAAAAGTCCTGTAGCGATCGGGCTATAACTCAGGATTGTGGTTATTTAGGGTCTGATACGCCTCTGGGCCAATTTAGGGGCCGATTGGATGTAATACGGCGAAATGCTGGAGGGGTGCTTTTTTATGGGACACCCTGTATATACTACCTCGTCGGGAAGATAATTCGCTTCGACCCGCTTGATGTGATCAATGTAGCAATCCCTATTCTTGGCAATTTTTGGATCGTCGCTCATCTCCTCTTCGGCCGCGAAGACGGAATGGTAGATTTCATGGCCTGCCACCGAATATGTTGCCCCAAACTGTAAAAGCCGGCTTTTCATAATTCGAAACTGGCTACACATATCCAATTTGAGGACACAATTTTAATGCAATATAAATATAAAAATACCTTGACTGCTAGATCCGCTCGAAGCGTCACCAAGATGGTGGCGGCAAAATGCGCATACATATTGCTTTGTTCAAGATATTCCGAGTTAAAGTGGAGGCCTCCCTCCAGTAAACCAGCCCATTCCGGACTGATATCGCTGAGGTATGAATTGGTGTCAATGATGACTTCCAAAGCATCGTCTCGCGACCTAGGGTAAAATTCTGATTATGTTGATCCTGCAACCCATGAAATTTTGGACCAAAATGCATACATATTGTGCGCTGCTAAAGTATCGTAAATTCCGCTAATCTTTTTGTAGGCGTCCTCCAGAGGGTTCCAGTTATCGAGATTTGATAGAGTATTCACATGGCCTATTGTTTGGATCTTCTCTTCCAGGGCGCGTAGGTTTTCCTTTGACATCAAACTCCCGGATTTCTAGTAGCTTCTAGGAAACATCCATATAACCAAACCTGGACTTGATCCAAGACCGCGTCAACCACCGCCGAAATTGGGTGCTTTATTGCCGAAAGGTTTTTCTGTTCCTCGCCGGTCAGCTCCTTGCTGAGATATACACGCAGATCCCCTAGCAGACGAAGTCCTTCTATCTTGCGGAAGTGACCTGAATAAATAAACGCACAGAGGGAAGCCAACCCACTTGTCCACGCGTCTATTTTGGCGTCTTCGAACTGTTCCTCGAGTCGCTGCTTCATCATGAGCTTAAACCAGGCTACTCTGTTAAGAAAGCCGCACCTCCAATGCAGATGGTTCCCGCATATTTTGTATATATCTTATCACACCTTCCGGCAGGGGATTGGGCAGCGGAAAGGGGCCAGTTGCATTTAAGGGACAAACCTAAATGTAAAAAAAGTGGGCCGCTGTCTGAACGAAGAGAGGGTCCTAATCAAGATACTAAATTTCCTACGTGTTGATAAAAATTTTCGCAGGGATGCATGTTCCAGTCGATGTTTCTTTTAAGCATATCAGGAATCATGTCAGGGATATGGGGTACGGTAGATGATGGCTCGTCAATTCCCAGAGTCCCCACGGCACATTGGGAGAGGAAGATGCAGACAGTGGTGATTAGTGGTAACCTCATAATGGCAGATCATGATTTTTTTTGGAAGCGATGCTTTATATCTGGCAGCCCCAAGTTGAGATTTCTAAAGAATGCTTTCATTTTTGGAAATGCCAATCATCAAAATGAATAGATGGGCGCCAAAGCAGTTCTTTTGAAATGGACAGCCTGCTTTTCTATAGGCTTTGAGCATATAGACTGTTTAATAATAGACAGCTACAGTCAAGTTGGTTTTGCTACATATGTTATCGACGAAACATTATTTCAGCTTCTCGATCTCGCACGATCGACTCAATTCTACAACAGTTGTTCACAGTCTCGCGCAACCCTTTATCAACCTGTCATCAGGGGGCGTCGGCTCGTTGAAAGGACAAGGCTTCATCAGGTAGTTGTGTGATGAGGGTATCACTTGCTCGAATGGACCTGTTGCTTCACTTGATAGAGAGAAAGAAGGGGCAAGATCATAAATCTTTGTTGGGGCGCGAGGGGGCACCTGCAGCGCCACCGCTCGGTAACCCTTTGAAGCCTCGTATCAACCACCGTGTCGCTGTGGGTCGCTCACAATCATTACTACAGCTCTCTCTCACTCTCCCTCTCTCTCTCTCTCTCTCTCTCTCTCTCTCTCTCTCTCTCTCTTTCTCTCTCACCTGCGCCTCTAATACCCTCTAATGAACTTTATCGCTATGGTGCGACGAACATCGAAAATTAGCTAAGGGACCGGCTATAATGCTGGCCAGTCATTTACAAAGTTAATTAGCAAACCACGGCCCGGCCAAACATTCCCATACCCAATGTCGAGGGCCCGTAAAGGGTGATAGGCTGCCTGTAAATAGTTCTGTTCCTCACACGTTTTTCCGGGCCAGTAAGCGTGATAAGCGGATGCGACCGATCGGCCAACGCTTCTGGTGTCATGGAAATAATCACCAGAAAACTTTGATTCAGAATTGGGAACCACGAGTAAAAGTATCTAAAAATTCCGAGTGAAGTAAAGAAACAAATTGTATATTGACAAAATCCGCGCGATTTACAGCATTTTAATTGGTAAATGAAAATGGTAGCCTTAAAAATACATCAAAACCAAAGTTGAAATGGAAGTGCCTTGTCCGGTATTAACTAGCATAGTAAACGTCTTTCAGTGCCTGTTTTAGCAAAATTTAAGTTTTAAGAAGCTGTTCCCGACTGTTTACCGTCCATTGTTTGATTTCCCGGCATACATATAATAGTATTTATCACCGAGCCCGGCCCGAAATTAACGTTTTTATGACTTGACGGCAGCTACCAGCAGCCAAATTTGACACCCCATTGTAAAGACATAAAACCCCCCTAAAGGGGACAGCCGTCGAAGATAGCGCTTAGAATCTAGAGGTAGAGGAATGGCTTTGGAATTAATGCAGAAGGGGTTGGTGAAAAATGCATCGGAATTTCCCAAACTTTTAAGATCTGTCTAAGCAAAAAAAGAAATTACTGTTTCGTGAAGTAGCTCATTCAAACGAGCCTCTTTTTCTAGCACAGCAAGTAAGTTTAACGTACGTTTTTCCAGTAGCTACGTTTTTCCGGATATAACGTATGTTAAGGAAACTACAGTAAGCAAACATGCCAAAATCATGTGCCCCCAAAATAATATTGTGTGGCGCAACCCTCTTCATTGGGGCCCGGTATCAAGGCGTCCGTACGAAGCCACTTGAAGCGACACCGGCACCACCGAAATGGGTTAATCCACTCAACAAATAGTAAGCCGACTTTGGAGTTTGCCCCTTCACCACCAGCACCAACCGGACATGAGGATAGCCGTGGATTGCGCAAGCCGGGTTCACCTTCCTGGCGGTCCCCTTACTCAACACCCGTTTGGTAAATAAAACGGCTATCGGCTAACGGGATCAAGGTGCCAATTTTTGCACCTAGTCGTGAACCAGGGGGCGGGGGATGGGGGGTTTCGAAGAATTGCCTCTTCGAAAAGGTTTGGTTAAAAAAATCACCTATTCTAAAAGAGTGTTTTTTTGTACCATTTATCGAGGTGTACACATCAAAATTTTCGATCGAAGATTCAAAATTCGTATTTTTGAAAAAGATAGTTTTTGAAAATTTAAAGTTGAAACGAGCGTTTTACCAAAAGATGATTTTTATACAGACGACAAGCAGCCCCTGTTGCACAACCAAACACTGCATATATAGTGGAGTACAGGTACAACATATAGTTTATTATTATCATACAAGCTCTTTTACAAAAAACACAGATCATTCACTTGTTTCTTTGGTCGAATCGTCTTGCCCAGGCCCTGTTGTGAAAATCAATGGCTTTGAGGTACCCCTCATCTGACCGGATGTCCGTGGGATTAGCGCTCGCACCTGAAAAGAAATTCATTAAATCATGGCAGGATCATACTCTTATCCAATACTTAGAATTAGGCTCCAGAGTCGACCCATCAATGTTGATTAAAATCTAAAAATGAATATTTTTATAAAAGGACCATACTTTTCCGGTAACCAGATCCACGGTTGTTTTCATTCTGTCTTTCTTTGCGCTAATCCATATAGCATTTAGAATATCCTCGGTTTTAGAGAGCTCCACATGGTAATTCTAAGTTTTGGGCCGTTATGGGAGCTAATCAAAAAGTAGTACTTCTAATATTTTTGAGTGGTCCTGCGGATCGCGAACGGCGGTAAATGTGACGATCGCATCATTCCTTGCATTTAATTCGATACTTACATCCGTGGCGATAGGCAATTCTAAATCCCTGTTTTCTATTCTTTATTGTAAGAAGCTTATACCATTATGGGCAGTCTCAAATTCTACAACTTTGCTGCCGGGTCCTACAGCAATACTATTGACGGCGGCCACACGAGCGCGGTATACGGTTTTGGGCTTGAGACCCGCCTGGAAATCTGATTGTTTTGCATGAACCTCTGAATTTACATGAGAATCCAATTGATATTTCCGAACCGCCGGCCCGACGTCTATCGACTGCCAGTCTCTGAAAAGATAAGTTGTAAATATATACCTATTTTCTTACTCAAACTCAGCATTCACTGTCGTCGGATCTCTGGTGAAGAATATTTGAAAGCCCTAGGTAATTTTTAGGTTGAAACTACGATTTACATACCGTAATCGGCATCGTTGTATTGGGCTGTACCCAGGAAAGCACAGCAACATTTGCCTCATTCAAAGAGACAGCCACACGGTCCGGTGCCTTTTCAGGACCTAGTTCTCGGAATGAAAAGATCCATTCGATCTAACCTCCATTTGGTGTTTCAAATGATATTGGGTCCGATGCCATGCCCTTTCCAGCCGCATTTACGGCACGGATTCGTACCAGATATTTCAGAGATGGCTCGAGGTCAATGATCGGTATCCGGAAAGTTGTGTTTCTTAAACACTTGGCTCGCTTAATGGAAAATTCCATACTTGATATCAGCCTTCTTTTCGAAAAGTTTACAGCTCCCATCACCAGTGGCTTCATCTTGGCAAATTGATATCTCGTACTTCTACATTTAAGCTAATCGAAGCTTTCTTTTACTATGTTACCGTTAATGGAAGATTTTCGAAAAATGGTGGATCCCAGTAAGCACGATAATCTAACGCCCCAGCCTTCTTGATCTGGAAATTACGCGGGGCATCGCCAGGCTCTAAAAATCAGCCTAGATTAAATGGGGTAATTACTTTGGACATTGAATGTTAGGGAAGAAACATTTGATCCGGTCGGATTATTGGCGCGACAATAGAGATTCTAAAAACTTTAAACTTAAAAATAAAAAATAGTTAGGTACCTTTGAGCTTTGGATTATAAACGGTATTTCAGCGCTGAGGTAATCGCCATCAATTTTGCCCTTAATTGGGATCCAAACGTCTTGCTGCAATAATTTTAATGCTTTGGAAAAGCTACATTAGCATACCGCTATATCCGTTGAGTTTGCCGCATTTGTAATTGCATATTGAAGATGTGGTTGTGGGCGGCCGCGAGCACGACATTCCGCATAGTACAACTATCATAAAGTGATTCGTGTTAAAATTCAATAAATACCGTGTGTGGCTCCACAACATTTCCGCCTTCCCAATGGAGTTTCACAAATAACGGTGAACCTAAAAGGGTTGTTCCATCAAGGATCATCGCCATTGTCAAACCATCTCTTTGCGCCGCTAATGGCGATGAGATCAGCCCCGCACCAGCCGAGGATACGGCTTGTAATCTTATGAAGAATTCGCCACCTTCTGCATTCACCTAAGAATATGTAGATTTAAATAACTGAGACATAAATCTACTTTTGCGGTTGTTGTTTCTGCCGATAATTCCAGTTTCTGCCAATCGCTCAATGGAAGTTCACGATTTGTTGAGTAGTAGAGTACATAAGCCTGGAGCATTTAAATATTGCTGCTTTTCAACTTGTTCGAAAAATGTTCTGATGTCACATAGAATGAAAGCAATTTGGAAATTCTTTCTGCTAAATTTTGACATATGAGAATTTCGGTATTTTAATCTTTGCCCGGAAGAAAATTCGGTATTCTAATAGCAAGGCCTTCTTTTCGACAAAACCAACCAAAATCGCGCCATTTGGGTGATTCGGTGGATGCCATTCAATGATAAACCACCCTGGCTTCTCCGATTTGAGAGTGATCATGCTTGGCGGGCTTCCAGGCCCTCGGATATCAATATGGGAACTGGCTCTGGCTATTCCACCGCCGGCACCAGTCGCTACGCAAGTAACTTGGTCAGATCGGGTCCTGAATTTATTAATAGTAAACCGCTTTAAAAATGATCTAATAGTTACCTGGCTTTAGCCGATATCGTCGATGTTCCTTCAATATCTCCAAGTACCGTATTGATCGTATAAAAGGAATGGTCGACCGGTAGCTGGACCCCATTGACCAACCAGGCTAAATTACCCTATTTCGAAACGTCAAAACCTCATTTACTAATATTAATTGGTGGTGGATCGTGTGCAGTGCATGATAAAGAAATGGGTAAAGTCGGGTCAGGATCGAAAATCAAATAATCTCCTTCTTGGATGCTGATTGACGGGATACGGGCTGAAGGATAAAAATTGTAAGTCTAAAATTTCGTGCTTATACCTGGGATTGGGACTCGTAAAGTGTATTGAGCTGAAGTATGATTATATTTGTTTCTGAGTTGTAGGGCATAAGTAGCATTAGAATGAAGGCTGACCTAAAAACACAATAAAGCTCTAAATGAAAAAGGGCAGATTACCCGAATTTGGTCCATCTCCTGTACAGTTTGTTCGGTTTGCCGCCATTCCGCTGCTGTTTTATTATTGATTATCGGTTTGTAATAGAGAAGTAAGGGCTGAAGAAAATCTAACTTGTTTAAAAAAATTTTCTTACCTCTGGAAGCCGAGAATTTGTGGAATATTTCAATCCAACCGTCCCATTTTCAAGGAATGTATGTCCAGTGATAGAAATTATTCGTTCTAAAATTAGTTTGAACCTAGCTGCTAAAACTTATACTTAAGGTGATAATTAATGTCTAACAACCCACCATTCGGATTTTCTCGAGCTCCTAGGAAAACTAATGGAGTTGTCGGCCCTTCGGCTTGATTTAAATAAATAGTCGCTTTGAATTGAAGCACAAATGATTCTACGGCAAATGAAGCAATTGAAGGGTAGCTGAAAGCTTATAAAATTCAGCTTTCCGCTTGAATACGACATACCCATATGGATCAAGTAGATAAGAATAACGTTCTTTATGGGTCAATGCTTCCACCGCTTCCCATTCCGCGGAATCATCGTTTCGCGAATCAGGCACTTTAGAAAAGAAGATTTTATAGCCCTAAATCCATGCGGTTTTTTTGTAAAGTTCGAGCTTACTGTAATGGAATGATTATTTGGAGATTCCCAATTAATTACCAACGAAACTGTCCCGTTCTCGTTTTTCTTCGCTTGGAGCGTAAAATTGGCAGACGCGTCGTTAGTAACTAAAAATCGTATTAGCAAAATCATGTTGAATAAGCCAACTCTGTGTATGCAAGCCAGGCACGCTAAAGAGTAGGGCTATACAGAAGAAAACGGCCATTCATAGAAGTCTTCTAACATTCGGATTCGTACACGCCGTCGCTAAGCTAAAAAATGGTATTTGGTGAATGTTGGAGGTTTTGGCAAGATAGGAATTGACAAGAGGGCGTTGCTGAGAAATGTTGAAAAATGAGAATGTGGTGAGCATTGAAGAATATTTTGTTTTAGGAGGCGATCGAGGGAGGAATGTGAAAGGATCTGAGATAAAGCATCATGACTTTAGAAACGACAAGGTAGAGACAGTTACAATAGATTGATTAATAAAAATACAAACTTCGCACCCTATCTTTGCTTACTATTAAAATATGTGTGATAAACAATTCTCTACTATATAAACCGGAACGCTAAAAAAATTGTCATCTATAGCTAGTTAATTTAAATCGGTATATTAAAAAAGCTAAAACCAAACAACCAAAGTTTTTCTCATCCCGTGAAACCCCTCTCAACGTTTTTTTTTTGTTTTAAGTAATAAGCCGAAACGCAAAAAACTATCGCGGAATATGACTAGATAAGGCTTTGAATAGGTCTATTCACCAACTACAAACCCATTTAAGCCTATTTTGTCACCCTTCAATCACCAAAAGCCTCAGCATAACAAGTGTCAACATTATTAAACTATCCCGTCAAGCCCTGCGAGAGACCTTTCGAGATATGGAACAGTGTTCGGGAGTCCCCCTAGGTCGACCACTGGGTGCTTCTCGTTCAAAGCTTTTGCCTCGTGAGACCCGGATCGAATATCCTCGCCTATATCCCCCTCACCCCCTGTTTCCAACCGATCATGAGGTTCCCCGACCGGGCCACGTGAATTCAGTCCTCACTTCTTCAGCCTCTAACCTAAAAACTTATGCAACTCAGTGCCCCCAACTGTCACTCGAGTCGTCGACCCGGATCGGTTGACAGCACAAACAGCACATGAAAGTACGGATGAATACATATACACAAAGTATCAGAGGAAAGGTAAAAGAGAGTTTGCTCGTTAGAGGTTTTTGAATTGGAAGTTTATTTAACTTTGAAAAGTTGATGTCAGTTTTGATTCATGATAATTATACTACATTTCGACAGGAAATGTAGTATAAATACGATTTCGAGACAGAAAATTCCAAAAGGCGAATTATGAAAGACAATCAATTCAGAACAACCCTGGTCCGACAATATAATTATATGCATAATTATATTATTAATCATACGCACATAAGACAAACATATGCCCGGAAATACCTCCATTCCCAAGCTGCTGCGTTTTTCTGTAGAGCGACCCTCCGGCGCCCGTTGAGATGGATGAGTCAACGGTTTACATTTTTCTGCTCGTCTGCCCTACGCGTTAGCATTTCCCGTCCAGCAGTCTGCGTCCCAAAGCCTAGAAGGGGCGAATAAGTATTTGGTTTGAATAATTGCATCCCTCTCTAACACTCTCTCTCTCTCTCTCTCTCTCTCTCTCTCTCGCTCTTGCGCGGTCTCTCTCTCACTCTCGTTGTTGTTTTCTGTCGTTTTCTGTCGTTTTATATCTTTGCCCTGTTCTTCCGAGAAGAATATTTTTTGTATGGGAAAATTGTTTTATCCGAATATTTGGCAGAATTTACAATGGAAATGCAGATCAACAGGATAACCGGTAGGGGAGGACTCGGATCAGTGAATCGTCGATGTGTAGATGTTATTTCTATTTTGTTGAGGGTTAAATTGTGTAATGGATAAATATGGACATGTGGTTTGGCAATGGAGGTTGTGGCTAGCTTATAGTTGTCTTCTCTGCATGGCTCGTCGGCCCATCTCCATGAAATCCCGCAGTTTGGCCATGTTTAGACGGCCGGCAAGTCCACGTGGGGGCCGGATACCAGGGGGGACCGTTGTCTTTATCGACGAACGATGGCTGAAAATTTTTCGGTGCTTTTGCACTATTGGGGGGGGGGGGAGGAGCCATCATCGCTTCCTTAAAGCGTAAACCGTAAAAATTCTGAATTTAGGACAAAAAAAGACAAATCTAAATTTTTTTACAGCTAATCTTAAAATGTTTTCGAAATTTTGGAAATTTTCTATGGTATCCAGATAGTATTTTTTATTACAAGGCTATTTAGATTTGCACAATTTTCTCGAACTTCTAGTAAAAACTCCTCCTCCCCCGATAATACGAAAACACCGTTTTTAGTTAACTCTAATTTATTAAACAGCTCCAAAAATCAAACCCCACCTTGTTAAACCTGGCGGGCGGTACAGGACCCATTCGTGCTAAAATATTTTCATTTAGAAAAGATAATCATCCCGATATTTCCCTAGCTCGATGTGGGATGGACACCGAGCGGAACGCTTTTTTCGACGGTTAGCCCGCGTCACCATATCAACATCTAGCCTAGCATCCACTGATAAGCCTTTCATTTGCCCAAACCAGTTTTTCGCGCCCTTTTTCAGGATGGGTCGCAATGGCAAAAAGGCTGAACTTCAGCGAATGGCCAAATTGATATCACCACTCCTTGCTTTCCGGCTGATCAGAAATCTACGGCGAACTAGATAGCAGGGAGTAACTTGTTATCAAGCCCGTATTTGGCGAGCCTGATGCTCGTACCTGGCATGCGTCGCGCCATTGGAGGTGCCCTAAATGGTGATGGATAGGGGGTAATTACTGTAGGTCAAACCTTCTCGACATGCCTCGGGTTATTGGCTCGACAAATTGGAGGAGCATGGCAAAGACGAGAAGGGTGGCGATCAGCTTCATCATCCAAGAATTTGCACGACTAAATAACAACATTTTTAGAAGGATGGAATTAACGTCATTGTATGAACGATAAAGCATGAATAACACAAGTATACATAAAAATAGCGTTTGTGTGGGATTTCTATAAAATCTCCGTTTAATTAAAGGTATATTTTAGCCCTTGTTCGGATCGAAATGGTCTTAATTAGATCAATTTACGCATTTTAAATTTTTAGAAAAGTGACATTTTAGGTATTAAAATTAAGTTTTTATCAAAATCACGTTTACCCTCCTACCATTAAGCCTTATACAACTTCCGCTTGCAATTAAACTTATATTTTCTCTTACTACCCCCTTTAATTGTCCTTTTAAGTGCTTGTTTGCATGACTTCCCCGTTACGAAATAGTGCAAAACATCCCTCTCCCACCAAAACTCCTGGATCTCCGCGCCACGGCCAATTTCTCTCAAATTGCATAAGAAACGCCCCGGATTCGTTCCTCATACGACAAAAGTGAAAAGCCACGCATGATTGCCCGTGTACTCTCATTGCTCTCAACATAGCAAACCGGCGTGAAAATATGCCAATTTGAGGAGCAGAAGAATGAGAGAAAACGCGGGATCATATGCACCTGATCGAATAGATCAAGTAGAGGAACGGCTGTGGATTCGGTCGGTTATGGTTTATAAGGGGCGGTGTTTTGGAGGAATGGGAAAGGCTCGGGCCTTCAATCGTATTAACGGTTTATATTCTGCTATGGTGGGTGGCGATTTTTCATCCGGGAGCTCAGGATTTAGAGAATGCAAAAAAGGGGGTTGCAGGCTCAAGGTCAAGAAGAGTACAAGTGCAAATTTGGAAGCGTGGGGATAGTGAATAAAATGGAGGTGGATGGATGGCCAAGGATCGCAAGGGTTTTGACGTTCGCGAAAAATTAAAGATCGAAAATCGCGTGAAAATTTCGGAGTTCTAAAGTCGACATTTTAAAAATTTTCGGATTGTTTCTGATATTGAGGTTTTTGGCGAGAACATGGTTAAAAAGCTATAGCAAAAACCATAATAACACTTGCTTAACAAGTTTTTGATAAATAACCAGAGAATAAGGTATCAAATAGTTTACCCCGATTTAAGATTTCCTATAGAACTTTGAATTTAGCGATGAGCTTTATCTAAAATTTTTATCAAAATCCCGACCTACATTCAAGGAGCCCACTTATTAGAAATTATAATTAGGAGCGGAACGCCTGAACTTGGAACGGACTATAGAATGTGACTCTTCCCCCAATAAATGATTCGAGAGAGCGGGAATGGTGTCTATCCGTGTATCTATGTAGATGTGCGGTGTATCCGAACGGAATGCCAAGTGTCTCGAATATATGGACCCACCCCACTGGATTTTGAGAGGGGAGATGGGATGGCAAGAGCCGGTGGTCTAGAGCTGTTTAGTGCTTGCGCAAAAAGCGAGTGCCAAAACGGGGCGACAGCCATTTTTAGGGATGGGGATAGGCCAGAACGGTTTTTTGGGGGTGGCCGGCCAGGATCCATGGGGCGGATATATCCCTCATCCTGAGAGCCGCCTCCTTACTTTTACCCTTGCTACTCTCCCGCCCCATCCCAATTGGCCTGCTCTTGCCCGGGTTTTTTTTATTGAAGGCCGCCTGGAACGCATGGCGTGTACGGTGGTTGGCCGAGTGGACTGAAAATACAGCTTGAACCTCTGGGAAATATCCTATTTTGTGTATTCGGGTGATGGTGCGCGAGATTAGGGGCTAATCGTCATTTTGAGAGGGAGCTGTGTTTTTTTTTTTGAGGGAAACTGTTACCTATCAATGGTTTTTGGTGGAAAATTGAGGATATCGTGCACCATGAACAGTGTCAAAAGTAAGGGCTTGGCATCCATTAACATTTATTGGAAAAATCCATTAAAAGCACGCTCAGAAAGCGAGGGGTATGCACCTACAAATATCTGCTTCTATCTTTTTCCAGAAGTCTCTCTGCGTAAATAGTTGTATACGCACAGGTGCTCAAATCGCCACTTTCAACTAGTGTCATCACAATTAGACTAGCACTTAATATTTTTTGCGCATTTTAAACGTCTGATTATACATACGTAACTCTCATTCGAAAATAGTTACTAATCCAATTACTTCCAAATGACCCTGCAAATTCTACCTTCACGCTTCACCAACCCCGTGCCCTCCCACAACCATCACTTTTTCTCTTCCCTTTTTCACCTATTTACGTCCTACTTCCTGCCCCAAAAACCGTAAATTTTTTTGGTGGCAGCTACTACTTCCTCGACGCCACAATCGGCCACAAATTCGTGCCAGGGTCATTCCCGGGGCTCCCAAAGTGATTTGTCAAAATACCCGAACGCACGATGGGCCGGATAGCCTTCCAAAGTTCCACGCCATTGGCAAACATCTTATATGTAAATAATAAAGAAAATTTGGCTGGTATGTTCAGGCGGCGTCCGTCAGGTTCCCCGGAGGAACTGGCCTCTGGGGAAGAATTTTAGGACGCGTTGCATACGCCATTAGGTGCGTAATGGGCCGAGATGTTTGTCATAACTAATTTTTTGGACATCACGCGGTTTGGATATTAAATTTAAGATTTAAAAAATACCGGCAGCTATTTTACGACCCCGAGTATTTTCTATAAATATCATTTTTTTGTGCGCTTCGCGCTTGTAGCCAGCCGAAAATCACATGACCATCTTTTTCTAAAGCATTCCATTCCGATCAAATCATGGTCTATGCCTTGAACTTGACGAAAGCCCGTATCTATCTAGTTGTTGATCCGTAAAAAGAGAATCCAGCATTTTGCCATCCAAAAATGTCAGCCAAGTGCCATGTCGAAGGCCAGATCTTAATCTTAATACACTTTTCTCTCCCGCCACACCTAGGCGATGCTAGGATCTAGCAGCTATTTGAAACAAGTGTTCACGGATTGGCTTGGAATTTTGGAGTTGCTTTGGGTGGCGATATATGTGTAGAAAATTTTTACTAAGAACAAGTTTATCATTGCAACGATTTGAGCCCTGAGCGAGGTGGGGGTGAAATCCATCAAAACTCCTTCAACAGGGACGCCGACACCATTCAATCTTCCGCTTCTTTCGGTTTCGCATCAAACCAATCTAAAAAAAGTCTTCAAAAAAATACTTTCGAATACCTGGCAAGAATCAAATACTTTGCAGCACACGTCCATCGGACAGGTGAGTCGTTTCAGTGCGCTCTTCAATTTGTCGACGTTCATTTTATCTGAAAGTTATGATCGGGTTTATCGAGGTATTGATATTACTCTTTCGTGTTGCGGCTGTGGCAGTGGAAAGTAATTGGGTGGTGGTAGATGTAGTGGTGAAGTCAGGAGCGTCTGTGCTTTTCGCATATCCGCCTCGGTCCATCATTGTGAAGGGTTCAACCTCGTCAAGATCGGAGCCTGTTAGTTTAGGTTAGATTCTGATATATAATTTTTTGCAAACCTGGTGGTACTTTGCATGGCCTGCTTTCTAATCCACAATCTTGCGTCTTATCAGCACAATCACGACGTCTAAAATACACAAATCTATAAAATAAATATAACATAAAATATATAAATAAAATAAAATATAAATATATAAATAAATACACAAAATAATTAGCAAGTTAGAATTTAAAAACTGGTTGGGGATCCGCTGAAAGACCTACCGATGCTGTACCCCATCTTCACATACACTCCATTCCGTCGTTGTTTCCTCAGCAGTCACCAATCCAGAGTTTATCGGATCTGAATAGATTTTCAATAATTTTACAAGAATCACTGCATACCAATTTTTAGTGTATTAGCACCAAAGGCCTTTGCTTTCCTTGAAACACCCTTTTTGCATGCGACCTCGAAATAGTCAACAATATCTGTGTTTTCTTCGGCAAAGAGATCAGCCTAAAAATTGATTGAGGGAGTTTCAGGGGATTTCCATACCTGGCTGTGCCGGTCTTCCGAATTTAGGATACAGTTTAGTTGGTTTTCCTGAACATTCGATTGCTTGATTTGCATGAAAACAGCCCACCTCAAAGTAATACATCCCGCTGCTACAATTGAAACCATAAAGTGCAAATGAATTTAAGCAATTGTGGAAACAGTCCTCAAACGTGGTGGCATCATTTACTCAAAATTAAATATAGATTCAAACTCGGCATTACAATACCTGATTCAGCAAATCCTACTAAAATCATTTGTGGAAATCGGGCAAAGACCTTTGGGCAATTTCTAAAACTTGCTGTCTCATCGAATACATACAAACTTACTCCGCCAGTTCTCCGTCTATGCAAATCTTTTCGTAATATTCGGAATTAGATTTTTGTTTGAGTTGACCACCACCAAGCGGAACAGCTGCCTGAAATAACCAAGAATAAAAAAATAATAATAATGGAGCTTTAAAGGCATAAAAGTAAGTTGATTTGACCTCGACGGTTAAAGCACATTGCCCATCAGAAAAATCAAAGGATTTGCAGTCCATCGGCTGTGAGTTGACCTTAATTTGAATATACGGTCGTTGGTTTATGGTATTACCTCATTATTAGTACACGCTTCAACACATTCTTCCACATCGTTCACAGCAATGGTAATATCGTCATTTTTGAACAGTTCAAATCCGCCAGTTCGAAGGAATCTGGGGTAATGTATGAATATAGCCGTCAGGCAAAAAAGTGATACCTTGTCGCTTTTCCGGCCGGACATGACTCTTTGGTAATGCTGCGCTCAATCGGAGTGCTCGGAGGGGTAGCTTATAAATATAATTCTCTACATAAATCTTAATATAACCTACATGCAGCATCGGTGGTTGTATAGTCTTCCTCAGAAAAGAATGTAGTTTCAGATGCTGTGGGCTAAAAATGGAAATTGAATATCCTGAAGTCAAAATCCATTACCTCTGTGCTAATAGTAATTTCTTCAGGGGTTGTCTGAGCTGGAACAGGACCATAGCTTGATGAATATCCACCGTAGGTGGACGTTGAGGAAAAGCTAATTTCTGTAGCGCGATTTTTTAATCAATACCTGGTTGGACTACTGCTTGGATCATCTTTAAAGCCATCCAACTCATTTCCGGTAGTTGATTCGGAGCCTGGAAAATAGTATTTTACATTTTTTTAGAAAACCAGCTACCTCCAAAATCGTCGGTTGCTGATGACACGTCGTCTGGCAAGGTGGTTGAAATGCTTTCTGTTGGGATTGGAACGTCACACTATAAGAAACCAAATAGTAAAATCCATTCTAGTTTTTACCTCGACAGCACCGGTTGGTTCATAGTAATCTCGCGTTTGGAATTTTTGAAGTCTAAACCAGGCTATTTTATGGTGGTATAAAAGTTACCTAGCGGGCGCTTGATCACCGACATGGGCGAAGAGGTCACAGATCTGAATTGGGAAAAACCATTTACAAAATAATAAATCTAACTAACTTTATTAACATTGTCAAATACAAAAGATCGGCAATTATAGACTCCAAGCTGTGACTCCAAACAATGCTTTTTGCAGATGGAAATCGCTGTCGAAGATCTTCAAAAAATATTTTAAGCCAAAAATTTAAGCTACCGTCTCTCATATGGTTGAGCATTGACAATGATCGCATTTCCATATTTACGGAAGCACGGGTCACCTGTGAAAAACCTAAATTATTCAACAAAAAAAATTACTTGTGTCAGGTGCTCCAGTCACAGCTGCCCGAGTGCTTGAGCTGGCATCTTTGCTAACTCGACCTTTGGTAAACTAAAAACTTTATTTTTGGAATTTCTATCTTGGTTTCTACCTTTTCCGGTTTATATGGACTTGGGGGTAATCCATAGCTGCTTCCAGCATTTCCATACTAAAAACCCTTTTTTTGGAACTTCAAATTTAATTACCGCATTCGACGGCGGTTGATACGGCTGTCTAATCTTCTCGCCACTCAGCCGATTTCTCCCACTTTTAAAGCCTTTAAAATAGTGATTGTCGCCGGCTCTTCCGTTCCATTTCGGTCGTTTCACACTAAACGGATGTCTGCAACAACACGGCCATTCGTCCCTACACATTCTCCTCCCCACTCGTATCTTCATCGTTTTCCGGCCAGCTCGAGTTTTCGGCGAGACTGAATAAGTGGGGGTTTGGTTTGGATGAACAGGCATGAAGGCGGCAAACCTGTCGGTTAAGGATTCATCTGCATCATCGTGATAAATTTGTCTCGCAAAAATTAGTCCTGGCGGGAATAGGAGTAGGAATATGAATTTCATATTCTGGGCTTCGGGTTTTCAGGGTACGACTTTATTTCTGAAATTTGTAAAACCTTATGGAAGCCCGAGAAGATGTCCCAAAAATGGCCCCACCCCCTAGTGGTCCGGCAGAATTTACACCATCGAAGATTCTCCAAAGCGAAAATGATAGTTAAATCACAAGATTCGGACACTTCTACAGACCTCAAGACGGGGATACTTTTTTGGGGCACCATTTAGTACAGAAAACTTAAAGAAAAACAATTAAAAATAGATGTTTTCATGCAGAAAATGGACGACCCCCAAAAAATGCAGCTACTTTCCTGTCGGGGGGATACGTGGGTGTAGCATCCCCCCGAGGTGCATATTTGGGCGACTGAAGCCGACCGGTCTGACCGGGTTGAAAAGGTGTCCAATGGACAGCCACACAACGCCACAATTAGAAGAAGAGGATCGTAGGCAAGACGATTATGACCACCACGATTCTACATCGACATGCCAATTTTTGCTGTGGGCTAACCTCCCGAGGGCAGAGCAGAGAGGGGGTTTCTCGGTGTTCGTTTTGGTGAGGTTGCTAACCGATTCTAATCGAACGCTCAAATTTCTTGACCAAATGGCGTGATACACTCATTATTAAATAAAGTATATTGCCTATTATTATCATATAAGACTACTGGATTAGCTTACGATTTTGAGCCATTCAAATTATTAAGGAAACCAGTGGAAAAAGCCCGCTTCGCGGCCCTTTTCCACTGGACCCCGTCCAGGAACGATGAATTCCAACACCTTCTTTTTTGCCTGAGGCGCAAGAACTTGAGTCAAGGAGCCATTCTCTGGCCTGCGGCGCCAGAGCCTTGGCCAAGGATCTTTTCTTTGGCCTGCGGCGCTAGAGCGAGAGCCAGGCCTAAACCTCGCGCTAGAACCTTTTTGCCTGCGGCGCTAGTTACGGGTTTTTCTCCAAGATTTGGCCTGCGGCGCAAGAGCCTAGATCAAGGAACCATCATTGGCCTGCGGCGTGAGAGCCTGGACCAAGGACCTGTTCTTTGGCCTGCGGCGCTAGAGCGAGGGTCAGGCCTAAACCTCGTATACCGAGAGCCTAGAAATGTCAAGTTGCTGAACTACCAAAAAGCAAAAAATTCAATTGACCCAGGAACCGAACTCACGACCATGCGCGTGGTAGACCGGGCACAAATCCACTACACCATGGGTCAGAGGGGAAGAGGCGGCGTGAAAGCCCTCTTTTGTTCCGGGGAATGCGGGCAGGGGAAGGCAAAGAAAGGGCGACCCAATGATCCCGGAGTGAGGCCTACTCGTCCCATTACAAAATTCGATTTTTGAGTTTGAATATGCGGGAAATTTGTAAAGATAATAAGATGCGCGTGATGCCCAATATCGAATACATAAGTTGTCCAAATTTCAGCCTGAAATTCCATCTGGGTCTCGAGTTATGGCCCGGACACCACCGCACTTCGGCCATTTTGTTAAGGAATTTTTAGAAAAATGCTCATAAAAACTTTATTTTACAAAATCTGGCAAAACGCAAAATTATATATCAGGAGAATTCTATTTCCAATCCGCCCTCCAAAAATTAAAGCTGAATTCCATTTGGATCGCGAGATATCCTCTGTACAAACCTTTTTTCGACCAAAATGTTAAGGGTTTTTCACTATTTTGCTTGTAAGATCGTTAAATGAAGGAATTTCGAAAAAACAAAAAAATGCTTATAAAGAAGATGTGCTTCTCCACCTCCATGCCAAAAATCAGTCGGGAATTCGGCCTGACGGCCGAGAAATCGTCTGCACAGAAAACACACATACTTTTCTCGCTTATAGGATAGGACCAGCACCCAAAACCCGCTTCGCGGGCCTTGGGCGCTGGAATGCGGCCTATCCATGAAAAGTTTGACTTTCTGATAGCTCGGGTTCTGCGGACCCCCCCCGCCCCGACCACACGCGCGAGTGCAACTGGCCAGAATGAGAAAGTTTGTATTTTTTCGCATTATGCAGATTAGCATTCAGGTACCCCCAACAATCAATAAAACCGCCTTTAACTTTGTAAACTTGTATTTTATCAAAATTCTGACAACGTCATCGGAAACAGAAGGGTCGATTCCCCCGGGTGACGGAGAATTAGGGCATTTTATGCACGGGAAGGCCCTCAAATCGGGCCTCGAAAGTGACATCCGCACACACACACACATACGCGCCAAAATTATATAAGGTAGGATCAGAGATGCGTGGATATAGGTGAGATATACTATATAAAGTCCCAAAAAGTATCATGGAACAATCCTTGAAAATTAGGAGAGATAGAACAAAAGGTATAATTGAAAACGATAGCTGCCTTATTATAGGCATTCAGGCGAACAAAGCGTTTTCAAACTCCCAAAATTAATAGAAAATTAAGCTCGCGTTAAACGATAAATTACAAAAATTATGTGCCTCAAAACGACATGGTATGGACCTCGGAAACTCTCGGAGGAAGAATTGGATTGGCCTGGTGCTGAGTCTGAGCCACAGAGCCGCCGGGAGGTCAATTATAAGTCGAGATGGGGGGCGAAGGAGGATGCATAGATCCCAATTCTTTTCAACCTTCCTATGGAAGCCCTACCACACACGGTCATCTTTCCACCAGCAACCATGAAAAGGGCACGCACCTGGCTTATGGCCAAATGGGGTTGAAAGTTCTAAAATTTCTCAAAATAAGGTTTTAAATTAAAAGAATATAAAAGTCGGCATGAATCCGCATCGCCGCATCGCACCGCTGCGTGATAGGCCCTCTCCCCTCTCCCTCTTCCATCCTCCCATGTGGTCTAGTGGTTAGGATTCGTGGTTTTCACCCACGCGGCCCGGGTTCGATTCCCGGCATGGGAAGTACTTTTTGCTTTTTGGGAATTCTGTAGTATCCGTTATCGAGAATCTAGAACGACGTTCGATTTGACATTTTAGTTTTTGCTAGGATTTTTCAGGAAGGCTTTTAAACATAGTAAGTATATGCAGCGCAGATCATGTCGCGTGGTACTGCCGATCAAAATAGGCGCCTTGGGGGAAAGCCGTGGGGGCAGGTGCTTAAGCGAGAAGCTTGTGGCGGATTGTGAACTGGTCAGTCCATTATCCACACGGGCTCCATTTCTTTCGCCACACATTATGCGCCAGGGATAATCTTGAGGCTGGGTGTGATCAAGGAGTTATAGGAGACAGGCGAGATCCCGTCCAAAACCCGGGCGTTCCGTTCGAATTGAGGCTAAATAATCTTAGAAAATATAGAAAAAAGAATATAAGACATCAAAAACTTTATTATCCGGCCTATGGTTGAGCATTAATATCAGTTGGGTTTAAGGTTTCAGCGTGGGGTTGGAAGAACCGTTCGAACCAGACGAGGAGCACGAAGAAAACAGTCGTCAATGAGCAGAAGAAAGTGAGGAGCAGCCGATCCAATACATTAGCCAAGTACTCCCATTCCAAAGCGCATCTGAAATTTATTATTGCCTGTGTGTTAGGGGATTAAGATTCAAAGGTATCGGAAGGTGACTCACCTTCGCATCATTTTCTGCTTCTTTATTTGCCTCGCATTCGCCGCAGAAGCACGGAATATACTACGCTCCCGTTCCTTTTGCCGCATATGTACTGTGTACTGGCGTGTGATGGAGGCCATACGCCTGAAAATTGATTCAAGGAATAGCTAATAAAATTCTTTAGAATATACCTTTCATATTCGAGCCCAGGTACATCACTGACTTCTGATGAAATTGACTGAAAGAGCGCGTGTGCTCGGCCGGGTAATTCCTAAATAAGTATTTACATTTACGCTTAGTGTTATGCGGCTGATATTTAGTATCATAATGTGAGTGAATTAAAAAATTCCAAATTCTAGAAAAACACCAATCACTTTTTGTTTATCCTTCATTTCCTTCACCATTTTCAGCAAATCCTCTGGTTTGATCTCCTTGAAAGAATAACATCGGTTGGTTTTTTAATTTTGGACAGTCGAGCGCCTCGCTAGCCAGGAATTTTACACAGCGGCTATCATTTCTCAGGGTCTGTATAGCTATCGAGGGAAAAGGGGAAGGGTCCTACTGATGTTTTTGTACGGAGATTGCTAGGAGAGATAGTCGACGGTCCGCGGTGGTTCAAATGCTTCTCCCCACCCCCAGTTCCATCACATTCCCTCAAAATTGTCAGCTCTGGTAACTAGCGCTCATCGTCTTATTCTAATGTATTAAGAACTACGTTATAATCCTAATGGCTTCAAAATGCTACTCCCATTCCCGAAACAGCAATTTCCGTCTGGGTACGCATCGTCATGGTTGAAAGTTGTTACGATACAACCAAGACGTGCCGACCCGAACGGAAGTCGTTGTCAGCCCCTGTGATTCTTAGAGTGTTAATAAAACGGTATTATGCTAAAAATTTGACCCGTGTCCGAGTCAGTCTCAAGATTTTCACTGTCCGTGGACGCCGAATCTGATTTTGGGCAGATGCGGTTCGATGGGCAGTACGAATCTGTGATTGCAAATGAATGCTGCCGGAAAAGGACAAAATTATGTAATTCCGAAAGTAGTCGCATTTCAAAACGCCAAAATTGCAGAGTATAAAAAACACGAAGTAGATTACCGAAATTGGATCGAGTTTCTCAACCAACAGTGGATCCATATCGGCCATTGGAAGCCGTTCGGCATCCACAATCCCAAACTCGGTCCAAAGTTCGATAAGACTTGTTGGTGGCTGACATTTTTAACCATTAAAAATTAAATCTTGCGTCTCCACCTCTAATATCAAAGCCGATACCACACGGTTATGAACTAATCTTCTAATTTTTCTTGATAACGGCCGTAGATAGTGCTTTTGCCCGTGAATAGCTGAAATCAAATACATAATCGCTCAAAAGCACAAAAAACCTTACCGAGAACAATCGTAGCCATTAACGTGCCAATAACAATCACAAAGATTATTCCCATATAATACCAGCCTAAATCGGCATTAGAGAACTTCCGATAATTTTACTCATTAATGGAACATAGGTTGATGTTGAGGGCATTTGATTGCATACCATCAACATCATAATAGACATTGTAAGAAGAGTATTGATACCTAGATTTACCTTTTCTTTTTATTCTCGAAAAATACCCAAGTATAGCTTCTCATCTCTTTCGCTTGACGAAGAGGTTGGGGTGAAAAAGCCGGTGACAGCCACTAAGGTTATGATTGAGGTCGGGATCACCTAAAATAGGTTACAGTTAATAAGAAATTGAATTTCTACCAAATTAACAATGTAGTACAACGGTTTACGCCGAATAACAAGATGGGCGTGGAGCATTACGTAGGAATCTGGACAGCACGCGTACGTTTTCTAAACCGTCGTGGTTGTTATTTACCAAATTTTTTGAACGTACCACAAAACGTTGGAATTTAAAACTGATAACGTCCCATTCTTCATTTCTCGTTAGGCTCCCCAAGTTAATCTCCCTTGAATGATTTTTAATGTATATCCTGTTAATTTACTCGACTTCTGGCCAATAGTCGATTGTTCGATTGTCTCGTGTCCAGGAACTAATGATGAAAGTACAATTTTGAACGTCGTAAGGGAAGAGTCGGACCTGAAATTAACTGGTAAACCTTAAAAATGATAAAAAATACGTTTCTGTATAGCAACTCCACTTACATCCATTTTACATGTTAATCGATAGATAGCCGGAAACATAAGTTGTATAAAAGCTCCTCTCGAATCATTTCTCCAATACCCGGTTTCTATCGAGGCATGGGATAAAGATTCAGTCTTCTTTTGCTCCAGTGTTTCACTAAAAAAGGCATACATTTAAATTTGAGGTCACCTGTTGTAAAGGTACGTATCCGGAATCCATATATTATGATGTGGGACAATTGTCCGATTCAAGCCACCATAATCTCTCGGATTCCAATCCAAAAACTCGTCGTACCATTTCTTAAGTAATACAATTTAATAAAAGTTTCAAGTCCACCTGCACCATCCAAACATTAACAATAATTGATTGTGAATGTTCATCCTGAAAGAATTCTTGAGAAAACGTGAAAGTTTTCCTTACCACATCCAAAATTTGATACAAACTCATGCTGACGTTAATGCGTGTATTGTAGAGGTGATCTCTCTAACATAGGAAAAAGTAGTTAATAAATTTTTTTAGATTTACCCTCGGATGAACCGTTTTCTCATAGTAATCTGGATCCAGTAGATCATTGACCAATCTACGTTGTAAATTCACTACATTAAATGCATTTAGACGATCCATTTGACGCCATCTTTCCTGAATTCAGAATAATTTGAAAATTCTTGTCGTTTTTCTCTTGTTTTCCTGCTTTTTCTCACCTGCGTATTCAAATCATAACGCAAATTCTCCTCGGCGTCGGTCTCGTTATCTAAAGGACCGTCGTTTGGATTCAACCGTCTATTTGCTAACACCAGATTTTTAGCTTTGCTAGCACAATATTTATTTAGTTGGTTGCCCATGTCGGGTCAAGAGGTCAGTCGCAGCTGGTTGATGGCAGTCGGGCTGAGTCATAGCCTCCGGGCAGATCCCATCCATGCCATCAACAACCGGATCTGAACCCCCTCGATCCGCCTGATACGTCGATTCTCTTGTCTTTCTCTTCTTATTTCGTTGTGGTTCCCTTTTTCCAGTTTTTAGTGGAGCGCGATTTCCAAAATCCTATTTTTGCAGAAATATCCCCACAATTTTTAAGATATTCAAAAATCAATTTAATACAATTTTTAGATGAAAACTTCTATATTCATCGCTTTACCCTTGTTCTTTACAACCACCACTGCCTATTTCCTAACGTCAAATCGTATAGACGCGGAACGGGATCGCTTTGTAACCGTCCAAGAATATTACAATCAAATAAAATGCACAAAGGGATGTGAACAAAGCGTAGGTTTTAACAATTCCGATTTCTACAAAACTTTAGTGCTATAATTTCATGGCCTATCGCTGGGATGAAATGTCGGCAAACTGCTATGAATGCATTGGGAATTGCTCGGCCAAGCTGGCGCCAACTACACTATCTTTTAAAACGCGTAAAAATACAAATTAATTTTTAATCACAAAATAAAGCTTCAATGCTATTGGACGCATCGGTGTGTTGCCCTTCCTATGATACGTATCATGCTACCGTAGCGGTGAAGTGAGTTAAGGCACGTAACCTTAAACTTCATGAATTTCTAGGTTTGAAGTTGCCAATCAGCATATATTAAAAGAATCCTATGTCGTATGGGAGTACAGAATGTCGAGAGGGATTGACGACTTTGCACCATCGCCTTGGATGACAATTTTGGTATGTAAACGGGTATCAAGTTCATTTTCTTTTTAGCAAACCCGGGCTAGCCAAGCTACCATCGAGGGCTTACTAAAAGAAATCTCCTATCAATTCCGTGCAAATCTTATTGACGGTATCAACCCGGCTGAGCGACTTCTTACAAATTGGATTGATATTGAGGACCCGCCAATGCCTTATTTTGGAGAACTGGTGGGTTTATAACAGCTGCATTGTCCCTTTAATTATTCAATAACGGGATTTAGCCCTCATTTCCAATCCGTGCCATGCCACCACTACGGCCCCCAACAGTCAAGACACCTTCGACGAAATCGACTACAACCACTACTACCACCCAAACCACTACTACGACGGCTACTACCATTAAGAAAATTGAACCTAGCACTACTATTAAGCCGATTACTACGACTACAACTACCACCAAGTCCCCAACTACCACTACAAAGGTACAATCCCACACCATATGATCAAAATTTCAGGTCCACCCTCCCCAAAATGCAACCGAAAAACCCGTTGCCCTCCCCAAAAAGCCGTTAAAGCTCGAGATCCAATCGATCAAAAAAGTCGACCCCCAACTTGGATTATTCAGGAAATTATAATGATGCAATAAACATATCATCTCTATGACGGAAATCTCACCTGATTTTCGCTTCTCCATAAAATCTTCCCTATCCTTATCCATGGCCGGTGTAAGGGTTGGTGGTGCTTTGGTCATGATTTTCCAAATTCCCTGGTTATATGTGGATTGTGAGATCTGAATTTCATTTTTAAATTGATTGTAAGGAGGACCAACCTCAATAAGTTTCCCGCGTTTTTCGAAACCCGTGGTTTGGTGTGAAAGTGCAAAGAAAAAATATAGCAACATGGCAGTGGTGGAGGAGGAGCTGGAATACAGAAAAACCATTATAGTGTTATAAGATTAGAACTGTACAAATATGAATAGGGAACGGGTTGGGTGGACAGTGGCCAGCCGAACGTTGATAATTGGGAGCGGGCTGTCGGGAAGAGGGAAGAAGCCTCGGGGTAATGAACGAAATGAGGCTTTTGGAGCAGGCCCTTTGGACACTGGGCAATTTCCGTTCGTTGGTTGGCCACTTGGGATGATCACTTTTGAGGGGAGAGAATCGTCATTTACTACAACAACTAGGAACTGGTAGCTATTGAGAAGAAAGAATTGATGAAACTTTTAATTCTGGCCAAACAATGGATTCAAAGAAGAAAATTATACGGTATTTCCTCAAATATAGGCTTCCTTCTATTAAGGGCGTACATATCTACGAAAGTAAAAATTTTTAAAACCGTGTTTTGAATTCAAAAAAATTTGGAGAATAGTTTTTTGTATGTTTTCCCGTGATGTGCGTAGTTTTTAACCAGTTAAATTGGAAGAAATAGATATAATGGATTGTAAGCTATCAATTATCTCCGAACTTTGGGGTTTCGCCTATGGAGTTTTTTTAAATAAGTATAATTCTAAAAGACATAGTTAAATTTTTAAAAATAATAGATAGTCCTCTAATAAGATCCCACGTCTTGTTGATAGAAAAAAGGAAGGAGCAAATAATAAAGCGAGGCGGAATTACTTTATTAAGGCCCAGGCTATAAAATAGTGGAAAGTATTATTGAGGAACTACAAACCCAATAGATTGACCTCTACCATTTGCATAAAACATTTCCGATAACTCGCCCAGACTTCCCCCAAAATCGCTCGAACGATTCGGGGCGGCTAGTGGGCCCTCACTCGGCCGATTCGACGTCGGTTGGCCCCAGGGGTGAATAATTCAGTGCTTTCCCATTTACCTTCACCAACCGGACTATGGGGTGGGCTGGAGGGGCTATATTTTTTGTTCAAATGTGGCCGGCGTGCAGAGGGGTTGAACGGTGTGTAGCAGAACGCAAGAAAGAAAGGCAAGGATATCCGGTGGTGCCTATTAGTTAGAATATGCCACTTAAATCAATATCCGATTTTTGTCAATACAAAAATTACAGAAAATACGAGACATCTGAATTGTATTGAAGAACCATTGAAGTGTCCAAATAGTCAGGAGACCATATAAAAATCAAGTTAACACCGTATCTTTTTTTATCCATTCCTCCACACTTAAAATTAATTTTTCAAACAGGCAAAACAGGTTTCAAACTGTTTATAGAATGTTCACGCTTCGAAAGTATTTTCAAAAAAACTGGGGTATTTTTCGAGAGCCATCGAAGGCACGAAAAAGTAATTAGGAAACCACCTAATAGATAGAAAGCGCGCTAACATCTATATAATAATCCAACGCCCCACTGCCTGAAATTAATATCCAGAACACCAAAAAAAACATTGTTATTCGGTTGCTGACAAAGAGTTTTCTGAGGGCGCCCGATAGGCTTGAAGGGGCCAGCTAGTCCTCGGGGAGGCCGTGTCTTCCGCTCCGACGCCCATTTCCTTAGGGCCCAAAGGGTGGGCGAGGGCCCCGAAAACGTCGACTAGACCTCGGCTCTGGTCATGGCCAACACCGCCACCACCACCACTAACCCTCTTCCCCCGTCAATGCACTCGGATGGAGATGCGAGGGCTTTTTATTTAAAGAAAGAAGAAGAATGAAAGGATGGCTGGGTCGGTTAGAAGGAACGCACTTTGTATGTTCCAATCTGAACTCATTGCAAAGATTGTAGTAGAGTACCTGCCGGTGATCCGGGGCGGCCGCTTAGGCTTAGGCTTAGGCTTAGGCTTAGGCTTAGGTTAGGCTTAGGCTTAGGTTTATGCTTAGGCTTAGGCTTAGGCTTAGGCTTAGGCTTAGGCTTAGGCTTAGGCTTAGGCTTAGGCTTAGGCTTAGGCTTAGGCTTAGGCTTAGGCTTAGGCTTAGGGTTAGGCTTAGGCTTAGGCTTAGGGTTTAAGGGCACGGGTATCTTGTCATAAATTAAATTTAGATAGAGTTTGGTAAATAAAAAAAAATGCATATCTTCGGCTGTACAACAATTTCTGTGGTCTAAAAATTTCGTGGAGCCCAGTTTGCAAGATGTCGCTTGAAGGGTTCAGGTAGGCCCAGGAAAAATCAGCATAAAAAGTGGTTTAGTTCTAAAATTAGCATAAATCTCATCTGCTTCCTCTTGCCTCGCCTCACTCTCTCCTCATTTTTCTGCCTTAGCATTTCCGGTTGGCTCGTTGCCAATTATAGATTAGCCCTGATCAGCTGGGTCTTCCTTATCCATTTAATGGTAGGATTTTTGAAGAAGGTTGTTTCTGATTAAAGCTAAGGTGATCATACCAACAAAAATAGAAATGTGAAATAGAGCTTTAAAATACATATTTATGAAGTTTCACAGAATTTACGCCTTTTTATGGAGACGATCTATCCTTTGTTACCAGATCTAACTATACTTTTCCAATCGAAGCTTTGATCTCGAAACCAGGGATGCAAGGTGGAAATCCGGTTAATACCGGAATATTGCCTATCCGCTTTAAACAAGGCACACTGCCTTAAAAATCTCTACACCCAGGTGCAACGATCCATTCTGATATGCTATTTTCCGAGCCCCGGGATTTCCCTTTCCAAATTCCGGCTTTGCAACGTATAATACAGGCTGCCTTGTCGGATAGCCCTCGCTCCCGACCCTGCTGAAAACTAGTCTCGTCCCCCTTCTATTCGAGCGTCAGTCCCGAAAAGGCTTTTGTGTCCCCTCGAACGAGAGCCAAGGCCATCGCGAAACAATTGCCCCATTCGAGGCCAAATGTAATCCATCGATCATCCCCTCCAATGCGTACAGTACAGTTCAATCCGCTAGTACAGATTCCCGGAAGGCAGCGGGGTTTTTTGGGTAGGATTTGGCACGCCCTAGATCCTGTAGAGGTCGGCTGATGTTTGTGCAGTTTTTTGCAATTCGGCGTTTCACATGTTGTTGAAGTGTTGATGGCGCCGCTTAAGTGGTAGACGATAAGCGAACACATTTTGGGGTCTCGCCGATAGAACCATCGATTGTTAAAGCTACCTATGGAAAAGAAAGTTATTTTTATCTCAATATATAGGTTTATTGTTGAATTCAATGCCAACCGAATAAAATACTGTTTTGAATATAGTTTGCAACGCTATTGCATCGTTACTAACATCTAAAAAATGGTTAAACCTAGTGAATGCTAATCCTTAGACACCCTCGTGTTATCAAAGATTACCCCCAGCTTCCCCCCCCACAGTTCTCGCGTCATTTTCCTCTCCTTCTAACCCCGAAACAAACCATTTACAGCCCATTTTACCTTATAACGGTCTTTCCCATAAATATCGTGCTGAAAACGTCCCACCCTGCGATGTACGACCTTGAAATCCAGGCAGACCTAGCGAAGCCCCTCCACAGTCATTTGCATACCAGGTAACGGGAAAGTGAAAACTGGCCTTACTTCTAGAACCTTTTGATACCTTTTGAAATCAAACCTCTCCACTATGACATTGTGATTTCTTGAAATTCCTATGATTAACACTTAGGGTCCTCCATGCGATTCGTATACAATCCGTAAAATGAGTCAAAATTCTTTACCTCTATTATGTTCCGCCCCGATGCGCGGGGACGACCATAAATGCGTTTGTGCGGTGTATCTACGACATTTTTTATGGAATTGTTGCCCATCCCTTTTCCACAAACATTTCTCTCAAACCATCAAACCCTCCCGCCCATTGTATACATATGAAGACCTCGAAATTGCGCCACATATTTGCATGCTCGACGAAAAAGCCTAAGAAAGATTTTGGGTTACCCGACGCGGGCACATTACAGGTATATTTATTTTTATTGTGTGGGGGAAATGAAATGGGTGGTTCTGGGTGGAGGGTGGGTGTTGTTTGTATTCGTCTATTTACGCCCTTCCATGTGAAGTATCCACGATTTTGGTGGAATGTGATGTAGCTCGGGAACCGGAGGTCTATTTCAGAGCGGTTCTTGGACTAATTTTTTTGATTTTTAATTAATTCGGGATGAGTAGAATTAGTGTGAATCGATATTTCAAGAGTTTCCAAACTCAAAACTTGCATTTTTACAATTAAATCCATAAACAAAGTGTGCAATCCATAAATGTCGCTCTATCAATTTCGAATTTTTGTGTTTTAACCTGATTTACATTTATATTTCCAATAATAAATACTTCCGGATTTTTCTCCAATATATGCATTCACCTGCCCTCTTCCACTTCATCATTTTCAATCTTCCGTTCGCCCTCCCCAGCCCCATATTTTTTAACTTCACCCCATAAATTTTGCCAGCCTTTTGATGAGCCGTTCTCAATTCAGTTCTACCCCCAGAGATGCCCGGCCCTGAGTCAGTGGGTATGTATGTGCCAGTAAAGGGGAGAATTCTCCACCTTCCAGGGGTCTAAAAAGGGGCGCCAAGGAAATTGAGCAAACAGTCATCACTCTGGACAAAAACGCTAGACCCATGACCACACCCCAGTTTTGGACGGGGGGGGGTTCTGAAAAGGGCATAGATGGGGTTAGGGTTTAGGGTGGGTAAGCTTTTCATTTCAGTGCTGGCTTTGTCTGGCTTGTCGCTATCCCTTTAAAACTTTGTAAGGGTCATTCGCTTCCGTTATAAAGCGTTTTTCGAGTTTGAGTTCGTTTTGGGATTGCCTTGTTTTTCAAGTTTGGGTTCTTTGTTTCATTTCAGCTTTTAAGTAAAAAAATAATTTCTGAATTTTTAGGAAAATAAGATCAAACTTATTTCAAAAATTTTTAGGAGGTTAAAATTATAGATTTGAATTAAAAACGCTTACATGTTCAGCTAAAGACATAAAAAAAAACTTTAAAGACATCTACCGGCTCATCATTTAGGGTGAGGTGTTATTCAGCGTCTCATTCAGCTTTTTGAAGGTGTAGCCCTATAAAACTTCTAAAGTCAACTTTCAAGTTGGTGGGTAAAAATGTGTTTTCTCTTCCTTTCATCGTCTCAAAGTCGTTTTAGAACTAAGCAATTCTTCAAATGTTTCAGTCAACGATGTCCGACGGTACAATCCATGCCTCTGCCTCGTTTGACGAGGAACGTTTTGTCCATGAGCTTCACAAAGCCCTCTCGGCAAAGGTAGGATCTCATTATCGCTACCAAATTTACAATTTTTATTTTAGACCGTGAACCATGATGTCATTATTGATTATCTAGTCAAAATCAACAACCCGCAGCGCCAGATGGTAAGTAAATATCGTAAAACGAGTTATCTTGCAGCTTCGTACTCCTTACAAGCAACATTATGCCGCCGACCTCGAGACCGTTTTGACAAAAGAGTTGAAGGGTGAATTGGAACATGTGGGTCTATAGAATTTTGTTTATCGTACAAAAACCCTTACATAAAATTGGTTTCTTTCCAGTCTAAACTTCAATTTTAAGGTTAAATCTTGCTTAGGTCATCGTCTCTCTCATCCAAACCCCACCAAAAGCTGACGCGGTAGCGCTGCAAAAGACTGTTAAGGTAAGGTTTTGTAGAAGGTATCTAATAATAACATGAGTAATCTTACAGATTGCCAAATTAAACAATTTGTAATCTAATTTTTCAATTCTAGGGTCTTGGAACGGATGAGAAGGCTCTAATCGAAATCCTTACCACCAGGAATAACGAGGAAATTGAGGCGGCCAGGAATACGTAAAGCTATGCTGTGTTCATAAATAGGCAGTTTTTAGCTACTACACCCTCTACAATAGGACCCTAGAAGATGCCATCACTGCCGATACTTCAGGTAAACTTTCTTGGTTCTAAGAATTTTTTCTTAGGTGACTTCCGGTCCATGCTACTCCAATTATGCCGTGGCCAACGCGAGCATGGAACGCTCACTGATAATTTTGTGGCCAAACAAGTATATATAAATTATATTCAAATTTTGCATATCTTAGATCGCCAACGATCTCAATGCTGGAGTCGATAAGAAGGAACGTTTCAACAAGGTAAATAAAAAAGCGAAATTATCATAGTTTTAGTTCCGTTTCCTGTCCGAGTTGAACTCAAACCAGCTGCAGCGAGTGTTTGCTGAATACGAGAAAGTTAGCGGCAAGACGTTTGATAAGTTCCTCGAGAAGGTATCATTTCTATACCTTAGAGTCCTTAAATTTTATCAGGAATTTTCTGGAGATGGGAAAGATTTGATGCTGGCTATGGCTCAAGTGGCCAAGAATAAGCCATTATTCTTTGCGCAACAAATTCACAATGCTGTTAAGGTGAGCGTTAAAAGATTTTATAATTAACTAGGAATAAAAAATAAGCTTAACTTTATTAAGCAGTTTTCTAGGGCTTCGGAGCTAAACATCACGACCTGATTCGGATTCTGGTATCCCGCTCCGAGATCGACCTGGAAGCTATTAAAGGTAATTTCTATACCTTTTCAATAGTTTTATCTTTTAAGCCGAATACGAGAAAGCTTACGGTAAAACGCTGTTGGATACGATTAAATCGGAAACGAAGGGCGATTACAAGAATGCCCTGGTCGCTCTGGTGATTGGAAATCGAAAGAATTGATCAGTGTCTATTGATGTGCCGTGTTATCTCTCCGATGATGTGCTTTATCGCTCGCTCACACTGCCTATTGATGTATAAATGCTTTATTAAATCAATGTTTCGATTATAAAAAGCAGGAGTTTCTTCGGATGGTCGACATGGTAGAAAGTACCTGAAACATTGGTTCAGAAAAAGTCAAGCTGGTAGTGATAGAAGAAAATTGAGAAAAATACATAAAACGCAGGATTTAAAGAAATAGGTAAATTTCTATGAATTTAACCCTTCCCATTTCAATCAAGGTCTAATTCAGAAGGCGTCAGGCCGGACGCCAACAGCAGAATCGATAGTTTAGGGTTGGGGGCGAGTAAGGACCCCGATGGGGCGACGACTAGACAGAAAAGACGAGAAAAAGCCCGACAGAGAAGGGGAAAACGGGCAGGGCCCTTTTTGGGCCACAGCCTCCGGCCAGCATCCTCCCCTCTTTTGCTCTAGGCTTCTCCTCTAGGCTTTTCCTCTAGGCTTTTCCTCCTCACCCTCCACACCAAGGCATCTATGTATATCGACCAATTCCCATCGACACCTCATCCTTCCTCATTTTACTATGCTTTTATAGTAGACTGTGCTTATCGTTATATGGTTTTTGGAGAAGCTCGGGAAGCTAGGGGTGATTGAGAGGTACGACAGTTCTAACAAGTCGGGGAATTTTATTATAGCTTTTCGTACCTACGTTGAGTTCGAAGAAATAAATGCTAAGTTATGGAAGTCTTAAGTTACTTAATGTTTATTGGTTTTATATACAGGGTGTCCCAAAAAAAATCCCCCCCCCCCTAGCCGGCCGCAGACGGGTCCGATTTTTACGATTTAGTTATCTATCGAAAGCTCTCGGAAAGCACGTCTCTTCGATTTTCATAATTTGGAAATTTTTCCATCAGTTACTAATGTTTTTGCAAAATGCGCGGATTTTCTGATGTTGTTCTGACCAGAGGATTTTTTACAAAAATCGCAATTTAAGAATTTCTACGCGTTTTCTGGCAACCCAACGACAGCTTTTTGAAAGCCGTTTGCCAAAACACAGGTTGGACAGCGCTTAAACCGGTTAAATTGCGTTTTGAACAAAAAAGTCTGTCCTTTTGGCCTGAAAAGTGCCGAAAATCGAGCAAAAATTTCCAACATTTCGCAAATCCGCAAGACGTGCTGGACTCGCCTTTCCGAGAGCTTTCGATAGATACCTAAATCGTAAAAATCGGACCCGTCTGCGGCCGGCTAGGGGGGGGGGGGGATTTTTTTTGGGACACCCTGTATTTATTATTCGGATCCTCAGACTCCTGTTTCCAAGATTTAGACCTATGTTTCTGCAAAACTTGGTTGCTAGGGGCGTCGATTTAAATTGATAAATTTGCCATTTTTTTACTGTTTGGCACAAACACCCATTTTGAAAATTCACATTACTTTATACAGCAAATCTCCATTCGACTTTCCGTTACTCGATTTATATGTCCAGATTCAAACGTCCGGGGCCGATTTTGCTGGGAGCTAGTTAGCGTGCAAAACGGCCCGAGGGCAGGTCCGGGGGCTGGTTTTCTTTAAATTCAATTCCGGTCTTTGCCAAACACAAATAATAGTGGAAAAAGAGAGTTGAATGGACCGAAAAACAGCTAATTTTCCGCTTTTTGACGGTTAAGCCACTGATCTGTTTTTTTCTCATTTCAAGACCAAACCTATAAAAGGAGCAAGATGAGCTTTGACCAAAAAGGATTTCTCTGTAACATAAACAGCTAAGAGGAGACCCGTGTGGTTAAAACCAGAAAGATCTGGGCTCCGGGCACGACACGGTACCGTATGTCGTTGTCTAGATCGAATTGATTTTTAGATTTCTGGCCGCACCAATCTTAAGCTTATCGAAATTTATTTTGCCATTTTTGCCATTCCAATATTAAGACCCAAACGTTGATTAATTTTCCGCATGCTAAGCGAAGGACATTTATCATGGTGAAGATTGGCATGATCTATTATCCGGGATAATAAAAATCTGTATCATAATCGAAATTTGCTGTGTAAATTCAACGTGACATAATTTTCTCAGAAACATATCGAAAAGCCACAAACTGCCGTTAAAAAGGTTTAAAATGTAACTGATTGTTTCAGAACCCCCGTCAGAACGCTGAACATTTTCAAGCAGGTTAACGAAATCTAGCACGCTTTTTGGTCGCTGTGCGCGATGATCAAAATACCGAAGTTTAAGGTTTTTTGATTAAAAGGCTCGTAAAATTCCCAAAATGTAATTTTTTTGAAATGATCATTTTAAGTGGGTTTTTATGACAAGCCATCAGTTATATCAAACTATCAATAGTTTTTACCTCAATGTAAAAATTAAGATGCGTGGAATGCATTGTCCATCGATCGTTTTTACCAGATAATAGAATTTGCATTGAGATGCAGATATATCGTTTTGAAAAACTGCTTAACTTTTACATTATTTAGACATCAATGCGGTAGGCATCCCATTTTGCCAGTAGGATGCAAAAAATGTGCGATATTTGCTCATTCACAACTGATTTCAATTTAGAACAAAGTGCCAGGTGAAACCTTCCGTCACGATGCAAAATAATGATTAATCAAGTGCATACTTAATAGAATTACTTTATATACAACAAAAATTAAAGCAGACCACGGAGTCGAACATGGGCTTTGACATTTGGTAATGCCATTCAAGTTATTAGACATGAATATGCAACCAATTAAAATAAAAATAAAAGAAAAAACAGTAGCGGGAGGATTAACTCGAAAAAAATTAGTAAAAAGGACGACCGTATTTTGGTTATCGGATCAAATAAGAAAAAGGTTGTGGTTTGGAACATCTGGCCCATAGGCCATGGCCGCCACATGCTTGTTAGACGGCGCGAGATAAAAATCCAGTCTTTTGCTTGGCTTGTGCGAAGCGGGCGTTTAGCATAAAGCGAAGAAAACGCTAGGCTATAGTATTTTTGCTACATTATACTGCAGATCTCTAATCACTTTTTTTATTCATTTAAATTTATTAAGGCAATTCTGATATTTTTATTACACTTTTCCTAAAAGATGCGTAAAAATCCATTTTATCCGTAATTAATAATCAGGCCTGGTAATATCGCACCGTCACAACAAACATTTCTTGTAAAAAATCTCTTTCTATTCGTTTCGCAGGCACATTCCCTTTCTTTTTGCTCATTGAAAACGTCACCCACACCGGCAGGGTTTTCAGATTCCAATTTCAGATAGAAAAGAGATGTAGGATTGACTTGACGGATGGCCACTACCCGAGCAGCAACGTGTAAGTCACCAATATTTTTTCAAAAATAAAGCTTACGGAATGAGAGTCGATGGATAGAAAATAAGCATAAGGTTGGCTGAAAAATGAGAATTCGGAGGGCCTGACTAATTAGGAGGACACCACCCCCGGTAAACCAATTAGTATTTTCGGAGTCGTCGAAGAGGAGGACGGCATGAAGCTCAAGTTTCACAAGGTTTCTGACTTTCGGTGAAGGATACTGCTGAAGAAGTAGAGGTATACTAGGATTAGGATTGGCTTTTGTCTGATTTCTAATACTGCTAACGCGACTTCTTTATAAATCCCACTTTACTTTTGCAGTAGCATGAGAAACTTTCCGAAACTGAACATTTTCTAAGGAATACACGAACAATATTTGAAATCCCTTAAATCCATGAAACTCTTTTATTTTGTTTATTTTATATAGGCTAGATACATAGAAGCCCCTTTCGCAAATGCCTGCAACCAACACCAAAGCACGCGCCAAAACCTCGACGGAATAATCCTGGGCGACCGGCTTAGTTAGTGATGGATAGGTCGTGAGGATTACCAACGGAAACTTAGCCCCGAAGAAACTAAAAAGTCTGAATGTTTCAAAACCAAAATTCCGAGGAATTCGTAGGAAAAATAGCAATGTCATTCGCGTGAATTGGGCCACTGTAGCTTTCTCATCTTGCATCTCTATGCAAATGAGCCGAGGCCACGGAATGCGCGAAAAATAATAGGTTCTTGGCTCGAAATGGATGATGGAAACACTTGATTTATTGGGTTTGATATTTAAATTCGCTGAACATGTAGGATTTGGCATTTTAACTGATAACGCGAAGGCCAGGATCTAAAAGCTGGTAAAAAGGTCTTAACAAAACAAACGCGCTTCGCGAGAGGTGCTTTTCTAAAACGTAAATTAGATCCGCGGTGGAGTATAGTAAGAATGAGTGGAAAGCCCGAAAAATGGGAGATGGGCCAAGGGTTGTGGTAGAAGAATTGCGGGGACCCAGAGGGGCGGGTGGGTCCCCGAAAACGCGGAGCGGAAGGGCCCACCCCATGGACAATGGCTCGTTAGGGACAAAGCGGTCGAATTAGCCGTTTTCGGGAGGGGGATAGAAAAAGAGGGGGAGAAGGAGGCCCTAGAATTTTTCGGGTGGGCCCCTAAATGGGAGGCCGTGCTCCTAGCGGGATTGGGGGAGGAGGACGACCGGTTGGAATGTGGTGGAGCCGGTGGTGGTGGTAGCAGAGGCTGAGGAGGCTGCTGCGGGTATGGGAGGAGGGGCGGGCCCTACTCTGGGTCCTTTCCAGGGGGCCCTGGCCGGTGGAGGCGAGACTCCCGGTTTTGCGACCCGAGCTCTCCGGCCAGTTACACCCACCCGCTGCCACAACATATACCTAAAAAACTGCCTCATAACACTGGGGGAGTAGAAATGGGTCCCAGCTGAACGTTGATTGTTTTTGGTTATTGACCCGTTGGGGGTTTTGGGGGCAAACTAGGGCTTAAAGGGGGGTTGTTACCTTATCCATAAAAATATTTGTAGGGGCGTGCATAAACCATTTTTGGTGAACTTTTCCTGGATCTTTTATGTTCCGCTACTCTTTTACACGGGTCCGGCAAGAATTGGAAATTCCTAGGGTTTCGTATTGTTTTTTTTGAAGCTCCAAATTTACCAGAGATTGGGTTCAAATTCCGATTCATAAAAATAACAAAATAAATATGCTCCGTTGAAGTTATTTATCTCTTGAAAACATTGGAGATCCAGTGCTTCTCACACTAAATTTTTAGGTTTTGTGGCATTTTTACCGGCGCCCGAATTCAAATCATAACCCTCAATTCTTTATGTTTTCCTGATTTTTTTTATCTATGCCCTCCAAAAGCTGTCGATTCTAAGTGGGTTGGGTATGATGCCGTAGCCGCCAAGTCCCATCGGCGAGCACCATTGCCACTCAGAAGCTCTCCTGTGGCGCCGGGCCAGCCAATATGGCCTATCTGCTAAAATATTATACATGTATGTCGATGAAGAAAATTAACTGAAAATTATATATACATTTTGATTTTAATACTTTAATTCCAAAACGCTTCTCATTATTGAGAAATAGGTGAAACATTGAGGGTGCCCTGTTATAATTTGTTTTAAGAAACTGCTGCAGTGAGTTTGGTTCCCGGAGGATGTTTTTTGTAAATAATAGTCAGAAAATTAAAAAAAAATCATAAATAACGTTGATCTATGAATTTTTTTAGTTTCGGCGAAAATCCGCACGCTTTCCGAGTTCCAAGTACGACTCCAGACGAATCAACAGGCGCCCTCCAATGCCGAGATTATTACGACGCTTCGCTATTTTCAGCAAACGCTTATTGGGTAAGTTGGTTTGATCAAAGTAATATTTATCGTAGTATATTATTAATAATTCTATACTCATGTGTAGCTCATTTTCATGGTTTTTGGTTAAAATTTCCCCCATTCCCGGCTAATCGCCGATCATTTACATATGTTTTGGGCCATAAATCTCCATCCCCCCTCAAAAGAGGATCGAAAATGGCCCCTAAACTGCCAGCCGATGTCCAGGGTGTCCAAGCGGAAAATAACTGCCCTGCCAGTCGGGCATCCCGTTTCTACACTTTGTGGGTCCGGGGCCCGGGAAGTGCGCAGAAGTGATTTTCGATTCGGAAAATGCGTCAGGGCGTTTTTTGCAAGTTTGAAACGCGTAGGTGTTGGTTGGGAGTTGACGCTTTTGAGAAAAATTTGTTGATAAGGGTCGAAATCGCTAGAAATCGGGATTCCTAGCCATTTGTAGTGTGCTGCCAGATGTTGCCGAGCTATTTTGGTTATAGATGACGTCAATGGGCTGGCAAAGGTCGAATTTGAGGGATTTTAGCATTTCAATGGTCGTTTGAAAAAACAGAGCTCAATCGGATATTTTTACAATAGCTATATCGTAATGGCGTAAAGTTTTCTCGGGTAAAATGGGAGTAGAATTTCCTAAAAATCATGAATATCGTTCCACCATGCATACAAAAATTTTCATGTACACGGCGTCCGTCAATTGGCGCCCGTGCATTTCGTTTTTTTTGCAAGTAACTCTATCCAAGAGTTCGGTTTTTGAAATTCCGTTTCAATGTCGAGACAAATTTTCACGATTTAGACTTTTTTGGCACGTCACCAGGTACCCCAGAATTTCCTGGGCGTCACCAGGTACCCCAAGTTCTGGGTTTTTTGGCACACGAAGTTTTAAGGTATTAGAACCTTGTATTTTCTAACACCTAGATCAGTAATGCGCCCAGATAGTACTGAATATACAAAAAAAACCTCTGCTCTGCCCTGCAGCCAAAGACCCACAAAATCCCGAAGCGCTGTCTGGTATAGCCTCTTTCTACCCTCCAAAAAATCCGGGTGCTCGGGCCCTCATTAGGGGGGCAGCCGGGTAGAGGATGGGCTTGGAATGGGGCGAAGGGGGGATGGGATGGGTGTCGTTTTGTGGTGGTGGGATGGGGTAGAATGTGTGGGGGGCCATGGCCCATGGGCCTTGCCTCTAGAATGAGTCCTCCCTACCCCCCAGAATCACCACAACCACCACCACGGCCAGGATGTTAAGGCCAGGGCCCAGGGCCCCGGATGGAGGGCCCTTGGCCCCTTCCGATTGCGTGTCTATTGTCAACCCAATCTGAAGAGCCGAAGGGTTTGCAGGGGGCACCGGACGTTCGCCGTGGGGTCCCGATAAAACATGCGGCACCTCGAATCTCTGGCATCTTGCAACTAGCGTGCTGGGTAGTATTAGGGGCGCAATATGGCTTCTGGTAATACTATAGCAAAAACTGCGAGGGAATAGCCGCGTGCAAATAATTGAACGCCTTGAACTTGATGCCATGGCTAAAATAACGCTATTCTGGTTCCTTACCGGGGGAGCAAACTCCCTGTATTCAGCTTAAAATATATTATAAAAAAATTGGATCTGTTTCAAAATATTTTTAATTGTTTACAATTACTAAAAAGGTAGAAGAACCTTTTCTAAACAATTAGAAATTTTGTCTTATTTAGCAAAAATCACAAGATGGAAAATCATAAAAATTCTTTATAAACTTTTTATCTACCTAAAAGCGAGGCAAAATGGTACTTAGGTGGTTAAAATTTATGATAGAGTGGCTACAAGGAATACAGGCAAAAAAATACCCCCCCCCCGCTAACGAAACAGACATCATATATCCTTCCAATCCTCCCTCTACCCCGATTGACCTTCCCCAGAATCTGATAAAAATCCACTTTTCGAAAATGACTACTAGCCCATGCGGCCTACGCCAGCTTTCCCCGTCCCCCAAAATTAGAAGCCTACTCCCGCACATGGCAAACAACTTTTTCCAAAAAAAATCTGTGCCTCCTCCTGGCGGTGGAGGAGGGCCGGGTGTTTTTTGCTGGAATTCCAAGCGGCCTTTATTCGATGGCCGGGTGGAAGGGGGACTAAATGTAGCGAATTTTTAATGAGGGTTCGGCTGGGTGGTGGTGGACATTTTTCTTATGGGGGGAGGAAGGGTGGGTGGAAGGGAGGAAGGGAGGAAGGAGGAGTGTACGTTTTCGGCGGCCAGCTACATGACGGGGGGGCGTATCGATGATGTTCGGGGGGGGGTTGAGATATATGCAGATTTTAATATTCCTAGAAGTGATAATTTTAATCGAAAGTTTTGGTTAATTTTTCAAAAAAGATTTAATCCTTTTACAATAGAAAACACATTAAAATTTTTGCGGGTTGATAGCACTCTCCCTTTAAACTTAGCTTTTGGCCAAAATTTCTTAAAAATCTCCCTTAAAAAATCTTCCCCAAAAAGTGACGTGTGTTTGGCGAAAAAGCATGTGTCATCTTGGATCACCAATAATTAGATTGGAGAGGAAGGGAAAGCCCTTGGGGCATCCCCGGCCTACTTGATTTTTCCCCATCGAACCCCCGACCGCAACCACGCAAAAAGCTGTTATAATCAAATTTTGATCAAAGAAATAAAACGATAAACTGTGAAAATCTATAAAAAGCACACATATTGCATTAGCCGTCCATCAAAACTACGCTTTCCAGGTTTCTAAAGGAACTGGCGCCCGGCAATTCTCACTTCTGCCAAAAATTCTCGCTCGATCCGGCGAGATGGGCTTTGTATCCGAATCTCAACTATTCAGGTATGAAAAATAAAAAGTACGAACTAAGATTGTATTTAGGGCTATTTTATGCCATCTCCAATCTCCTTGAAGTATTTCCGTTAATTACCTCCGGACAGATGGGTAACGTTTTGGAATATTTAAGGAGGAGAAGCGAAGTATAAATCAATTATCCTTCAAAATCGTTTTTAGCTGTTGGAGAAGCTGTCTTGGACACCATCAAGGCCCTGATGCTATTTTTGGATCGAGATGCCATCGAGCAGCTGCCGATTACCTTGGCTTCACAGATTGGGGTCTTTCCAGCTGATTTGAATAAGCAGGTAGGTATCATTTTTGAATTGCCCTAGTTTTGTAACGGAACGTTGTGATTATTTTTCAGATTGTGCACCTCTTGGCTGATTGTCTATTTCCATTTGCATTATCGCCAGATACTAGCGCTAGATTATCGGTGCCTGGATGTCTAATGCTAGTACTCCAGAATACAAATGACCCTAGTAAGCTTCAAATTTAGTTGTGCAATGGGATTTCAGGCCTTCACACCTGGATGCTTGAGGCAATAATGGCAACTTCAGAAGATGTGTACCGTGATGTGATTTCGGTTATTGCAAAGGCAGGATTTAGCCTTAATTTGAATACATTTTACAATTTTAGGGGACTTCCGAATCACGCGTCTCAGCAGCCAATCTGCTATTCCATTATTGGCCCTTCAGCAACCCACAATTCTTACATAGGAAAACTATTCAATATCGGGTCCAAGGTAACGTACATGCTGCTTTCCATTAATGCGTCGATTTAGCCTGGACAGCCCCAACGTGTCAATACAGCTCCTGCCCAGATAAAGCTACAGCGTGAGTCTCAAACTGTAATATTGCTTTTATCCTTACATTCGTCCCTGATCTCTGATGTTTTAGCATCAAGAAGTGTTTCGAGCCGAGTATCTGTTCCGACGGCGCCGATACCTCCCCTCCGGCCTTTCTGTGTCGTAGGTGGGTCGACTCGAATTTCATACTGGCATCGTGGGAATGTCTGACTTTTTAAAGACATTGGCTCCAACAGCGCGCATCCTGGTTCCGGGGGAGTGGAAATTCAGGGCAATTCTCTGGGTTTCAGATGCGCTGACACGGTGTTCAATGAGAAGCAGGTGCCATTGGAGATTATGATGCAGCCGATGCCAACAAGTACACACGGGACTTGTCAGAACAAGGTCGGTGTGGCTATACAGGGATTAGACAAAAAATATCGCGTGTGGGCAACTCTTAAAACCCCCTTCGGTCAGTTTTCTAGTGCGCCTAGGTTAGGAGGAGGCGCTTCAGGTATCGCTACAGGGGGATTAGGTGCGTCATTATGCCTGTACGGCTGAAATTGTTGAACAGAAAAATTAAAACTGAAACTGAAAAAGTACTATTTTCGTGATTACACGAAGTTTTTGTTAGAAAATGGATGTCAATCAGGAAAAATGGATTACTTGCCAAAAATTAGCATACACCGGACGTGTTCCATATCAAATAAATTCTTTTTTCGAGAGTTTCTATGTAAATTCGCTATTCAAATCAACTAGGCCAATCTTCAAAAGCCGCCTAGTCTTTTGTAGACCCTTAGCAAAAACATTATTCTAATACCAAAATCTTGCGAAAGCCTACGAACAATTTCTATTTCCCTTTCCCTCCAGATCCGGGACCAGATGAAAGACCAGCGGGCCCCTTTTCGATGCTGTCGTGATTTTTCACCGCCTCCCCCCCTTGTCCATGGGGACAGCTCGCTCCCCCCATTTCCAAAAGCCCGCGAGTATAGGCGCATGGCGTAGTGGTAGTGGAAACGGCTGAAGTGAAGCCGCGGTGCGGGGGCAAAGATGAATGGGATGGGGCCCATAAAGGGGCACTTAGTGGCTGTGCGATAGACAGACAATTAATGATGTGGCCCCAGGGGGAATCCTCTACTCCCCTTCAAAGTCCACGTCTCCCCGATGAAGAAGCCGCCGCCCTAGGGCGATGTCGACAAGAACTCAGTATAATCGAAATGCGCTCCGAACTTGGGGGGGAGGCCTCTGAAAGTGACAGGAATCGCTAAATGCCGGGGCACTCATAAAAAGCCACCCCCCTCCATATTCAAATTGGCCATCTGCCAAACACAATGCCATGGCGGAATTGAGAAAGATAAACATGGCATTTATGAGGTTATAGGGATTAGGGAGGGAGTGCATTTGGTGAAAACTTTCGGGCGCTTGCAAATGGAATTTTAAGTCCTGACCAGGGTTGAAAAACCGCTTCGCGGCTTTTCAACCCTGGCCCCGTCTAGGACCTACGAAAGTATTGACTTTGCATATTACCGAAAACCGATCACCAAAAAATGAAAAGCGCGCCCTCTCTTCCTTTTTTGTTGTAGGTGTGGGTGTGCGTGAGTTCTTGAATGCTGGCTCAATCCAAGGGGATACCTTGCGAGAGAGTCGTTTGACACCTGAATTGATTTGGACGAAAGAAGAGAGAACAAAGTTTATTTACGATAACGGCAATAGCCTAAAATAATACAAGCCCAGACAAGACGGGCGAAGTGGAAGAGAAAGAAAAAGACACGCACAAAAAAGGGTTTGTGCCGGGGGACGGGGAGGGCGCACACAGGGCGTAGTGCAAAGGGGTGCGCCGTACAGGCATCGCGTAATTGGATCAAAAGACTTTCTTTTCTTGCTTCCGCAACATCTTCCTCCTTGAATGAAGAGCTTGACTCGGTGATGAAGTTGAGCTTGATGGAGACGACGTTGACGGCACTTCAATCTTGATATCGCGACGGCGGCTTCCGGATGCGCTTGTGGTGAAGGATCGGTCCAAGAGCATCAGTCTTCTTTGTCTTCTTCACAGGTTGTGCTTGATCTTGTTGACGAACTTCAGGTTCGTCGTCGCGTCCTTGTGGTTGTTGAACAACGTCATCGAGTTGTTCAAATTGCGGTTGTTGAGCAACGATATCGGGCTGGTCAATTTGAGGTCGTCGCGGCACGGCTGGTGATCTTGCCGGTGATCGTGGATGCGACTTCGATGGCGACTTGGTTGGTGTTGTCGGCCGGTGAGCAGTGGGATGGGGAACATTCGGAACAGGTGCAATGGGAATCAATGTAGGAGTTTTGGCGGATGATGCGGCTGACTTCTCGAGAGGCTTGTCAAGAGGTGGAGCAGTGTCCTGCACATTGACTTTATCATCGCTGGCAAGATCGAACTCTTCCAGGATATCATCGAGTACGTCTCGAACGAATCGAGCGCGTATCTGGTTGGCATGTCGACGCCAAACGACTCCAGAGGTAATTTCAACCTCGTACATGGACTTTCCACATAATTTAGAAATACGTCCTTCTACCCAGACAGGTTTGCTAGGTATTTTATAATCTCGAACCCAGACGGTCTGGTCGATTTCGTAGGAACGCTTCTTTGCGCCGTGCTTCCGGTTGTACTGTTCAACCATCTTCATCTTCTCCCCCTTCGGAAAGATGAGATTCGCACAAGAATTGCTGTTGCTCTGGGGCAGACGCAAGCGAGCAATGGGAGTAACAAGCTTTCTCCCGATAAACCTTTCAGCCGGAGATAGCTGTTCTGGTGAAGATGGGCAAGGGGTGGACCGATAAGTTCGCAGAAAAATTTGCAAAGTTTCAGCGTTAGTCGAACCAGCGGCTTTGCTCAAAGCGCGCTTGAAGGTATCGACGAAACGTTCGGCCAATCCGTTCGACTGGGGATGGAACGGCGGCGTGCGAATATGGGTAATTCCACGTTCCTTACAGAAATCTTCAAACTCCTTCGAAGTGAATTGAGTTCCGTTATCCGAAACGAGCGTTTCCGGATCTCCGAACCTGGAGAAAACATCTCTCAACTGGGCAATCGTCACTCGGCTTGTTGCCACCTTACACTCAAAGATTTCAGGCCATCTTGAGTAAGCGTCGACAACGATCAAATACATTTTTTGATCAATCGGACCGGCATAATCAATGTGCACGCGCTCCATTGGACGATTTGGGGTAGGCCAGGGAGTCAATTCACTTTTTACAGGCATCTTCTGGGCTTTCTGACAGCCTTCGCATTCTTTCACGATGCGATCGATGTCTGAATCCATGCCAATCCAGTACACATATTGCTTTGCGAGCAATTTCATTCTCGTTTGGCCCGGGTGGCCTTCATGAAGCATTTTTAGGATTCGCGATTGCAGCCTTTTCGGCACAACAACTCGCTCTTTCAGAAACAAACAGCCTCGGTGAATTGACAACTTATTTACAAGACTTTTGTAGGCGTACAGCGACGAGCCTGGCAAACAGTCTGGAAAAGAACCACTTTTCAGAGAGTCAATCACGCTGCTGAGTGAATAATCCTGTTCAGTTTGCTCAGCAATTTCCTTGTGTGAAACTGGAATTTGGCTCAATTTATCCTCAAAAACGGCTGAAATGTCGATTTCTATCTGCGAAATCACGACATCTTCTTCAGGATCCGATTTTGGCGGAATCAGACGGGAAAGGGCATCCGCTTGACCAAACTTGGTCGTGTTACGATATTCAATAGAAAAATCGTAGTTGTTCAATTGCAAACACCACCTTTGCAAACGGTTTGCGGTGTGTTGTGGGATTCCTTTTTTCGACCCGTATATCGGTAAAAGGGGCTTATGATCCGTCAGTAATACAAAACGCCTTCCGTAGATGTATCTGTGGAAGCGCCGAATTGCGAATACGAGGGCTAAGCCTTCTTTTTCAATCTGGCTATAGTTCTTCTCTGCCACAGTCAATGCTCTGCTAGCATGTGCGATTGCTTTTTCAGTTCCATCAGCGAATCGGTGGGTAATGACTGCCCCAAGGCCTTGCTCACTGGCATCAGCGGCGACGACGATCGGCAACTTGGCGTCATAATGACAGAGTAACAAATCGGAAATTACAATTTCCTTGAGCGACTGGAACGCTCGTTCACAGTCCTCACGCCAGAGAAACTTTGCGTCTTTTCTCTTCAACTCGTCAAGCGGGGCGCGCAACTGTCGCATACGAGGAATAAAAGACTGGTAGAACGAAACCATGCCCAAAAAGCTTTCAACTTCTTTGAGGCAGGTAGGTCGTGGCATATTTGCTATCGCAGCCGTGCGTTCGCCATCGGGTCTTCGGCCTTGGGCATCGAGAATGAAGCCAAGATACTTTACCGAAGCCTGGCCGAACGTGCACTTTTCCATTTTGACGCGCAATCCGAACTTTGCGATTCGCTCAAACAATTGACGTACCCTGTCGTCATGCTCCTCCTGGTTTCGGCCGGTGATCAACAGATCATCCAGGTAGGCAGCGGTACCGTCCAAGCCTGCGATCAAATTATCCACAATTTTCTGGAAAATACCGGGGGCTGTTTTCACACCAAATATCAGTCGTTGATACTGATAAAGTCCCTTGTGTGTGTTGATTGTCAGGTATTCTTGGCTAGACGCCTCAACCTCGACTTGTAAATAAGCGTCCTTTAAGTCAATCTGGGAGAAAACTTGTCCACCGTTGAGCTTGGTGAAAATTTCTTCCGCGGTGGGAAGAGGATGATGGTAATCTTGTAACGCATCATTCAAGCCGGTAGAAAAATCACCGCAAAGTCGCAATGAACCGTCCTTCTTCTTGACTGGAACGACCGGAGCCGCCCATTCGCTGTAAGTGACCGGTTTCAAAACAGTCAAATCAACGAGACGTTCAATTTCCTTTTCAATGGCTGATTCCATCGAGAATGCGACGCGTCGGAATGGCAGAAATATTGGCTGTGCATCGGCTTTGAGCTGCAACTCAGCCTTAGCAACAGTGCATAAGCCTAGACCATCCGAAAATACACTCGGGTATTTCTCAACAAGTTCCTTTTCCAGCTTTGATTGCTTTACTTGAACCTTATTGACACACAATTCATCGAAACAGGATGCGAATTGTGGCAGCTGATTGATCCAATCCAGCCCCATCAACCGAATGTCTTTGGTGACAAAGCAACGACCATGTCCCTCAATGCCTTTCACTTGAAAGCGGGTTTCAAACAGTCCTTTCACGTCAATTCGACTACCGTTGGCAGCACGTAGTTGAATATCGGACGGCGTAAGTGGTGGGCAATTCAATTGATGCCACACAGCCTCGTCAATAATAGTTACTGCAGCGCCAGTATCCAATTGCAGCGTAAAACGGATGTTTTCGATTGAGATTTCAACGTCCTTGCGCGTTGAATCAATGGCGTTGATTTGCACAATCTGGTTCACCTTCGGTTTCCAGTCCTTGTTTCGGTGGTTTTGTTTTCCTTGCTTGGAAAAATTACCTCCACGGTTTCCAGAATCTGAGCGACACTCATTTGCCCAGTGTCCTCGTTTTCCACAATGATGACACACATCATTTCGCTTGTCTCCACGGGGCCGATCATTGGTATCACAAGGCTTTGGACCACCATTGCTAGAGGTAGGCTTTGGGCCCTTGTTCCAATTCTTTCGGTATCCCGACTGCTGGATACGGTTGACATTGGCATGCTGTTCGACCACAACATCCATGTTCAGGCTCGTCTGCAGGTCACACTCGCGTAGCAGATCATCCAGTTTCACGTCATTCTTTGACTCAAGAATACGGATCAATTTCTTGCGGATGTCGCGATGTGCCTGGTCTGACAGTCCAGCAACGAAAAGTAAACACTTTTCTTCATCTTCCTTCATTTCCTTGACGCGACCTTGCTCGTATAGTTTGTTGACGCGAGCGGCGTAGGATCGCATATCCTCATCGTGCTCTTTCGCTACGCGAAAGGCGAGGAAACGTCGACTGAAAAGCGACAGCTTTTCTCCAAACATCTCAGTCAAATGCTTGACGATGTCGTCGTATGCGATGGAGGCCAGCTCTTTGGGTCGAGCATGATCCGCCAGCAAGCCATAGGATTTGGCATCCAACATCCCGAGAACAAGATGCTTTTTGTTCTCCTCCGAGATGCGCGATTCGGTGGCGATGAGGTTTGTGAACCGCTCATGCCATTTTTCGAACGTAATCCCCTGGGACGGGTCATACTCGAATCGACTTATGCGAGTGGCTAGAGCGCCCAACTCGACTGCATTCAGAGGCCTTTGGATTTGGCTTGAATCTTCGCTAACCGAGTCCGTATGCGTTTGGACCTCGGCGCGGATCCGCTCGAGCTCAGCCATGAGCTTGGCTTCTCGCTCTTGCCCGGCGACCATGACAGCGGTCATCTGCTGGTTCGCGGCGGCGAGCTGCTTGAGCACGTCCTTGAGCTCGGGGTCGTCGGCCATTCTTCAATTCGGGTTCGAATCCTTGATCGCCAATTGTTGTAGGTGTGGGTGTGCGTGAGTTCTTGAATGCTGGCTCAATCCAAGGGGATACCTTGCGAGAGAGTCGTTTGACACCTGAATTGATTTGGACGAAAGAAGAGAGAACAAAGTTTATTTACGATAACGGCAATAGCCTAAAATAATACAAGCCCAGACAAGACGGGCGAAGTGGAAGAGAAAGAAAAAGACACGCACAAAAAAGGGTTTGTGCCGGGGGACGGGGAGGGCGCACACAGGGCGTAGTGCAAAGGGGTGCGCCGTACAGGCATCGCGTAATTGGATCAAAAGACTTTCTTTTCTTGCTTCCGCAACATTTTTATAAGCCATTTCCACTTCCGGCGTATGCTAATTGCTTCCTAACAAAGAGGTTGGCTGAAAATTTTACAAAAACCTAATTTTAATATCGAAAATAGCAATTTTTCAAAAATTTTATGTGTGTGCAGTCGATTCGGGACCCTTCTTTACCTATTCACGCTTCTCCCCTATCGAAAACATGCTTTCCTGAGGCTGTAGGTGCGGAACATCCAAACGGAAGTGCATGCAAATATACACACACACACAAACACTATTTTTTTATATATAGTAGGATCAGGCCATTTCTACCGGAAACTGGAAATGGAAATCTAATTTATCTACTCTTCCACACTGAGACCGTTTTTATGCTAATTGAGATCTACGGCCACCTTAAAGCCAATAATATATAGCAAACAGTTTTTATAGAAATTTTGGCAATATCCATTTTAGGGTTGCTCACATCGACTCGCCATCGGAACTTGCTTCTCCCCAGAATGCTCCAAACATAATGGCTTCGTACCTGTCAGACTTTGCCAAGTAAGCTTCCAGCTTTTCCCCCTAACTATTTTATATTTCTGTAATGCACCTCCAAACTTTAGGAATGCTTGATAAAAGAACACGAAGGTGACAATGCCTCCCACTTCCGTCACCACGGCCGAAGTATCGTTTGGGGAGACCCGGAATTGTGCTGGGATATGGTCGAAGCCATCGTCCAATTGCTACGCGAGACAGCGACCCACTTGGAAGGTAGGCTTTCAAAGAAATAGCCCTCATTCACCCATTATTAGTTTATATTTATTTCCCACTCCCACAAAGTTCACTGACAAAATCCATTTGCATTCCGCATCACCCACCATTTTTTTGTAAAGACTTTATCAACGCGTGGTTGCGCGAATTTATGCGTAAGTTCGAAAGGAGAGAGGAGGGCGATCGAAAAGAAAAAGAATGGAGTGGCTGGCTGGAACCGAGTTTGAAAAGGAAACACACTAACGCCGGCTTGCGTTTTGCATGGTTCTGTTCAAAAACGAATTTTTGGTTCTGGAGAGCTATGTTTTTAGGTTCCGAAGGGGAAGGGAAACGGCCGAAGTGGTTGCGACAACTTGAAGGAGGTCATCAAATGGGAAAAGAAATTGGTAAGTAGAAACACCTACTCCTTCGATTTAAAATTTAACTTATGCCTTGAGCCCGAACCTGAATCAGTCTATATTTTTTTAGGAATTCCGTTCGTTTTCCAAAAACTTATTTTTCTAAATTATCTTTTCTTCAAAATCAGGTAGCTGACCATTTTATCTTACCCCGCTAGGTGCCAAAAACTTAAAAAAGCGTTTGCCGAATCGGCGAAGAAATAAAATGTAGAAAAACAGAACAACATTTATAGGAACAATGAACCTAAATGTGAGCGGTTTTCAGACCGAATGGCCGATGAGCGTCGAATGCTATCCAGATTTGGTGTCTGGCTAATGCATGTTCATACACCACCCACCGTAGATGCCGACCCCAAAGCGATCAGCTATATGATGGGCACTGTATTCCAATGGTTTGCCACCACAGCCCTACTACCAAACGATTCGATGGGCCAAACCCTTGAGCAGCTGAAGACCGACTTTGTCTGCCAATGGATCAACCAGGCCATCAAGAATCACTATGGTGTTTTTGTGCAGTCACTCAGCCCCGCCGCAGCTGAAACTGATGATCGGCCCGCTTTGGAACAAACCAAGGAGGCCTTGGGTCGATTGTTAGGTAAAACATTCCATATCCGCGCAATCTCTTAATCGTTAACTTTAGCCCTAATGCCCTATGACATCATTTCTTTCGACACATGGAATCGTGTAATCCCCAGTTGGCTACAATACATCTATGAAGAAGCCCAAGAAGAACACCTAGGAGAGCTGAAAGTACTTCTGGCCAAAATCTTCGAGCCTGACCTCTGCCCCCTCCCATTCGATACCGTCAAGGTTTTCGAATTCGTTACGAAGCAGTTGTTGAGCAAGAACTATGACAACATTTTCAGGTAGGAAACTATTTGCGTCGCCTAACCGATTTTTAGCGGTTTACAATGGCTACATCAACTGTCGAGAATGGAGATCACAATCCCGATGGCCATGCTGCTCGACGATTTCAGCAGTTTTCTGATGCAAATGAACCAAGTGGAGCTGCCGCCTATTGGGGAGAACGATCTGGAAAGTGACGAGGTCTCGCTGCACGTGATTATGGTCGACATTTTGGTGCTGCAGGTTGGTTAAGTATCTTGAGCTAGTATGTAAATCTCAGCTTCGTTTGAACGATGTGACCTTTCATGACCTGGCCAACACTTCGGATCGGCTGTTTTCTACTCTGGCACTTTTGCTAAGCGTTCCAATGCATGTCGGGCCGCATTGCTGTACAAATCCTGAAATGGACGAATTTCCGGATTGTAATGCTTGTCAACAGGCTGCTTTTCTACATCAGGTAAGTCGGTGGAATTCGGGCTGCCTTTTTATATCGGAGTTAATTACGGTTCCAATTTTTAGATGCTGATGTTGATTGCCGAAGCTGTTAGTCCGAAGAAGGAGGTGGCTATCCAGGCTACCGAAGATTTGGCTGTTGATGCACCGGATGAGACATCTATGACCACTTCACAACCGTCTACGTTATTATCTCCGCAAACACAACAGACCGGTATTCAGGCGCCAGGCAAGTTTTGCCAAGCATACTATTTTTTACAACCGTAGACATCTAACTTTTTATTTCCAGGCAGCGCAATGAACACTGGTGCTCAAGTCAGCCCTATGGAAGGTATGGAAGGCCTACAATATCATTCCGGAGCTGTAGTCGAAATGGCTAGCGATGAATGCGTTGGCATTCTCCCAACCGAAGAGGTTGGTTTTAACCACCTCCTCACAATTTTGCTTGACGTTAATAACGGTTTTTTTCAAACAAAGCCTACAACCCAAATTTTGCCGTCCTCTACCCGAACTCATTCTGCTTACCCAGCCTTACCTTTATAATACCCAAAACAGAGTCCTAATCAACCGTCACTCCAAAAAACATCAAGAGCCGGCGGACAGGATAAGTCAAAAGTGTGTCCCTAGATACAAGAAGGGGTCTATCCCTCAAAACACTTCATCCACTGTCCCCACCCACCACAATCCGATTCCAATTTGTAGTTTCACCTTTTTTGTCGTGTCGATTCCTTCTGGGCTTTTCGTAGATATGAATTGCACATGATCCCTAGTTATTTGTGATTGGCTTTGTAGCAGTTCGGAAGTGTCGTAATAGTTTTATTGCTGTGGTTTTATAACGTTTTGCGGGTTTCCTACGGATGTCCGTTTATTCCGTTCCCTACGTCGGTCCTACGGTTCCTACGAATTCAATGTCCATCTTTTCAAGGATGCCAGCTATAGGCAATACGAATTGCTTCAAAGCCAATCATTCCCCTCTCTTTGCATGGTCCTATCCTCCCTTCAAACCAATTAGAATTTTTCCGGTGCACTTTTAGGTTCAGATTACTGAACTTTAGAAAGCTTTTCGTTTAGGTCGAAATGGAGATGGCACAGGCGGTGACACTGACAGATCAGGATGTCGGACGGGAAGGATGTCACGTTATAACGACCACCCTGATAGAAGGAAAAGGAGGAACGCCGAGCTCGGTATGAACATTTGTAATTGATATTTACACGCTCCCACAGTCCTCAATGCCGCCTCCTCAAAATACGCCTCCCTCATTCTGGGATACTTCTGTTGGGCGTTTCCGATTCACGATGGACCAACTGCCATCGCAGCTGAAGCTAGTCCATGCATTGCTATCGGTACTTAATCACAACTGAATTGATTTATATACCCTTTCAGAACCTGGACCGCGAGGAAGACCCCGATGTTCAGTACTTCATGCTAAATTCTCTGAAGTACCTTTGCTTACATTGTGAAGCACTGGCCAACGCAAGAAGTCAGCATCGTGGATTCTTGATTTGGACCCTGGAACACATGTTTGTTCCGAAAATGTGGTCATTGCTTAGATCTGATTTTGTGCAAGTAAGCATTTGTGTATGTAACTTAATTGGGTTTAGGTTGGTGAACTTGCATCGCTGCTGCTCATCCACTGCGCCACGTTTCCGGCTGGCGAAGATATTTTGTGGAAAGTCGTGACAAAAGATTTCACCGCTGATAAATGGCAGACAAGATTTGATGCAGGTATGCTGACCGAAAACGTAAAAAAATTGGTTCCGCTGATCAGAGATTTTGAGAAATCGGTTCTATAACATTTTTAATTCCATTTTTTAAGTTGGTCGTGCCTACGTTCTGGCTCATATGATGAAGCCGGCGCCAGTGAAAGCCAACAAAGTGGTCCAGACGACGCTTTCTGTCATCTTCTACCACATGATCGTCTCTATCCATGATCCGAGCGCACAGGTAATTTGAATTTTAAATAAAGGTAGGATCACTTACAGGTTGCTCAACGTGCGTTGATTGCCACTAGGGTTCTCCCGAGCACGACTCTCAAGGTGCCGCTAAATATTCAAATAATAATTTTTTTAGCTTGTCTGTCTCTGTTTCGAAGCACAATTCGACGCTTGTATTATCGATCGACCGTTGTTGATCCATGCCATCCAGACGTTGACAACGCAGGTAGGACCTAATCGGAATTCCTTGACTTCTTAAATTTGCAGGTTCCTGATGAGACCACCCTCACCTACGAGTTTTTCATCCAGCGCTTCGAAACTCTCGTCATCGAAAGTCAATTAAATTCGCAAAGCGAAGACTCTGCATTTGTACAAGGTAATTTGCTTTCAAAATTTTCATGCCGAAATTATAGACTTATCACATACGGATCCGATGTCTGAGCTCTACCAGCGCAAGGTTAGAAAATACATAAAAACTCCGATTTTCTGGAGCTAACATAGTTATCCCTTTCTAGGTTACGAAAGCCAGAAAGGCTTTGGAAGAAGCAACGACCGCTCGCAGTCTTGTGCGACATCTCCGTGGCGTATCCCTCCGTCATCAGCTCCCACCAAAAATCGCTGATGAGCCAGGTCAGCCCTTGCAAAATACCGTCTTCGATTTCTCCTAAAGTCTCCCCTTTCAGCCTCTTCTCTGTTCCCCCCTCGTATCCGTCCACAGCTGTCAATTCTCTGCGTGTGCTAGCGATTGTTCAAAGATCCATTTTCTGGGCGTCTTGCATTTTGGGAATTGGGAGAAATCAAGCTCTCGACAAGAAACATTAAAATAACTCCCAAATCCTGGCTCACTGCCACCCATTCCCGGGCTGTCCTTCTCGATCCTCCACCGCGAATTTCACACGATTTCTGGGCCCTCTCTCAGTTGGGGCCGTTTCTTGCAGTGGCCAAGGGCTTCACCACTTTCCCTCCGTTATATTTTTGTGTGCAGAAAACACGAATTTGACAGAGATTACGCTGCGAAGGCTGCAGGGGCCTAGGCGGAGGGGTCGATTGTCGGCTGCGGCGCTGTCATGTCGGATGAAGATTTTGAAAGTGGTCACCCTGGTCCGGGTGGTCAACCGGTGGAGGGATATGGCCGCACAGGTTTTTTGTGCTAGACAAGTTGTTTTGAGCTGTGGAAATTGTTGCTAGGAAAACCAATTTGGAATTTAATTTCGCTCCACCAAAGATTTCAAAGAAAGTTCTGTTTGCTTAGCGGGGGGAGGATTAATAGGGGTGCTAAATTGCATTATAAAGTTGACTCTATTGCTGCAAAACACAGATTATTTTACTTGCTCTGATAGTCGGTTTCGATAAAAAGTTTTTCAGTTTTCTACCTTTCTCCTATGTTTTCGGCTAAAGGTCCCAATTTTAAGAAAAATGAAAAACTTAGAAAATTTAATATTTTTGTATGAACTATTTACATCTAAAAAAGCAAAAATCACAGTTAAAATAATTCTCTGTTTTAAAAACGGCATTAAGTTTGTAAAAAATTGTACAATAATTTTAGTAGTCGATCAGATCTTTTTTAAATGCTATATCAAGATATTTTCCTCTTACAACAATTTTCACAGCTCAAAAACTCAAGCCACACACCCCTCTTACCGTACACACCGGACCAAAAATTCTCAGTTCACCGTCTCGGCGGCATCCCTCGTCTCTCTGATCGCCAAGACGTCGCCAGTAGTGATGCGTAGGGTTTCATTCCCTCCAGATGCCCTTTGACAAGGACACCTTTTTTGCATGGTTCAGCCTCATCACACACCCAACTAACGACGCGAACGACCGCCTGCAAAACCGAATGTCATAGATAGCTCCAGTGAAATATAGATTAAAATATCCCCTCCTTTTCTTTCGGGGCTTATTAATGGTATTGAGCACGTGAAACGATTTGCATGCGAAACACCACCGTCACTTGGCTCCTCCCCTTTATCTGTCCCTTTTCACATTCTCAGACTTCTCCGTCTATCTGATCGCGCTCGATATTCTGAGTTTGGAATTCGCGGGGTTGAATTTAACAAAAAGGGAACTGTGTATTTGGACAAGCCATAAAAGTCCGCGAATTTCAAAGTCAAATTTTAACTTGTAAAAGTATTTTTGAGCCCTGAATTTCAGCTGATGCTGCTCATCACAATAATTCTGCTGCCAGCCCTGCTGCTTACTCAAGCGGTGAGTTTTCTAAAGTACCTAAAAGACAAAGCAAAGATCTACAATTTTACAAAATTATTCTAGAGCTCTTAGAGCAATATCTATAAAAACAAAAACATTAAAAAAAACTGCAGTCGATTTCGAAGAGCTCCCGGCAGCTGGAGGTTTGTAGCCGGCGCTTCGTTGAGCGCTCGTAGCAATATATCGTAGCCCCTACTGAATTGTGTCGAACAAAAGCTCTTGCTCCCCTCGGGGAGATTGGTTGTCCCCTTCTCTGCGTCCTCATCACCAGTCACTTGTAGTTCAGAAATTGCATCTGAGACAATTGCATAGAGTTTCTTGAGCCTTGGGTCCACGCGCCCGAGTTCTGTGGTTTTTCTTGTGGTATTTGTTAGGTTGTTGAAGTGAGCTTGGTGGGAGATGTTGGGAGGCCTAACAAGTACCGCAGAAAGGCCAAGACAGTCCCAAGAATTTGATGTATTATTAAATGTCGGGGATGTGGATTGATGGAAATTTGAACTAGAAATTTGCAATGGTATTTCGATTACCAAAGCGGCCGGCTTTTGACTTATTTTTCATATGTTTAAAGCTGAACTCAAATTTCCACCTATCGCATCCCCGTTTAGTTCCAATGCACAGTCGATTCTATGTTTGTCTTGATGTTGTCAAAATTCCATAACCAAATATAATTAGCATTTTAGGTGGATTCGGCAGACTGCGCGAATTCACGGATGAAGAATCAAACATGTGCCTCCTTCTGAATCGCGTCGTCGACATGGAAAACCCAGAACGACACACCGTCTACCTCATCATCAGCCTCTTCGTGTCCTTCCTGTGCAATAAAAAGGTACGTCCTGCCTTTCACAATTTTCTAAGCTGCCGTCTGTAATAGAAGTACGGGAGCGCACTCTCCCTGGTAGAATTGTTTTTGTCCAGTAGATTGTCTCGTTTTGTCACATACCCAAGAAATGTCTTGTCCAACTTGTCCGGTAGGAATGTGTTTTGATGTAGAAACCTTTCAGAATTAGCATATATAAAAGCTTCTGCGTCAGCCCAGTGCTAAGAAACCAATTTCAATACCTCTTTGTAAAAATTACTAGGAGACGTTTCAAATCGCAAACTTTTAGTTTTCGATGCAGTTTGCTTCACAATTTTAATCTTAGTTCCCTTGACACAGCTTTTAAAAAACACTATAATTTAGTTGGCTACAACAATGCCACTTTTCCACTCAATTTGCCGAATCCTTTAAGAGCATGCTAGCTTCTGCAAATTGCACCGGCTTTTTCTTGAACAAAATCGCTTGACAAACGGCCGACCCTCCCCCGGAATATGCAGCATTCATTAGCATTCCACAAACTGTACGCATCACTCCTTTGTAAAGTTGACGGAGCCAGTGGAAGAAGACGAGGTGAGTATGGCTGGCTGATACATATTGATGGAAGGAATGCCATTTCCGTATGGAAATGGCTGCGTCTCTGCCAATCTGCACTCTCTCCACTCCTTCGTTTCCCTAATTTCATGTGAAACAGGATTGATTGGATATGAATTTGAATGTTTTCTGACCGCATGTTGCCAGTTTGAATTTTCGAAAGGGGTGAATTATTTACGGCTGCTGGACGTCGTCAAACTAAGAATTGAGAGGTGGTACGGTAGAAATTGTTGAATTTTAGGCTTCGCCAACGGACGAGAAGCAGAATGCAAAGAAGCAGTCGCTGTTGTTCCGGCATTTCAACGCTCTTCTTGGGTATTCGAATACGGAGAAGTGCTTTACGATACCACCTTCAAGGATCAGGTCGGTCGAAAGGTTTTTGATGTCATAATGAGACTTTTTTTTCAGAAGATCTGCCGTATGCAACGCTTTTCTCTCTGGACTGCCAGAGATCCTCGATTCAAATTTGATTATTGGAAATCAAGTAAGACATGGTATTCGAAAAATTATGTAGAATTGCAGCTCCTTCCAACCGTGGTCCAGCTCCTCATCCACCTACCATCGCCACAAAAGCTGGCTAGCGATCGGCACAACTGCAACTATTCATTGAAACTTTTGGAACAACATCCTAGGTAACATACCGTCTATGTTAAACAACCTTTTTTAGGCATCTCTGGCTGAACTCGCTGATTTTGATCTTGTACAAATACCGCTTTGACACCGTCCCAATCAGCGATGGAGTCTTAAAGTTAATCAATATCGTTTTGAAAACTTTGGAGGGACAGGTCAGCCATTTTAACCTAATAGCTTTAAACCCGGTTCTTCCAGGCTCACCTGTGTTCTGAAGAGATGTGTATGGACGCAGAAGCCTGTGCTGGATGGGGTGATGTATCGACCGAAGATGAAGACGAAACGCTTCCAGAAGAAACGGTCCACCAGGCACGCAGACCCGACACCCTACGTGTTGCACGTATCGCGGTACGCATGCCTTCTCTCCCTTATTTGACACCTTTACTACCTTTACATCATTTTATTTTGAATCGAATACCCGAGCAGTAAGTCCCCCAATCTCCTGTTTTCCAATTTCTTCTCCATTCGGTTTTTAAACGTAGTGTTGTGGCTGGGAGTGCGAATTCCATTTTCCGATCTTCTCCTCTACTTTCCTCAATATTCCGACTTCTCCGCGTTTCCGTTTTTGTGTCCCTTTCTAGAAGGTTGTTTCTGATTTAGTTTTAGGTAGCAGCTTTTGAGACCGTGAAATTTTGAGCTATGTTTTGTCTTTAGGAGCAAGTGGAACCAAGTGCGGAAATGGAAATGGCGACGGTAGTCGAGCCGACTGTTGTGGTTATGGAACCCGGAGGACACACATTGGCAAGCATTCTCATCACTGCGTAATTTCCTTATTACAGACTCCGCTCGTTCAAGCCTCCGTAATGCAACCAACCATCATTGAACCTTCACATCAACCCGGATCTTTTCACAAGACTTCTATGGAAAGGCGGAAAAAGGTATTTTTGGTTAAAAATTCTGTATATATTTTCTGAAGAGCGCCTCGTTCCGTGTGGAACTCCTTCGAGTTCCAACAGTTGTAAGTATCAAGGGGTGTTCCTGGCTGAAGATTCACCTAATATTTTTGAGAATTTCTTTGCGAAAAAGAAGGGCTTAACAGTAGTGGCATCGGAATACAATATTTATCCGGGGGCCTAACAGTGTGCACAGGACGTTAATTGCATCTGTATACCGACCCGGCTTTGACTGGAACCACCCCCCGTAATGAATGGGGTTAGCAAACACCGAGTGCTACAACGTGCATGGTTTTTTGTGTGGGGCCGCTGCAGACCTGGCTTTGATCCGGGAGATGGCAGATTTCCATTAAAAAGTAGATTGTTTGATGCCTTTGATGCCAGTTACAAAAATCAGTATGATTCGCGAAATTAACACAAAAAAAACTGGAAGTAAGCTTTCCAGGGATTCATAATCAGTTCTTGCACTTACACAATTTTTCTCACTGCCCTAGACCCAGATGCAAAACCGGCTTGGCTCTATGAACCAAAGTTTTGACGTTTTTAAAATTTTAGCGCATGCAAAAGAAGGAATCCTCATCAAAACCGAAGCGCTTGGCCCAAGCCGTCGAGATGAGATGCGGATTCTGTAACCATCCCACCGAAAGCTTCGACGAGGAGACCTTATCTCTATGCCTTGTATCTTTATCGGCCTTCCTACATCGTGAACCGGCAATGGCGGCTCCCAGCTTGTTCCGTATCTTGCATACGGTCACTAGGTCGGTAAATCGAAACCTACAAACAACAAAAAATCTAATCCAATTTTTCCATACAATTTCCATTATTAAGGCTTATCGATAAACCACTTTACCCATGGCATTCCACCGACGTTTTTGTGCCCGGCAATTGCAAATCGGTTGCCAAACAAATGGTGCGAGTGGTGATCCATCAGGTATTTTTCACGTTAGTTGCTTTATTGATTTCCATAAGCTCTCCTCATCCGGAATTGCCTACCAACTTTTTGATTCGACACTGCCGAGGGATGATCCATTCTGGGGTGTCATTGCGTTATCCCTCGCTGATTTCACCGAGTTGAGCCCGGTCTACTTTATTCAACTTCTTTTGGAGGTACAGCCCCTAAAAATATAGAAATTTTCAAAAATCAGGATTTACAAGAAACATGGCCACAAAAGATGTCGACAATTATGCGGAACTTAGCTACATATACTGTGGAGGTAATTTAGCAATATTGCTATCCACGATGCTATAACTTTCTCAGATTCCAACCGACTCCTACATCGTGCATTGGAGCACGTTGTCTGGCCATTTGGAAAACTTTTTCCGGAAATATCATACCGTGGTAGGGGAATAAACAAACTCCATATGTTTTCCTAGATGACGGCCGAGGGTGGGAAGAAGCCTATGAGAAGCGAGCTTCAAAATGCCATTACCGTTCTCGCCCATGTCATGAAGGTTCAAAACTTTTCGTCATTCAAGGTGGGATAAGTCAAGGCATGAAAAAAAATAGAGCTTTAGAACGCGGTCCCACTGGTTGATGCGTTTTCTAAATGGCTGTCCGAAGCGATGCATTCAACGCCCCTAGCACTACCCGCTCTGCTGACAATATGCACGGCCTGCAATCGCGCGTTAATTAGAGTAAAGCTCTTATAAGTACCATAGTTTTTCTTTTTTTTGCGTTTCAGGAACGCGATAAGCAATGCATTACCCGGTCGGTGGTTTCTGAATTGATACACGCCATCAAATTCAAATGCCCGATGCATGAGGCGAATTACATGACGATTGCGAATATGATTCTGCAGGTAATAACAATCTATATTTAAAATTTTGATGTTGAAAATCGTATGGCATCGCATTTGATATAATTTTTTTATGTCAGGATGCCGGGGAATCAATTCCTGTGGCTTTGAACGACGATCAGTTCAATACAGCAGCCGCAGAGGCTGTCCGCCCATTCCTCTTCGAAATCCTCGACTTTATCTCGGATCTTCATGTCTTGGCGAAAATCAAGGTAAGAAATCTCATAGTTTTAAATTCAAATCGAGCAAATACAATCACAAAATTACCTTTAGAAAGAGATCCAATCAGACAGCGTCGGTGGAGACCTGAAGGTTGCCTTGGCGGAAGTGATTGCCGTGGAAATGAGCCGGTAAAATTATAAGCATCAAGTTATTATTTAAGAATAGATCTAGTACTCGCGACTGCCGAACGGTGATCAGGTTTATTCCGTGGTTGATGAGCCCGCCATCCGTTACACAAGGTATAGGTCGACTTTAGGGTATTCTTCCCAGTAATTAATAACGATGTAAGTAAACTTTCTAATGTAGCGTAAAATGGGGGCAATCTGGCTCCAAAACTTGAGAAATTGTTTACATCGAGAGAGACCCATTACTGCCGAGTGGGGCTGGCGGACGAGTCCGGACGGAGGGGTGGGGTGGGCGTGGCTCATAGGCCCTCTCCCCCGTCCCTCTTCCATCCTCCCATGTGGTCTAGTGGTTAGGATTCGTGGTTTTCACCCACGCGGCCCGGGTTCGATTCCCGGCATGGGAAGCACTTTTTGCTTTTTGGGCATAAATTTAGAAACTGGTTATGGTAGGTGATTTTGCTGCTAGGTCTGGCTGAAAGTTTTTTTTTTGGCCCAGTGATACCTTGTTTTACAGCTGCCCCTGGAGCTTTTGCTGATTCGGTGTCAAACGTGCGGGTCTTATCATGGCTACTTTTGGGAGCACTACATGCTGGTCAACATTGTCTACCAGTGCCCATTGAATGTTCTCAGCATATGGCTGATTACATCCATTTTGTGCTAGCAGGATTTGCCGATCAATCGAAGGTACGTTAGGGATCTTAGCGAAAAAGTGCTACGATACGTACCAAAAACTTAGGAAGAGATAACCCAACTTTGAATTACAAAGCCTGAAATCCATGTTTAATATTTCTAATATCTTCTTCATTACTATTTTCTAATTCGCTAGTTCAAAAAATGGCATCCACTTTCCGAATGATAATCTTTTCCTACGCTAAAAGTCGTCTGCATGTTTTATTTCTCTTCGGCTAGACAGCTCAAACTCTTTCGATCTTTTCTGGCTGCTGTTGGATTGGCTTAAATACCATTCGGGCTTCCGGTAACCGGGAAAATTTTCTGCAGAAATCCCACTTGCCAACGTTGTCCGGTGCATCGACGCAGATCTTTGAAGTTCAAGTAAGGGAGAGTTGCGCTCGCCCCCTCGAAAAGACCCAGACACACAATGCTTCAATCTACACTGGGTGTCCCTGGAGATAACCTATAGCTTGTGCTTGAAAATTGTATGGAATTGGAACATATATTTGGTACGATACAATTGGAAATTATGCCCATATTTTCTAAATATGTAAAAAAGAAACAAGGAAACGAAATGAGCCCCGGAAAATCTTATTAGTACCGTAATTGGAGTACAAAATAACCGAAAATTCCAATTCCATACATATACCTTCTTCCTAACCCAATACTTCCACCTCCACGCCAAGCCTTCCGCTCTTCGCCCCACAAGAAGAACGCCATCATTCTCAAAACGCACAATTACCCCGCAAAAAAATTTAGTGCTTATGCTTCCGTTATTTCCGTTTTTAACTAATTTGTACACGATCATAACCCGACAGTAATCCTCACCATATAACCCCTAGAAAATTCAAGTTAACCCTAAGAACCGTTTTTACACCATTGGCATGTGTTGATCGGAATCGTCTTCCGAAACGCCGTAACCTAGTAGCTTTAGAGACGGTTCCAAATGTAATAGTGCTTGGAAAATTGTTAATTTTCAGCAATCGGTGGTGCACATGTCGGCGTTATTCCATGCATTCCATCTATGCCAATTGTGGACCATATATTGTGAACGAGCTGCCAGCTTTTCGTCACAAACTGCCTTCAGGTGAACACAATATCAATAAATTTCTATCGAAAAACTTGCAGTCATCTTTTGGACTTTTGGGCTCGAGTGACGCCGGCTATTTTGCAGTTGCTAAGCCATTCAAAAGTGGTAAGTCATTAAATAACTTTGAATTTACGATTTATATAACACTATTTTAGCTTGCCGATATGGTTAACCTACACTTTTTGAATACGATCCAGGCCTTGCAGCAAGGTATTGGGAATTATACTAGGAAATACCGCCCCGTATTACAGTAAATTCCGCTCTACTCTGTCAACTATTTGCAATGTGGGCACCAATTCTAACCGCCTACCATTCTCAAATTCCAAGCCAGCTCCGGATGAAGGTAATTTGAGATTACTAGCGTATTTCTAAACTTACCAAATTTCCGTTGGACTCCTGCGAAAATCAACCGGCCCTCGCGCCACCACAACTTTCCGAATGGCTCAAGAAAGTTCGCTACAAGATTGCCCAAGTCGAACTGCAAACTTCCGCGGCTTCCCCTTACTACACTGTCTGAACTCACGGGCCAATCATTTCGAATTTGAATTCTGATGATGAACACTGTCTTTCTCCGGTGCTGTATAGATGGCTAGAGTTTTTAAATATGAATAAATTTTTATTCTTTATTGAGACTTGTCAAAGCGGTCGGGGGGAACACAGTGGAAAACGAACATCAATGTTTCGCTTAGGGGCTTAGGGGTTGTCGGATCGGGTCTCTAATCATCCTTTCTATACACGAATCTTCCAGCATTGAGCTGAATCCCAAATGAAGAAAATAATGGACCTTCCGGGTGGGTGATTTGCATCTCTGCAGGCCGGCTGCCCCCGCGTGTCCCTGCTGCCCCTTGCATCCAGCCCCCCAACAGCCCCTCAGTGCCGCATTAGCTCAGTTGGTAGAGCGTCAGACTTTTAATCTGAATGTCAGGGGTTCGAGCCCCCTATGCGGCTAATCACTTTTTGATCTTTTTGCGAATTTCCAAATCGTGACGTTCTACGCTCGTGACGAGCAGATTTTTGGTTCTCGAAAACCGATCACCATTCGAAATACCTCGAAATCGTACAAACATCTTCAGAACCATGTTTTTGTTGTATTTTGAAGGCAGTTAGTTTATAGGTGGTCTAAAAACGTTAAAGAACGGCTTCCATATCTAATTAACCACCACTTCCGATCTTTTGATTTGAGAAGTTGAGGCAAATTAACTCGGAAAAACAAAGCAACGCTGAAGAAGCTTTTAGATAGCTGATTGCTTTTGGATAAACTTTTTATGAATATACGTAGATTACAAACCAGCGTTCTTTTGAGTTATGGGATGAATATCATGTGGCTGAGGAAGGAGATTAAAACGAGGGCTGGGTGAGGACCACCCAGAAAATTCATGCGACCACCCCGCGCGTTTGTAATGGGTGGTCCCTGGCTAGGCAAAGAAAAGGGCCATCCTGGCTGCCCAGTATCCCCCAATCCTAGCATGGCAATGCACTGCAAAGCTATATAAGTCCATGAAAACTTTTGTTAAAATTTGTTCTTTTGTTTTTAAATAGCCAGAAATTCCTTAAAATTAAAAATTCTATTTCAAAATCAGAATAATTTGCAAATTGGGTTTTTGGATATGTTTACAGAAATATTTTGCCAATTTAGAATTATTTGTCGAACTTTTCCTGAAATATATGTTGCAGATAAAGACGCATTTTCGAAATCATTAAAAAAAAATAATTTATCGTTTTCTTCCAAATTATATCGGATTGTTCTGTAACTCCATTTGTATCGTCGGAATGCTGACGGCAACATCAAGGAGTTTTGAGCTAAGTGCGGGGTTGAGCAGGAAAGCCTAGGATTGCATAGTTCAGGGACTTTTGTAAAATCCTACCACTCCTTTTTCGGTGACGTATTGTTGAAGGGCTTTTGTATTACTTTCGACGATCCATTCTTTGATCTAAAATTTAAGAAAAGTATATAAAAATATATTAAAAAGATCTTTAACCGGGATACAAAAGTATAAATAAAATTTTCGGAACAGAAAGGACGCCATGGTGTTTTCATTTTTTTGGCATGAGGAGCCTTTCGCGAAATTTCAGCCAATTTGGCCGTGACCACCGATGGAAGCAAACGATTCCCCTAGTGTATGTATTATTGACGCCTCTACAATATGAACCCGGTAAGCTGTCCAATTTCAAACTTTCTACTTTAATTCATTAGGAATTTGTTGCTGCTGTGGAAGAATGGAAGAAAATGCGTGCCCGGTTTGACCAACGAAAGGTAGGGTTGGCTCATTTCTGACCAAAAATTTTTAGAACTTAAAATATGAATTTGAATTGTATGTGTTGTTTGAAGAAGAAAGCCTACCAATTTGGGCGTTATACCAGCAAGCCGTGGCCGGAAATATCTCAGTTCCAAGTAAAAGCTATGTTTTAGAGATTCTAATCCAAAATTTAAGAAAAAGATTATCACGACCCGAGAGATGATTCGTGGATGTGGGGTTGGATGTGGGGAAATGCAAAATGGTTGGCTTGGAATAAATTATGGGGTTAGTTTTTGAGTTCTTGCATATGAAACTAAGCAAAGCTAAAAGATTTATTTTAGGCATGGATCCCTCTGAAGCAGAGACACTGCTAATTCAAGAAGTCCATGCTTTAAAGAACCGGTTGCCAGATCTAGTTGAGCAATGGAAAGATGTTCAAGATCCAAGGATTCCGGATGAAAAGGTTTGTCAGATTCCGAATTTTTTCCCAACGAATTAGGCGTGGGTCCCGGAAGATGAGCGTCAACACTGGGCGGAAGTTTCAAAAGTAGCAAAACAGGAGCGCAGGTAGCAATTTTTGCGCCCACAAGAAAGTAGATTTTTTAGAAAACGATCAGCAGCTCAGCGAGCCCACGAAGAAAGCTTGGGGATGTGGGATTAAAGTAATAAATTGTTATCTTAGACATACCGAAACCCGTTCGTCTTGATGCACCTCAGCCAGAATATCTTTCGCGTTCATAATTGAACTGCCGTATTTGTGGAAAAATGCGATCATTCGTTGTTGTTGGGCGGCGTCACATATTTTACCAGCCTAGAAGTAATTTTTTACAGTAATTTTTTCACATCGGCTTAGTATCTCGTACTGACCTGTGCCAACGTTTCTTCCACAGCCTCTTCTACTTTTCCTTCTTTCACTTTTCTGGTGAGAGCTTGATCAAAACCGTGATCTGTCTTAAAATAATTGTCCCTTCGATTGGCTTTTTTTCAGTTTACCTTTAGGGAATCTTTAATCCGACTGAAGCATGTCTCCCGCGTAGACTTTGACTAAATATACCTTTTAAAAAAATTAAGAAAAGGTACTGACTGCGCTATCATCTGCCGAAAGCCATGAGTTGAACTTTTTCAAGCCGGCATTAAAATCCCACTTGGACGGATCGAAAAATTCAGTGAAGCTGGGAAGGGCAAATATTGTCGGGATGAAAACCGCCAGAAGCTGTAATTTCTAGAAATGGTAATAACTGAAAAAACCTACAAGGATTTCTAGTCGCATTGGCAGGGGATGGTGATGAACAACGATGGACCGATAGAATGAGCTACCCAATCGTAGAAGCCCGCAAAGTGATGGGGGTGTGACGGGCTTTTTGGGAGGACTTCTCGACCGGGTTGGGGTGGAGGTGTCCTAAGCCCCCGAGGGGTCCGGACAGTCACAGCCACCTTAGCACTAGGGCTTAGGACCATGGCCCTACACACGCAACCCACACATTCACGCCAACACCCTGTCACTGGACGCTCTCGTCACATGCACGCCAGCAAATGACGCTGATCAGGATTGTGTAGCGGTAAACGACTAAAAATTGAAATAAGCTTAAAATTTGTGAATTTGAATTGAATTTGGAGCGGCCATAACAGGCCGATTCAAGCCACGGGTTTGCGTCAGATTAAGCCGACGATGCGGAAAACTTGAGATGAGAGAAATGACATTCTAAGTTCGGTGAATTACGATGGGAAGCGGGAAAGAAGAAAAGGTAAGAAAACGAAAACTTCTGAATTAAAAAATGGTAAATTAAGCTGATATCACGTACATAGCGCAAAACAACTCAACAAATAATAAAGCAAAAACCACGAATTGCCTTTCCTCAAAAAAGCAAAAAGTTTGCGTTCGGGGGGAATCGAACCCCCGTCGAATGCTTGGAAGGCATCCATGCTGACCATTACACCACGAACGCAGCTGGACGGGGGAACACGGGAGAGGGCTATTAGTTCCCCCACTCGGCTTCGCGCTTTCCCCGCCGCCAGCTGTTTTCCCAGATGTTCTCTTCGACTAATCGGGAAGAGAGGAAGTAAATGAATAGCGAGGGTCGGAATTCCCGTATAAAATCACAAAAATACAACAGCGTAGTAAGAATGATAGTGTGTCGGAGCGGATGGGCTGTTTGATAAACGTTGTCACTCTGGAGGTTTCTTTTGTTTCATAGTCTTGCAATATTTTTAAAAGTTTTTTTTCGGACAAAAATCCACGTAACCTAATTTTAATTAGTTCGACAACCACACGAAATTATTTATGCACGCAGTCTTTAAACTTTACAAATTTTTATTCCCAAATTATCTTTTTCGATATCATTTCTCTGATGCAAAACGCAACCCTTTCTATTATTTCTCCGCCAGGTGTTCCCTACCCACAAAAGCGCCTTTCATCGGCCGCGATTACGTCCCGATATTTTATGAGCTCCCTGCCCAGGCCCGTAGGAGGGGGGGCGGAGGGGGCATGCCGCCCCCCCCGAAATCTGCAGATGTCGAAAAAATGATAAGGGGGGACCCTTATGATTTTTGAACATTTTTGAAAAAGGGCGGTAAACGGCAGATGTTTTTGAACCGCCGCCCCCCCCGAAATTTTGGGTCAGCTACGGCCCTGTCCCTGCCTCTACTCAGAAATTCAAAATGCATCAAGAATGCAGGAGGCATGTGACCCTGACCCTATGGCAACCAACGCTTCGTTTCCCAACATTGATTAAACCTCACATTCTATTATAAAATAAATGTTGTTGCTTGTGATTTTATGTTTGCCTGGACTTATCGAATCCGGAGGTAAGGAATCGTTGAAATTGAAAACCCAGCTACAAATTATAGGCTTACAGCCGGACTTGCAACTTTTTGAAGATATGATGAAGACTTGTGAGAATGGAACAAATAAATGCTTACCGCCATTGATACCAAGGCTTCCGCAGTGGTTTGTAAGTGTTTTGGGGAACATATATGTAGCAAAATACGTTTTAGATCCACAAACCCACCAAATTCGCTGCTTGTAACCTTCCATCAGTGTTGACTCCGTTACTTGAACGAACATTCTGCATGCTCAATTTACCTTATGTGGCCGGAAAACCAGATACTTCCGCGTTGGCTAAACAGTAGGTCCAATACCAGACAAAATTAATGGTATAGGATCTGCGCGTTGTCACCGAATTACGCTTTCACTACCCGGGATTTCACAACCTTCCTGACGAAAGAAGCGTTGAATGGACTGCCATCACCACAGAAGAAAGAACCGATTAATTATGATCTAGAGTTGCGGTTTTCCAAGCCGTCCATAGCTGCAATCAAATCACAACCTTCCATTTTAGCAACGAAATCTAGGGTAAGCTATTGTGAGACCCTGATTTTAATCTTATTCAGCCAGTCCCAGAGGCTACTTACGACCAACCGGTTGCCACTGCTCGATTTTCTGCCCCGAACCCGGAAGCCATTTCGTCTAGGCCAAAAAATACATCAACGTCTGATCGGCCATCTGACGCTGGTATGACTGACCCATGAATTCCACGAAAAGCTTTTCTTTAGCTATCAAATCGAACATTTCCGAGGCATCACGCTTCTCAAAACCACCAGAAATGATTATCCGGGCGCTGCCAGAATATGCTGCCTACAGTTCTGCACCATCAGAAAACGCTCGATTTTCTCCGCCTCAAATTCCCGCTGCTTTTTCACGCCCACGAAATGAGTCGAGTAAGTTAACTTACTAAACAACAAATTCTAAACCCCTTTAGTTTTCTCATTTCCTGGATTTTCCTCTTCCTCTTCACTACCGTCCATCGTTTCTTATTTTTCACAACCAAGTGATACGGTAGTTATTTGAAAGTCCTTTGAATATCAATTAAGGTGATTTTCTCATCACCAAGTGGGATCTCCTACCTTTCAAAGCCAGCCATGGATATCCTCCGACAACAGCCATCCTCTGATTTATTATTCTCTAAACCAACTGGAGGGGATAGTGCCCCGGACAAGGAAATATTGTATTCTAAGCCGATTTCTGAAGCTATACACTCAAAACCAAGAGGTGATGTTTATGATGGTACGGAAGTTCGGCCAACGGTTGGCATAAGAACAACAACAGAGGAAGCAGCTTACACGAGTACGATTAGCTCAACTATTGTTGAAAGGTATACAAAGATATGTAATGAAATATTAAGGTAATTTTTTAGCGAGTCGAGTCAACTTGCAACGGACTGGACATTGTTAGCTGTTGTCCAGGAACCATTGGCCCGCTTTTTGTTAAATTGGTGGAATAAATGTGTCAAGTAGGTTTAATAATACTTTTGCCCGACCATTGCCGAATTCAGACCGGCAGAACTCGGAGCAAAATCATGTTTTGGATGCAAAGATGATATGGATTGCTTGCTGGCGACGATCCTCGAAAAAGCTGATCACCTCCTTTACAACGAGGACCCAGAAGATGAACTTCTCAACTATTTTTTGCCGCAAAACTGGTAATAACTAATTTCTTTTCATTAAAATCCGCCCAGGCAATGTGATTTCGCACGTTTTCCTTATAATATTCTACAATATTCGGAGATGGCCGGGGTCTTGCCGTATGTTGATAATGCGATACAGAGTGCGGTGATGCGGATGACTGGGACAAAGTAAGTACTAACACGCTGACGCATTAAAAGACCGTTTGCGAGAGACCCGAACAAGGCTTGGCACAATTTTTTTCGACCCCCATTTTTTGATGCCATCTGATAGAGCGTGGTCGAATTAGAGGAATCGCACTAAGTTGGGATTTTTAAATTATCATTTTCCTGGTTAAACAAGGCGTTAAAGTTGCCAACGTCGAAAATTTATCTCGACAACCACTTGACAGAATTGGCTGAAACTTTGTGACTAGGCCTAATTTGGGATGGGGATCATTTTTCTAATACATCGCGAAGCACGAAAATTAGCAGAACCTAGTTAAATTGCATCCCCAAAACAGTTTTTGCCGAATTTCAAATTAACGGCGAGTCGGCCGCAAGCTGGAAATAGGCTAGAAAGATGCGCAAAATTTTTCTGCATCGATTGATGTATTATTTAGGTGGCGGTCAGGTCGCCGTTTTCTCACAGCGAGCTTTTTATAGGTGAAAAATGGTCTGAAAATCTGACTAAAATGGAAAATATTGTGATACATATGTATTTACACACGGAGTAGTCAAAACCCATTAAGAAATCATGCCAAGTCGATTGCAAAAAGAGCAAAAAGAAATTCGGCTTCTGAGAGGGGAGCTGGGATTGAACTTGGCGGTGGTGGATTGGCACGCCGACGCTCTACTCACTGCGCCACAGGGCTCCCAGGCGGAGGGTCCGGGTTCGATTCCCGCCCAAAACAAGCACTCCTTCAAATGTCGAATTTCTTTTTGCTAATTTTTGCGTTTAGCTTGGCGTGATCGTTAAATGTGAATCCCATAGGTCAAAACAGAGAATCACAAGATTTTCCATTTTGGTCAGATTTTCAGACCATTTTTCAGCTATAAAAAGCTCGCTGTGAGAAAACGGCGACCTGACCGCCACCTAAATAATACATCAATCGATGCAGAAAAATTTTGCGCATCTTTCTAGCCTATTTCCAGCTTGCGGCCGACTCGCCGTTAATTTGAAATTCGGCAAAAACTGTTTTGGGGATGCAATTTAACTAGGTTCTGCTAATTTTCGTGCTTCGCGATGTATTAGAAAAATGATCCCCATCCCAAATTAGGCCTAGTCACAAAGTTTCAGCCAATTCTGTCAAGTGGTTGTCGAGATAAATTTTCGACGTTGGCAACTTTAACGCCTTGTTTAACCAAGAAAATGATAATTTAAAAATCCCAACTTAGTGCGATTCCTCTAATTCGACCACGCTCTATCAGATGGCATCAAAAAATGGGGGTAAAAAAAACTGTGCCAAGCTATAATGGGGACTGTTCGAGTGACTCGCGGACGGCCTTTTAATGACTCGCCCATAGGCTATTTTTTTGGTCATATTAGTTGCTTTCACAAAAAAATACTACTAAATTTAAGCTCCAAAATTCCTGGGCTGATAACATCTATGAATTGAAATTTACTGAACTTTTTAGAAGGACAGCTTTATTGATGCAAGACCCCCTTCAACAAACTGGCTTCGACGATTTCTACCTGAAGCTGAAAGGGTTGTTTGCGAATAAGAAATTGATGGAGAAACTGGCAAAGATTTATTATCATGATTTTATGATGTTTGATTATAATGCTAGTTAATTTGGTTACGATATAAAGAGTTTAACCATGATACATAAAAATAAAGCAGATCACATTTTCATCATTTTTGAATTCTACACAATTCTTCTCCTGAAGCGACTCGGAACCTCGATCTTTTGGAACTACCAATTTTCATAATCGAGCATCTTAATAATTTTTAAGTTGTATAACTTCGAATTTTTAGAAAATTTATAGACAGAACCAGTTTTAAGAACCATGGGGTATCCATGAAAATTCGAGATTCCGCAAATTGCAAATTACGCGGTTCGATATTCTGATTTTCGTATTTCTGATAGACTCACGCTATTTACATATTTTACTGATATGCATACAGATATCTTGGATGTAGTGATAGGAAGAAGAGTGTTCCTCCCCCGTCACCCCCCTTCTGGCTTCCGAATCCAATTTGGGCACCCCATCCCCTTCTTCGTCTTCAGGCATCCGGTGAGCCATGAGGGGGGAGGACCCCTCCCTCGCTGGCCATCTCCACCCAGGTGCCTCAACTTGCGCCTTTTCCGCCGTTTTTCCGTCTGCACGCCGGCGCTTCTTTCTATCAAATTCGAAACCTGCTTTGCGGGTGAGGGGGGGGGGGGGTCTCGGAAAAACGGATGTTGCAAACAGGAGTTGAGAACGAGTTGTTTGGGTGGTTTCTTGGAAGATGGGTTTTGCAAGTTGGTTTTAAGGTGTTTGTAGGCGTAAGTATCTACATATCTTCAAAAAATTATTTATCTTTTTAATTTTAGCATTGCCTTTGACATTTTCCCAACACTGCCAAAAATTCTAGGTTCGTCCTTTCCTCCGTAAGGATTATAGCATTCGTCTATCCATTTGGACCCTGATTGCCCCCTGTGACCCGCTCCTTATTCAACCCTTATGTGACAGCCAAGTACCTCCCAAGATATTTGCTTAATTTTCAAATATAATCTGCCGACGCCGTATGGTTTGAGCCCCTGTGCCTTTTTGTGGGTCCTTTCCTTTCCTTTGGGTCCCTCATTCCGCATGCATACTCGCAACGTGCTGGGGTTGAAGTAACTTGCTTAACAAGGCGAAGCGGGTAGTATCTGGGTAGTTTGATTGGGTGGGTGGTGCTTTTCGTTCTGGTTGAGTAAGCATTGTACTTCTGGGTATTTTGCATCTATTTATTGTACCGTAGCCCCCCAGAAAAAACAAAAGAATTAGTTATCTGTGCTAAAATTTCTCAACGGATTATTCTGCTTAAAATTACATACCAATACGCTTTGATTGGTATTCTAAAGCCACCCACCTAACCAAACTTTTGAGTTGACTTTTCGTTCTCCTCCACCTCCGGGGGACACACTAGGGTGCAGCTATAATTATGTCGTTTGTACCACGGTGGACTGACTGGGGGTTGCATATAATGGCCCCATGCACTGACTGGAGCAGGACCCATTTCTGCCCAATTTCCCTGCCCACCTCTGCATAAGCATTCAGAAGGCCATTCCGACACACTACCCCCCAAGGACACCACGAATGAACAGTCTACTTACCTCATTTTCACGCCACGGGGTTCTTGGGGGGTGGTGAAGCGGGGAATCGGGTTGTAAAAGGGGCTGGAAGGGAGGTTTTTAGGCTTCTAAGCTTCCTTTAAAAAACCAAGCTATTTGCTTGCTTTCTGGTTTTGAATATTACCATTTAATCCAAGTTACACGTCTTTTAAAGGAACAGATAAGATAGGGCTATAGTTTCCTGTCTATTTTTTCCCTGCCTTTCATATGGAACTTCTTGGTTGCAGCAATCCATCACGCGTCTAAAGACGAACGCGGGTGTAAAAAATTCATCTATATTCTGCCTTGCCCGGCCCTTTAAAACGACTTTTGGGTCCTTTTGAGAATCCAGCATATGAGGGTATGTAATACCGTAAGCTAGCCCTCCAGCGCGTCTAGCTCCATTTCCCCTAGAAAGTGTTGCAGAACAAGCATATTTCAACACCATTTCCGGTCGGGCAACACATTCCATAGCCGTTTTATGCTAGTGAGAAATCAGCTAGACCCCCAGCCATATCCGCCCCTAGCCCCTAGATAATTAGTTTACAAGCCTGCCCTGCCATATGCGTCCCCCAAACATAAAGGCCAAATCTGGGTCTTCGCTGCAATACATTTTTGTAGATTCCATCCAAAGTCTGTAGCCAATGTACTTGTTATTGGCTTTCCTTTACGGCCGTAAAAAAATGAAACCGGCATGGTTTACAAAAGACATAAAATCCTTTAATAACCCATACAAATCCACACAACCGATTTTAGCCACAATTCCTTAAAGAAATCGGAAGTGAAGTGGTGGGCCCCAAAGCAGTGGGACCCCCGCCATCGTCTTCCTTCCTTCCCGTACCGTGCAATTTTCCTATTAGTCCAAGAGGCTCCAACTGGCCGACCACCCATCGTTCCCATTCAAGCCCTCCTTCAACCCACAAATACACCCCCAATCTCGTCCTCGTCCACCCCCCTCTACTCCATTTTTCCATTTAGCTTGGCCTAACCCCGAATGGGGCACCCATCGAATCTGTCCCCCGGGTCTTGGCCGGATTTTAATTTGCATGGGAAGGGTTTTTATCGCTGAAGAATTCTAAACAGCTTACTTTTTTTCTGGATTTTCTTTGTCACGTTTGGATCAAAATTCTCACAAATCTGAGGACCGGGGCAAGTTTCCGGTCCTAGAAGTGACGCAAGACATCTAAATGTACACCTGGGAAAATAGCTGCGAATCTAATTTGCATGTAATTATTTTATTTGCCGGAAGTCATAGTTAATAAAATCCACATGTTTGAAAATGCATGTGATTCAAATAAAAAGTCGGTATTTCACTCCCTTATTTGCTTACATGCGATAATGTGTAAGTTTTATTAATACTGTCCTAATTTTATCTGATTTAATTTTTATACAGATGATTTTTAACGGATCTAATTTAATACCAAAAGGTTTAACTTTAGATGTTTCAGTAAAAATTTACCTCCTTTTGCACTTTTTCAACAGCTTCAACCCTTCCAATTCCACCCCTTTTTTCCTTCTCGCGCCAAGCCACACCTCGAACTAATTAACCCGGTGGGACACCTCGACGCTATTCTCAGTGTTCTTCGTTCGACTCTTTCTATTCAACGTTATGTGGAGTGTTTTGTAGCCAGTGACAAATGTGTCGGATCGGCATTCTAATTTGAGGGTGGCTAGGTGTGGCCCCCTGGCTACCCCTATAATCCAATATGCAATTGACCCCACAAGTGTCACCCGCCCTTCTCCCCCTCCTCGGATAGTCACCACCAAAAATTGGAGGCTCTTCATTAATCCAGATAGATTGGGCTGGATTAGGTTATTAAAGCTGAACTAGGTTTTTATTAGATTTTTTGTTTTGAAGATGACTAAATTCGTGATTTTGGGATATATTTTGGCATTGTTAGTAAATTTATCAGTTTTTGCATCCTATTTGACTTTAAACTATTTGATTCCGGAGTTAAGCATATAACAGCTACCATTTTTTTCCAAAGACAAATACCCAACTCCCGGAAGCCGCTGTGCCCCCGGGGGCAAACTTGGCCTTTTTTGCAGACACACAGGTTGACGGGTTGACAGCTGATAGGATGGTCATCGAGGCTTCGCAGCCCTAAAACTTTATCACGTTTTAGTAGCCAGTTGGATTTTTCATATTTGAATCCGCATTACCTTTTTAGAAATTAAAGAATTTTATCAGCACGTATCTAGAAGTATTTTTATTTGCAATGCACTTCTGCTTTTCGGCCACATTTTGAAAGCAATTTATGTGGATCTTTCTAGCGCTTGTAGATCAATTGGCTGATCCGGTATGTTTATGGCGGTCGCCTCAACATATGCTAATTACTCCCCGGAGGGCATCTGTCAAGTCACTAACTAGGGCCCTTTGTCCTTTATACATTCAACCCCCCGGCGACTACAGGCCCAGATTTGGGTGGTGACAGAAGGGTGGGCGGCCTTATTTAATCTCTTAGATAGCTCATTTTGGTGTATTTCTTATTATGCGCTTGATATTTTTGCATTCCTAAATGCGCTGAACGTAAATTATTCCGCTCGAAGGAACGGATCAGGTTTCAGCACCTCATTTTGCCTCGCCCTCCGAAATAACGCAATACCATATTTGTTTTATTGCTTTTATAAAGTCTTAATTTTTTTCTGAGCCGTGCTCCTTGGTATATCCTGAAAAAACAACTAACTCTATTCCCAATTTTTATTTTAATACGCATGCAAACTTTCGCAACGCCTTACTCTCAAAAACCTAACACCGATTTTTTTTTGTCAATTGCACATGGAGACAGAAATATGGAAAAAGAAGCGGAGGCGAAGGGGTGCTGATGCTCAAATTCTTCCAGGCGGTCGCCTCGGCTGATCGTCGTCTTCCGCCCTAAAAGGGCCCCCTATTTGGGCCGCGTCTCGATTATGGCCACCTCAGCCGCTCCTTTTGGCCCATCTACTTTCTACAAAATGCCGGAGGCTATACATTTGGATATGTTTTATGTTGCCTTACTTCATAGCCTAATGCAATACATAATACATAACTGAATGTATACCTTATTATATAGAATGCTAATTAGAATGCAAAATACAAAATTCAATAAAAATATGATTTTTTTTCATATAATTCCCTGTCGTTTTTCTCTGCATCCCAATTAACATATTCTCCCCGGATCAGATTTATATTCCTAAACTTATAAATAATTATAAATACCTGATGAGATCCCTCCAAAATTCCGTAGCTTTACGAACTCCCCACTTTCGCTAAAATGCAACAAATTTCAAACGTCGACGCCAAGTCACTTAACCCATCCACAACATTTTCCCCCTCCTTTCTCGTTGACGTGCCCACCACCTCCTCCCGACGCCTAATTTTGTCGACATCCCAGCTGACAGCTGGGACATTGACCCCTTCAATTCAAATTAATTTTCGCGAAATCCTCGGGTCGTGGCTGGAATTTCTCGGCCTAGACTTTCTTGGCGTACTTTAATTTTGTATAAACAATTTTTTTTCAACATCAGCTAAATTAATTTCGTATAGTTTTTGTCAAGGTTGCAAAAACCCTTTAATTTAGCACTGAAAGGCCATATTTGGTAAAATCTGTTACGCATCGAGTCCGCTACGCACCTAACGACGCACCAAACACACCTAAAAATTATTTATCAAGCAAGATATTCTTTGGATTCGTAGCGGCTTTGAATGTAAATGCGCAATTACACAAAAATTAATTTTTATCCAAATTTCGTCAATACATCTGATCCAAAAACATCAAAGGGCAAGGCTTAACCCGTTCCTGTTCCTAGATTTCAGGAGTATTCGATATATCCAAGGGTTCCCCCTTCCATTCGTCGGCTTGCCTCTACGGGTCCAGTGCCAAGTGGTTGTGTATCGGTGGAATGTATCCGCTTTCATGCTTCCAGCCCCCATTTCCCCCCTCTTCTATCCAGCCAAGCCATATCTGGACCTCCATACTGGCAAACACTACCCACATCCCTTTCCGATAGCTTGGAAGGAACCCCTGGGTTGTTCTGCCAGTTATTATCTTGGTTTTGGTTTTCTTCTGAGAGGGTTATATTAGGTTTTAAAACTATGCAAATAATGTAATTTATGTATAAATTATGCAAAATACTAAGTATACGGTATTTCCTATCTAGAACTGTCTGTCTTGTCTGGTTGGCCACCGTGAAAATCGCTCGGAAAAAATCCGCCGAATCCTTTTATGGGCCTAAAAGCCTCTCCAAAACATGAAGTGGCTCGAAAGTCCTAATTTTGATTTATTATTCTTAATTTTAATTTCCCCATCTTTCTAAACCCAATAATAATTTGTTGCATTAAATTTTCTATAAATATATCTCTATGTTAACTCGTCGTACGACAAGTATTATAGCTTACACTATAATATAAAACCCAAAAACCATTCACCCCCATTCATCCATTCACACGTCGTCAATCCACCGTGACGCCAACCCCTCACCGCCTTCCGTGTACCGTTCCCAGCCAAGAGCTGGATCCAGATCTAAGGGCCCCAACACAGCCCCCCCCATGAAGTCCAGCTTCTCCTTAGCAAGCACTTCTTTTAGACCTTCCATCCCCCCACCCCCATCCAACCACCCCCCTAGAACCCTCAGTTTATGCTGCCCCGAATCGCAGCTCCCTTACTCTCCCTCCCTTTCTCTCGCTCTCCCAGTCGCCAAAAATCTCTGCCAATTCCCCCCATCTGCCATCTTTGCTCATGTTTATTTTCGTCAAAATAACGTCAAACTAAAAAAGTTGTTTCAGGAATGCGTCGATGATGAGGGGTATTAATAAAATTATATTGCTGCTGGCAGGTGGGAAACACGACAAAATCTTGAGTACCCTTTCTAGCGGCTTCGTCCGCCCTTGCTGACTATTGCCCAGCGCAAATCAGCTCGAAAATCCAGGAATGCGTGCAGCCGGTCGCTGAATATGCCAAAGTTTTGAATGAAAATCAGGTAAGAAGAGCCGAACACCATTATTAATTTGTTTTAGAAAGCCGCCCTGCGTGTGAGTTCTATCTAAATAAAAATTAGTTATGACTAGCAAACCATTTCTTGAATGGCGCCCCCGAATAGCATGGCAACGGAGAGCCCGCGCTCAAACTTTGCTTGAAATATATTAGAATGCACCTTTAGAATGGCTGGATAAAAATAGAAGATTCGTTCATAATCTTATTATTTAGGATTCAAATCGGCCCGGGTCGGACTTTCCGGCGATGACGCAATTTTCACTGCCAAATATGGGTGGAAGGGTTTTTAACGATTTATGCAAGTGAGTTTCTTCACGAATTTTTGGCGCCCCTTTCTAAGATTTTAATTTAAAACATATTTTCGAAAATTAACGTTAGAAGTTATAAGACATTCAATATTTTTTGAGCTCCAGTTGTTATCGCTACGATGCAGCAAAAACTTGCGAGTGGGCAGAGTTTCGGAGTTCAGACCCCCTTGGTTCCGGTGTTTGAGTGATCGGCAGAAAATCTTTAGTTTGTAAAATTTCGCCCTATAGTTTCTTCTTCTTCGCTTTCTAATTTGACCGATAGAGTGTTGAATGGGAATATTGCTCGAATATAATTTTATTTTTAGATTGGTGCACAAGTTCAACCGTTGTGTGCAGCCGCTGAGGGCAGATTGCCCGCGGCATGTGACGATTTCATTGATCGATTCGAGCTATGGTTATTTGTGCAATGAAGGATATAGTAGTAAGTTATTTTGGGTGCACTTTTCTAAAAAAAAGTTTTAAAAACCGCATTTAAATTTAGTAGCATTTTTGCCTTGACCATTACGTATTCAAACTTAAATTTAGCTTGGTGTCTTCGAGATACGGCGAAAACATACAGACGCAATTTTCATGTAAATGTACATAGTGATAGCCACTATTTTTTGTTTATAATGGAAATCGACCGCATTTTATCGTGTTATAGTTGACTCTTTCTGGTGACAATAATTCAGGAATTTACGATTTTTTAAAGCTCTTTTCCAAAAACCTCTCAACCCTCAACCCCAAATATTCGTCACAACGAGTAGTACGATAGGAGTTCTCCGGAATGGGCACTTTTTATGGCTAGCGACAAAAATCGCGGAATGCGTCTAGAGGGTGATAGGCCCCCGGGGGCCAATTCGGGGATAAAGGACCCAGCATCGGTCAACACGCCTCCCCTTTTGCTAAATACGTTCCGAGCTGTAGTGGGGGCTCAAAGAACCTAGTGGAATCGATCAAATAGAGAAAATAATTTTAGCATTCCTTGAATCGGCTGAATGCTTGATGGAGCTTGACCGGCAGCCATCGGTGAAAGCTTGCCATGACGAGACACTGCAGGTAATTTGCATAAAAAATTTACGATAACGTGTTTGAGAAATAGACTCCTTCTAACGTTCGTTTCAGGAAATCGAGGTGGCCAATACCGAAAGTGGACTAGCCATGAATGCGAAATTGGACAAGATGTGCAGGTAATTCTTAATTAAAGAATACAATTTAATTATAACTGTAACAAGCAATGAAAAATACATTAGTTACATACAATACTTTTTACTAAATACATTTAGTGCCCTAAATTTCTTCTCGGATTGCGTGAAATCGCCTATTCGACAGGATTGTGGAAGCGCGGCTTGGGCGGTGAGTTGTCAATTTTTTTTGTAAAAGATTTCCGTTATGCACAAAATAATTTAAATCAATATAAAAATTATTCAGGTAATCTACCGTGTGCTAAAAGACACGACTAACACACTGATGCCGGGCTGCCAATTTACCGTGTCGCACCATAGAAGAAAGGGGATGGAGCCGAAAGAGACTACGGTATATGAGGTACGCTTTAGGATTTAGCATTTCCAAAACCAATCGAAAAGGACCTAATAAATAAATTCTTACAATTTATTTACCGGCAGTTTTTGCAGCTAGATTACTGATGATAAAAATAGGTACGAACCTAGAAAAAACGTTGTAGCTTTTTTTCTTTGTCTCTGGGGTTCAAGTCATCGCTTGATAAGATATAGTTAATTACTACAACTCAGACCGTACCCACCGAAGCCACAAATATTGTCATCAGCGAAGGTATGCGCCAAGCCGCTGAGCCCCTAAACACCGCAACAAGTGCCAAAATCTTCACACTCTTTTTAATCCCGTTCCTCCATCTCCTATTCTAATCCTCAAAAAATGTAAATTGTACAACCCTTCTTGTACACACCCTCATCCCCCGATGCTCACTTTCAAGTCTGTATTTTCCTATTTTTTTCAACTAGCCGGTACTCCTGAAATTTCTCGAATCGCCCCTGGAAGTGAATTGTAATTCCATTATTTTTCATGACACGATGGGTATCTGTCATATATTTGCATTTGTTGTCTGCATAGTGCTTAGTTTTGTAATGGAATAATTTATCTAATAAAACTATATCTATAACAAACAGAAAAATAGATCTAGAAGTGGCTGTTGGCAGGTGATGGGGCAAATGCCGATGGGTCGATGGGTTTTGGTCTTTTGAGCTGCGAGAGTTTTGGTTGTCGAGTGGCGGATTCGGGCTAAATATGTATATATAAAAATACAGATATATAAAAAATACTTATACAAAAATCTATAGTAAAACGGAAATAAATCAAAACCTTATCGAATAGCGCGACAGAACTCATACTCCTGTGATGCTCACGATCGATAGGAGTGATGCTAACCGATGAGGGTGCTGCTAAAAATTCATGTTTGTATGTGTAATTTTAGAGCGCTACCGATAGAAAGCGAATCTGAGGAGGTATGTCTTCGAATTACGGTAGGTCGACTAGGTCTCCCCTCGTTTTCGCTTGAAGTACCATGCGTATCTTCTGAATGTGACGATGATGAAGAAGAGGTTTCTAAAACGAGGTAATTCTGATTCTAGCTCATAAGCCTCAGTTCAAACCTGGCCCTCGTCTCTTCCAATCCGGCCTGCACGGTTCAGCATGTTGTATCTTCTCCACACGAGTACCGTAATCACTGCTCTAAAAATCATATATTTAAAAATTAAATCTGTCTTGCCGAGTGTGTCCTATTCCTTGGCACCATCGTCTCATTAAAAGCACAACTAACAGCCAATTCAAGTTCGCGCTTTAAGTGTGGAGGGTTTGAATGCGGTGGTGAGGGTGGCTCGTCTAAATCAGCCAAAAGTTTAGTATACGCTAAAATACGCAATTACCATCGTGTCTTCCAACTGGTGAAGCCAGCTGAGAATTTGAACGCAACTAAAATCAATGTAATCATAAGTTAAATTATTGTCATTCTTACATAACGTCCTTCATTTCGCATTTCTTTTAGTGAGCGTAGGTCGACCGAATTTGCAGCACTAAAATGTCGATATCATTCTAGTATTACACACAATTACCTCAATGGTGGTGATCCAAATAGAGCTATGGAGGCTTGCGAGGTAAAAACATGACGACCGCTAGGTTCCCTTGTAGAAATCGAGGGAGGCTGGCTTAATAACTGCATAGGGATGGCTAAAAATACGGTTAAAAGCAGGATTTAATCAAACATACATTCAGATCTAGCCGATCTTGTTCTATTTGACACTGATGGTCCATAAGTTCCGCCTTCGCCATACGTTGTAGCGTCTTCTTCAATAATATCAGGAATGACCCTAGATTCATCGTAGGCTGCTTGTTGCTAAAAATTGGATATTGGCCGTTCGTAGAATGTAATAGGCTAAGTAAATCGTACTCTTATAAAATCTGCGATCCTTCCCGTCCTTCTACCGTAATCCTCCTCTGCCACCATTCTCGATTTTGTACTTTGACCCCGTGACATTGGATCAATATACTAAAAATTATATTTGAAAAATTGTTAATGAATTACCGTGTATCCGGTTACGACGGGTGGCCTTTCAATTAATGATTTCGTGACTCCTTCTTTGTTTTCCGGTTCAGCGCGCTTCACCCGCCAATTAGACGTTGAAAATAGCGATTTCCAAGGCTAAAAAATACAAAAGTTACTTTTCAATAATTGTTTTACCGCATACCCCTTTCCGTCTATAATTATCGATCAATGAATGGGTGATCGAAAATGGGATTATCAATAGTGGGGAGACCATCACGATCCAGGCAGTCATTTCATAGACTAGAAAATGTAAAATCTATCTGGTATTTTATATAATGTATACCCCAAGGCAATGTCTGGTTTTCAAACTCAACCCGTTCATAGGAAAATGCGGATGCAAAGAGAAGTGCCTGAATTTTTCTAAAATTATTTTTACTGCACCCACCGTAAGAATAGCAGGGCAAAACAAACTCCATGCCCATTTAATATAAGGCCCAATAGGACCGAAAATATACTAAAAAAGAATTGGAAATCGATAGCTTTAAGTTACAAATAATTTTTCTCTGAATGTTGCGGTATGGATATCATTTGGAGGCGTCACCCTGATCATTTCACCAATATCCCCGAGAAAGTTATCGGCTCCTAAACCAAACGATATATTTTGTATTTAGAAAATTACCGTAAACAAAACAAATCAACAATAATTGCATTAAGCCAAGGCTAAACGAATTCCAGTTGGCATTAAGATTTTCGATAGCATGGAATATGTAGATTCCACCCTAAATATTCTATTTAGCAGACATTTAATTTGCATACCCTGCAACAAAATGGCAGTCCCAGAACGAAAAACAAAATACACATCGACGCCAGGACCCGATTTTCAACACGCTTATCTTTCCATCCAAATTGATACATAAATGAGGTAGCTATCATTTCCATCCTAAAAATTCAAATTATTAAGGGCCAAATCCATTTAAAATCCTAGAATAACTTTTGTATAGCTTATTACCACGCAAATTCGGCATCTAATGCGGACATCATCAGGGCCGTGAAAAATAACGCAGCCCAAAGCGGCCCAAGGTGCATAAAGGAGGTAACGCCAGGGTATACGGTAAATGCCAAGTACAATGGATCATGCTCTAAAAATCAGAAGCATATAGCTAAGTTTTTAAAGCCTTACGTAATACAGTATTCACAGGACTATCCGACATATGGGCCAAAAACCCGATAAATGAGAAGATTACCATCCCACAGAGGACCGATGTGAAGGCGTCACTAAAAATGAATAAAAAAAATAAATATTTTGAAAAGCCTACAAAATAACTAGAAACACGGCATCGCGGTATATATTATTTCTATATCGACTAAATGAAGCCATCGCGATTAACGGACCAGCATCGATCCCTAATTCGTAAAATACTTGCTCCGCTGCAGATTTCCACATCTAAAAATATAAGTCTTCTGCTTCCAAATCTACATACCGGTAATGACCATAATTTTTCTAGCTTTGGAGTGAAAAAGAAATGAAGACCATCATCGGCCCCAGGCAGTGAAATACCGCGGATAAATAAGATCATCAGCTAAATGAATCTCTAGATTTTAATGATTTTTCGCATACCAATAGATACGGTACAGTAGCGGTAACCGATCCCATCCACCCGATACTTCCAATGCCCTCAAAAAGGATGAATTAACAGGAAAATGTCAGATACTTTAAAAACGCCGAAAAATACTAGCATCCATGCAACGGCGAGGGCAAGGACGAGATGCACCTAAAATCGGGGCGGATTTTAGAATTCTATAAAACTCACCTCAATTGGTCCCAGCTCAAAATTACCAGACGCTGGGCGATTGAGCACTTCGAAACTAATATGGAAAACTATATTTTTAGTTTAAAACTTACTGAAAATATGCCTCTGGAGCTGTGATCGCCGTCCCATTCGTCACCTTGAAGCACTGACGTAGTTTGTGCAGATCACAGCAATTATATTGAGTTACCCAAGCTGAAATTTAATATATTATTAACGAACTGATTTGCTTTATTATGGATGTAAAATAACTAACTATCTAGGCATCGATCCCATGGCAGCCCTATTCCACGTACAAATCCTCTGAAGCTAAACCAAAAATAGTAGACCGACCATGCGACAATAATATTGTAATAGATGCAGACAGGAATGGCAAGTAATACCAGCGCCCAGCCAACGCCTCAAATTTTGACGTAATTTTAGACCGAATTTTGTAACCTACCACTAGCCAATGGCATCAACTTCCCAAATGCACCACTGGGTGAGAGCCCCGAATATTGTCCGATGCATAAATGCATATAAACAATCGGCAGACCAAACAGGCATAGGAAAGTGAAGTAAGGGATGAAGAAAACTCCTGGATATATTCCGTTCAGTAAATTTTTATTTTTTGCTTACCACCACCATGTTGGTAGACTTTTGCTGGAAACCGAAGGGTATTTCCAACGCCGACGATAAATCCGAGACAGGCAAGGAAGAATTCGGTCTGAAATATGTCATGATGTACTCATAACTTTATATTAGCTTTACGTATTGTTGGTTTCGCGTATCAGCTTAATTAAGTTAGTTTAAGTCTGACTAATTACCTGGGTTTTCCACAAATTTCTGACTTGATAGTCTGAAGCTGCATATTCGTCTTCTCTTGGTAGGCAAAGGAGCTAAATGTTGAATTTTTTTTAAACAATTTGTTAATCACTCAAGAATTAATTTTGAATCTTGGAAATAATTAATTCCATTTTAGTCTTTCTTTTTAGGGATGGTTTCAGAAGCAACTTACCCTAGCAAACCCGGTCCTTCCGTCAAATTTACTAATCCCTGGCGCTTCGGATTCACTAGCCGCTGGCTAGATACTTTTTAACAAAATTACGGTTTTTTAAATACCGTTGTACTCCGTGTGGATAGTTCATTGGCGCTCAAATCTGCTACTCGATTCCTTAAAATATTTTTTTCTCTGGCTGAGCACCAACTTTGCTCTTTTCCGTCTGTCCCTCCGTGTTGTCCTCCTGACTATCCGATCAATATGATCCATTTCCCGTGAGCATTCAATGTAAAAACTGAGAAGAACTGAACGTCGATCCGGTTCCGATCGTACTCTTGACTTACGTGGCTGCTTCTGCTGGGTTTGCAACAATTAGCTCGCGTAATCGAACAATTCTAGCGGACATTTCCTGAAAATTAGGAGTTTTTAAGAATTTTTATAACTCTATATCATCATTAAAATATGGTTCAAATAACTTACTTTTGTATGATTATGCACAAAAGTGCATCGCATTGCCAATTCATTCCGGCGTGCCAAATTTTCAACCTGAATTTTTTTTGCTTAGTTTGAAACTACCCTACCTGCTGCCTCAACGCAATTATCCAGTCATAAGGATCCATTTTTTCATAAAAAAAGCCTCAAGAAATATGCCAAAAATGCGTCCCAAAAATGTGCATCTATTGATTGTATCGAGAAGTTTGGGAGACTCGAGAAAAAAGAGGAGAGCAGAACGAGTTTCCGTGACCTTCCACCGTTGACGGCCGAGTCGACAAGATGCCACTGTCAGCAACAATGGGTGCAAAAAAAACGCGAAAAGCACCCGAAACTACATATAGTTTTTGAGATAATTTGGAAGAAGATAATTCGGGAAATGACGAAATATTGACTCCTTCTTAAGCAACTAATCAGTCCGGTGGCACGGCTAAAAAATTGATAAGGTAATTTTCGGCAGATAGCAGTAAGTTATAGAGTATTTTTTGGACGGGTATTTCAAAATGTTAACAAGGAGCTTTTCCTTTGGATGCTAAAATCACTAAATTAAGTTAAATCTAAACTGCTATTAGATTAATTATTTCCTTTTTTATGATCTCGAGAAAAGCCAGCAAAAATAAATTTAACACCAACCAGCTGGTCGTAGGTCGTTCCACCCAGTGACGTCGATTGCTCTTGGTAATATGCAAATTACTGATTTAAATGGCTTGTGTTTTTTAGCATTATGAGCCGGATCCTCGGGTTTTGAAAGAGGAAAAAGACAATTCCTTACAATGCTATATTCTAGATATGAAACATTTTTTGCTTCGAAGCACGTCATACGTAACCTTTTGTCTGTAAAATTCAAAATTACCGTATTTGACCCAACCGTGTGCTGGCTTTCTATACATGATCTTGATGTTATTATGCAATCCGTATCGGTTTCAAAGTTTTCTCTTCATGTCTTTCAATTGCAAACAACTTTCGAGCGTTTTCAAAACGTTTTGTTTTCAAAACGGATTCCAGAAATCTCGGAGCAGTTTTCCGCGCCTACCGGGCCCGTTCTTTTGTTAGCCCGGTTATGGTCCTCGAAACGGAAAACGCTATCCATTCTGTCAGTGGAGGTTCTTGTGGGTGGGGGGAAAGTCTTGGTGGAGGGGCAAGGATGGAATAGTCTGTGTGTGTCTCCCTCTACATCCCTTATGATCCCTTTTCCGGATGCCTTGACCCGATTCCTACTGATGCGACGCGGAGATCGGCCCGCTTTAGGGTGACAGCCGGTCTCTATTCGTCTCGCCGCGCACTGTGTCCCGGCTGATATGCAAATTTCGCCGTGCAAACGAGTAACTGATGGTAATTATCGGGCGTTAAAAAAACAATGGGATGCACTAAAAAGTTCAAAAGAAACATTTATTATATTTTTCACGACCTATGAAACAGCATGATATCAGCTTTTCCTGCAAATAGCTTTATGCAAAACTAATTTTTAGGTTGCCGAATTATTGTTGGTAAAATTCATAGGCTAAGGTTCAAACAAGCATACATAAAAATTGGCGCACGATTTTTAATGAGTTTTTTTCCATGTCAGCGAAATTTTTATGTAAACCCTTTTTATTCTTTATAAGATTTAGGCTGAAAAATTTCTTTGATAATTAAATAAAATGCCGAAATTCTACAATAAACTTCCAACACCTCCAAACCCTAGCTTAACGTGTGAATCACTTTCCGCTAGTTTAACCATGACCGGTTTACCAACCCCTTTTACATCTATTCGCCGGGTCGCTATGCGGCTTCCCCCCTCGGCTGAATGGGTGATATGCAAATTTTGTGCTTGACCGCCCATTCCGACGAGGAAGATGCGCGCTCTAGGGCTGACTGCTGTGTTTGGGTGCGTGTTCGATGAGCGGATATGTGGAGAGGGCGGCGCTTTTTGGAACGGTATTCATGTTGTGTGACTCGGTTGTGCATTGACCGTTTTCGGTCACCATTTAGGGTGGTTGAGTGAAGGAGGAAGCTTTACAATGCGCGAATCGGGAAGCGTTTTTCAGGCTTGAAATTGGTAGTGCAGATCGTACTCTGGATCGTATCAAGCTTAGTGTAGAGCCGGCATCATCTAATAAAATTCAGAAATCGAAAACACTCTGAAAAACAAAAAGCACGAGCGGCTTCCGCATGAGGAAACACACCCGATATATGCTATTTTTAAAAATTAAATTTTGATTTGACAACCCATGGTACCTGCCGGTGCTATAGGTTTCATCAGTTCTCTAGAAGGCCGCCCGCTGGAAGAGCTAAAATTATCAAAAGATAGGTTTTTTATAAGTTAGTGCTCAATTTCTCTTTGGATTTTTCTATGTCACTGGTCATTGTTCAATTAACTATCCCCTTTTAATTGTGCTATAAAATATTCCCACACCTTCAAATTATATCCCCCTGGTGGCTCACCTGTTCCCCGACTCCCTTTGATCGCTAGCCCGTAATTCTGACGAATTGATAAGCTCTAAATTAGAACATTCTCTTTCATGGCGCCTCATTCTCCTCGTAGCGGGTGGTTCATTTCCCCGACATTATTCCCGAGGAGACAGATGTCAGGGTTAGCAGATCCAAATATCCGACGCGTGCGGCCCTATTTACGAATCGTTTTGAGGAGTGAATGGCTTTATGATAGGTTGATTAGATTGTCGGACAGCGTAGTCATAGTTTTAACTATTATAGCTGCGAAGCTAATAAATGAAAGTTAAAAGCTCCCACCGTTTTCCATCCCGCTTCATCCATCTACTCTCTTCGTCCCAATTCGCCCAGTTGTTTTCCAGACTCGTCTTTTCCCCCCCTGACGACCTGGTGACCGTCCTTGGCCCCGAAAAGGAAAATGAAGCAGTGAATGGGGGGAAAGGGTGCGGTTGCGGGACAGAGAGAAGGCGAAGACCACGAAAAAACAATGGGAAATGACTGATAATAAATGATTGTTCCTCCCCGCGAGGGGCTGCACAGGCCTTTACAGCATCAGGGGAACGCAAGGTGCACGTTTGAGATAAAGTTCCTTAAGGGGAACTTGAAGTAAATCGCATAAGGTACAGGAATTCATGACAGTGGCCGCTCGATCGCATTTCAGCTGAACTCAAATGAAGCTTATTTAATCAAAACCAGGGTTGAAAAGCCGCTTCGCGACTTTTCAACCCTGGCCCCGTCTGATCCCATGATATTCTTCACTTTGCATAATTCTCGCGATTTTCGATGACAAAAAATGAGAAACGCTACCCCTCTTCCCTTATATAGGCGACCGTGACTTCCGGTCTATGCTAATTGTTTCCTAACAAAGAGGGTTCTCGATTTTACAACAAAAAACTTAATTTTAACGTCGAAAACAGCGACTTTTTGGTAATTTTATGAGTGTGCAGTCATCCCAAGGTCATTAGGCCCCTAATCGGGTATCAACATACCTCTAACTACTCCCCTTATTGAGATACTGCTGGAACACGCTGACGGAAGTTGCATGCAAATGCACACACATACATACACACACACACACAGGAACTATTTTTTTATATATAGTAGGATCACCGGATCGAAAAGCGCATGCTCGAAAATCATTGAATTTAATAACTCCAAAAAATCTTATTTTCTTTAAAAAAATTGTTCTCTATTCTCAATATTCCAATTATAGCCTTAAGGAAGCTAGGCTAAAATGGTTTTTCTTTTCTTCTAAAACAAATTCTAAAAAACATAGACAATTAGGGCATTTGAGTATGCCAAATTTATTGCCCGTCATCTGATATTCTATAGCCGGAAGTTGACCAAACTTCCCACCCCCGGCCAAATCCTCGCAACTATAAGCCGTCGATCCTGTTTGTTGATGATTGGATGGAGAGGACGGCAAGCACGTTCTGAAGCAGCGACGCGTAATCGAATCATCTTCAACCAACACAAATCCCAGGACACCATCCATGCCTGTTCACGGGGGCAGGGGGGGGGATATTCGGATGCCATTCGGGTCGGCCAGCAGCCAAGTTTATGAGGTGGAAGAAAACTGTTTGGATGATCATTGGATTTGGGTGGTGGGGGTGGATGGTCAAGGATGGTCGGTTGGCTTTAGGGAGGGAGCTGTTTTAAGATGGTTGGCGGGATGTGTATTTGAATCCTGAAATTGTGGGTTCGAAAATCATCTATCCGAAAAGTCATTCGTATAAAAAATTTGCATCTAGAATCACCTAGAAATCATGCAAAAATTACATTTTCCAAGAAGTGGAGTTGAAATCGGTTATTTTTGGAATTTATGACTTCCGAGTGAGTGATTTTCCAACAGCTGATCGCTCACCCTAGCTGTCAAATTCAACATTAGGGTATAAAAATACCAGCAATACTAGTAATTACCGTATCTACAGTACCTTACCCAACCCACCCTCCAAAGCCGCCCCTGTTTTCGACCATCCTTTCAAGTTCCAATGGCAGTAACTGGCCATAAATTGCTCGCAAAAAAGCTGGCGGTTTCGACGGCACCCCCTCCGAAATCCGGCCCGTCCTCCCACCCTGCGGCTAGAAGTAACGGCAGAAGCCAGTCCCTGGATGACTCACATTATAGGGGGGATGGTGGCATCGGTTGGTGGTAGAGGAGGCGGAGCATCCAGAGCTCCGACTCAGCAGCACGAGAAGGGGCTCCTTCTTCAGATAACCACCACCTACCCTCCCACTCAATTCGCCCCCGTTCCCGGATTCAACACTGATACTTGATTCTGCTCCCCGGGTAATCCGGTGGTTACTTTTTAAATGAGGGCTCTATTACCCCTCCTATTACTTGTGGCCTGTGCTTGGGCCACACAGAATCAGACGCCGGCAGCGCCTTGTCCAGCAAACACTTTTACGTGTAAAGATGGTTCCTGTATACCAGAGGATTGGGTGAGTTCAATGACAAATTACTTTTGAATTTTGATGCATGACACTTAAAGCCTATTGTTTAAAAGTTTTCATTTATCCAAGAGGTGCTCCAGACCAACATTTATATAACATTTTTGAATCAACATTCTGTGTGTCTACAGGGCAAATCGCCGCTTTTTTCGAACCCCGATCCACTAGTCGGTCCGGCTAATTGCTTCACAGCCAACCTTCCCACCAGTCCTAGTGGATTGTCCACTTACTTTCTTCGAGTTTTGCTAGTAGAGCACAACGGGGGTTGAGAACAGGCTCAATAAGCTGTGGATTTAGATAAATTACTGTTTGGTCGGACCGTCGAAAGCTGTAGCGTACAAAATTCAGGAGTTTTACTCTCTTTTTTAAATTGAATCATAGTTACATAAGAGCTAGTGTTTTTATATAGCTTAGTGCCTTAAGATCATATTTATTTTATGTAACGTATTTATCTAACACTATACCGATAGATTAGGTCCCTTATAAGTGGCCAAAACCCGACGAATTTTTAATGCCAATATGATTTTCATTCGACTTTGACATTTTTACGCTATAAGAATGTTTATTACTTATCTAAGCCTTTCAAAAAATGCACATTGAAATTCTCGACCCTCCTTGACCTTCAGTTCCCCCATAGTGCATCCTCGGTATCGCGTAACGGGCGCCTGTAATCCTCGTAATTCAGTCCGCTCCACCCCCGCGCATCAACTCGGCCTCCCAAAAAAATAGCCAACCCGAAAGGGACAATGTTGAAATGGGCACTGGATTTGAAGTTGAGGGGATTGATGTCCCGTTGCGAGTCGAATAGCTGTGAAAAACTGGGTCAAATCGGCCCCAACCGGGGTGAGGGGAAGTGCGCTATCAGCGTCGTGATCGAACGTTTTCCGCACCAAGGTCGCCAATACAGGGACTGACTGTCGTGTGCAACCAGCCAGCCTCTTCTCGTATACGCCTGGATATCGTGTCGTCCCAATTTAAGGGACAGCCGGTGGGGAGGGGAGTATGGCAAATTGCAACGACCCGCAGTGGGGGTTAAAATCGTTAACTGGCTTCCGAATCCCTTTAAAAATCAAATGCCCCGCCGTTAAAACTATTACGCATGTTTAAAACACGGTACTTTCGCCTTATCAGGGGGATCCTGTAATAAAGCTGTTTCTAGCCAGAAAACAAGAAATTTTTTGAACATTTTTTCGACAATTTTAGCCATGTTCTAAAGTAATGGAAAAACCATTACAAGAAACCTAGCAATCGACTTGAAAATCTTGAGCTTTGACTGAAATTGATTTAGATCCAAAAAAATCGAGACCTTTTAGCTTGTATATGTATTATTTCTTGTCGTTTAGCTAAAAATGAAAGGCGTTCATGTTTAATAAACCATGGCAAATAACACATGAATTTCAATAATTAGCCTATTTTTATTCAAAATCTGGGAACTCCAGTAAATGGTGCTCTGCTTTCGCCGACGACCCACAGCGTTAATCGATTATTTTTTAAGATGTTGGGCAATTCCGAAGCGTGGTAGATAATTTTTCCACTAGAGCTATACTTTCGGCTTTTTTGGAACCAAGCGACAACCTGTTAGACTGAAGTTTAGTCCTTGCTCTGCTACACCTGGCACTAAAGTATGAATAGTATCTGGTATTAAGCCCCGAAACACCCAGGTCAACCATTTCCCTCACAACATTCAATCCAATCCCTCTACCCGTTCCAGCCGCCCCCCACCCGATGTTTTGCATCCCGAATCATCGGTGAAACGGCCGAAAAATAGGGGGCATTGTGGCGATACGAAGGGGGTAAGGAGGGGGAGGGACACTGCTTTGAGGCGTCCGGTTCTCTCACGCATAATTCGAAGCTTTTGCCCCGCTCTTTATGGATCGTCACTTCGAAAAGAGGGGAGGAAAATGCACCAAACTCGAGTCGTTCCCCTGGTCAAAGAACGTAATTTTCGTGAAAACGGCAAGTACGCTAGGGGTATCCGGCTAATGGAGCCTAATACCGACTTGCCGATGATAATACCAAAACTGGCGTTTCGTTTAAGGCGAAGGGATACCGAATTTTCTTTCAGATGAGCTCAAAACTTCCATTGGCCACTTCGATAGGCCAAAACATCAAAAATTCGAGGCAAAATAAGCTATTTTAGCCATTACGACTGGCTTTTACCACTTTTATTTATCTAAGCCCATTTAAAGCTAGAAAAACTCACAAATCACCCCGATTTACAATTTTTAATTCGAACTATAATTTTGACAGTATTTACCGAAAGAGAGACCTATATTTGAGGGCGGATTCCTACAGCAAATATGATACTTTAAAAAACGCCTAATAATTTTCGATAAGCACTTCCAGCCCCCTTCGACCAACCCGCGGACTGTAATGCCCTGTAAACAATCCCCACAAAAAGTTTAATGCTGATAAACCCAATTTCCTAAGGTACTTTACGAATTCCCATCTGCAAATGTGCGAGTTCTTCCTCGGAATTCGGATACTATCAGAGCCGCCGGTCAGGCGCCACCAACCCGAACCTGGAAGCAAGGCTGGTATGCCGGAACCAGTTTTGGGAAGGTTTTCGCCTTCTCCCCCCCCCGGACACCCATCAATCAAAAAACTGCTCGGCATGGGTTACCCGCGGACTTTTCCTTCAGGGCATAGATGTTGAATAAGTAAGGGATCGTAAAGTTGGCGTCAGGGAGGGGGAGACAGTGAGATGTAGACCAATAACTGTTATGGTCTTGGTAATGCGCTGCATACTTTCTTTTAGGCGTAGTATCACGAAGGAGTATGGGCAAAAAAGAAGCTGTGGGCAATTATGATAATTCTGATTCCAGGTGGGAGATGGAGAGCCGGACTGCGATGACCATTCTGATGAAGAAGGGTTAGAACCTGTTGATGTTCCTCCCCCTAAGGCTGAGGTCAGCTAGCTAAATTTTTCAAATTTTTCAAATCAAATTTGTTCAATGCCATTCTAAGCATATTTTTTTATTTAGGCTAAAGCGCGTGATCAAAAACCTCAAACCCCTGCCCAAGAACCCACTCACACCGAAGATGCTCTAGAAGAGGAAGAGAGCAGCGAAGAAGAGGAAGAGATTACGGTATAGCCAAACCTATAAAAACCTATGAATGTTTTGATAGACCACCGCTGCTACTACATCCGGTGATTGCCCGAAAGAGCATGCTCAACGCTACACCGAATGCGGACGCTCGATCGCTGGTCTCATCGAAGATCTGGGGCGTTTGAATCTTTCTAAAACATCACTTATGGAAGATCCGGAGAAGTATGCCTAAATACTCGACTTTCAATTATTTTTACGATTCAGTCTCGACAAACTCGAATCTTCTTGCGAACTGCTCCGTGAGTATGAAATTTGCATCGAAGGTGCTGCGATGGCTTGTGAACACTCCCCTGCCGTTCACGCTTGGAAAGAGGTTAGCAGCACTACCGTAATTCTCTATAGCCGATGTTTCCTAGGTTGAAATGTATTTCTGCCAACTGCTCGTGCCTTCGGTCAAGGAGCATACCGCTTGCTTCCAGATGAAACGCAACGAGACTTGCGATGTCAAGTAGGTTTTCGTCGCATAGGCTTTTGGTTATCATCACTGCATTGTAATAAATTGCAATGACATTATTTCAGTATCCCCACTGCTTCATCACCACTTTGCCGCGTTGTATCGTCCGTCATCCAAGATATTGGCTGCCTCGAGACATCTCGAGCCTGTGAAGGAGACGCTCATGAAATGCTGACCCCAATCCAGATGGAGAGCGAGCATATTGCTAAGGAAATTAGGTAATTGACTCTGCCCTTTTTGTTGTATTAACGGGCTTTTTTTAGATGTCCGGCTGTGCCATCATTGACTGGTGCTGATGCTTCTGTGGAAAATAAGGAGGAAATGGTTGAGCCTACCACTACACCTACCACCACAACCGAGGTATCAAGCACTCTTATGTTTTTCGAACACTTAAAATTTCATCATCAGGTCGAAAATCCTTGTTTTAAATCAAAGCACGGATTTCTTTTAGAGCTTGTCATATTTTAAAAATCCCCTCTCGGAACTCAGGAATTATTTAAGCTTTTGGTTCATATTTAAATATTGAAATCTTTGCATGGAAATGGGCGCAGAGCATCTTGTTTTTCGTTTGGCGTGTTGCACGAAAAAAGGCAAAGCGTTGGATAAGGATCGGAAGCTTAATCAAATCCTCAGCTTTTCTGGTAGATTGGATTTAAATACAACCAGCTCTGATTTGTTAAATTCTTATTTCTTTTCAACTTAAGTTTACCCAGGAGCCCACCACTCCTACGACCACAACCACAACACCAAAACCGACCACCACCACCTCCAAAACCACGACGGAAGCCCCGACTACAACAACAGTCAGAACCACTGTCCCAACCACAACTCAGAAACCCACCACTGAGGCCACAACCACCGAAGAACCATTTGAGAGTTCTGCCTTTGACAAGACGGAGACCGTCTCAAAATCAGCGGAAGCTAAATCAGAAGAAGAGGGAGAGGACATGGCGGAACTCGAAGCTACCCTGCGGAAAGAACATGAACAGGTACCGACGACTAGCCGCAGCATGACTACACCCACCACTGCATCCACCACAATCGTCACCACCACCACCACCACAAAAAGCATGCCTGACATCACAACCACTATGAAAAACAAGGTTTCTTCTATTTTTAGTACTGTTGCTTGGGGCTTAATGGTAAAGGGCAGAAAAATGAGGATGCTAATTGCACTAGATAGTACTAATTTTTCGAAAAGCCAAACGAAGCGCTTTTTACCGAGTAGTTAATATAATAGCGTACTAAAATTAAATAAAATTTAAAATTAATACACGAAACTACCGCTTTTTTTCTAACCAACTACATAAAATCAGTGATTTAACGAATTTTTAGATGATCCAAAAATCGACCGCTGCCACGGCCCACAAGGTTGCCACCGGAGTGATGGTAAGAACAGTTTTTGACTTTTCGAACTAAGTCCTACCTTACAGCCATCATTGACCGATTCCGTGAAAGCTTTGCTGGAAATCGAGACCGTTTGCGAACAAGGCACTGACAAGCCGGTATATTTTATCGCAAAACAAAAAATAATTGGCAAAAATTAGGAAGTCTTTGGCCGGCTCCACAAAGAACTGTGCAGCAAACGCGAAGAAATCTTCGAACACCAGGAATGCTTCCAAGCCACGCTCGCCAAGGCCAAGTGCGCTCTCAGGGTATCCTTGTTGTTTCTGTGCACTAATAGATTATTTAAGGAGGCCAAGAATGAGTGTGAGGCCCTTGAAGCTTTCAACGTCAACTTGGACTGTGCCATCGTGACGATGAATGAGGAATGTCCAGTTGAAGCTCAGGTATCAAAAACACCACGTTTTCCTTAATTGATTTGTTTACTGTACTTTTATTTAATTTAGCTATTTTGCTTGATTTTCATAAATCAGTTATTTAAATTTATTGATCTAACTTTTCAGGATCTTGTCGTCGCCCTCCAAGAACAAATCAATGATGCTTCCATCGAATTGAAGTGCTTCCAGGTATTCAATATCTAGATTACCATTACCAGCTCTTAGGACGAAGAGAAGAAGGAAAAGGACGAAAAAAACTCGACCCCTGCCGAATTCCCGCTCGACCCAACGCTCCCCAAATGCACCGATTCTCAAGTGGGCCAATTTTGTGGTGATCAACCGTGTTTTTTTTAGGAAAACGGCGCCCTTGCTTGCCTTGTCGAATTGGCCGAAATCAACCGCCAATTTGCCGAATTCCAGCAACAGAACTTCCTTTTGGAGGTAAGTGGATCTGCGAGTTCATGCTCAATTCTAGGTTCCAGACTTACACAAAGGGTTTACCAAGTGTGTTTCAGATCGCCACCGAAAACTCGACGATCGTTGCTTCTATCTGCGGCCTTTACAGCAAATATGAACAATGCCTGGCTGCTTCCGTTTTCAGTGAGACCAAGGGACAACGATGCTCATTCGCTTCACCCCTCAATACACTGGCTAGGTAGGTTAATTTAATCACTTATATATAAATTTCTAATGTCCGTGCGCCCGTCCGTCCGCCCGTCCGCCCGCCCGTCCGACCGGATCGCTGCGGGACCCCAGGACCGGTTCGGACGGGTCCGGGAGCCCGGGGCGTTTCGGGATTTCGGTGTATGGGATGTTGATTTATTACTATTTATTACTATTTATTATTATTACTATTTTAAAATGTTTTTCCCTTTTCCCCCCGGGAGGGCCAGCGCTGAACCCCCGCGGAGCGGGGGGTCAGCGCTGGTTTTATGTAAATGCCTAGCTTAATTTATTTTCGCCTAGCTAGCTTCCTAATCCCTAAATCCCTGCAGCTAGCTCCTTGAGCCAATTTCCAAGCCCACAGACCAAACCCCCGTATTCAGCTGGAACACCCCCAAGACATGTTTGTTTCCAGAATTGGACTGCAGCCATTGTGTGATGCGCGAACCCGTCCCTTGCTCGCCAAACATCGCGATTGCCTGCTGAAATTGGCCGGCAACCCGAAGGCAATCTGCCAATCGGGATTGGGCGGACTTGGTGGAGCTGTTCAGAAAATGATGCAGGTAAGGGGTCAATGCAGAAAATATTTAGAAGATATGTCAGGTTAAAATAAAAACCAAAAATTCTAGGGAGTCCATTCCGAGGCTCTTCTATGCAAATCTTTCTACGTCATCCGCGAGACGTTCGAGTGCGGAGAATCAAAGGTATTCAAATAAACACAAATATTAATCGTTTTTTTACTCTAGGTCGCCGAATTCTGCGATGCTGGAGCTGTGGAGGACCTCGCAAAGGTGCGCCAACAGGTATGTCATCCTCCTTTATTTCAATATGTAAAAAAAATCAGATGTCCGGAATTGGAGAAGAAGAAGGATGCCCGAAGACAGCTCCGGCCAATTTGGACGAAATTATCGCGCGTCCGGTTCAGCGCCCAACTCCCTTCCCCGTACCGCCAGCTCCGACTCGTGCCGGGGATTCGGTAAGTATTTCTAAAAAATTGTATAGTAGCTATCAAGATGCATATCGCTTATCAAAACGTATTTATAAATTTTAGGGAATTCCCCACGCTCGTCCTCTTGCTCCGGTTTCCCAGCCCCGCCCTGTCACTCCTGCTGTGCCAGCTTGCACACCAGAGCAGCAGAAGCAGTATGTTTTTGCATAAATCGAACTAGTTGACCTTCTACATTTCAGATTCCAAGACTGTGTCCAGCCAATGACCGTCTTCCAACCTCACCCACTCAGCGTCATCAAGGTGCCAAAGCAGATCGATGAGGTATAATTGACTATTTTTGGCATTAGCCATTTTTACAGGCTTGCACCAAGTTCGGCGACTACAAGCAGTGCACCGGCGGAATTGACTGTACCCCATTGTGGGCGAAGGGCATGAGCGCCATGTTCGAATTTGCCTGCGGAGAGGGAATGGAAGCCTACACGAAGGTATACATTGTATTATTGATTTTCGAACCTTTATCTCTAAAATCTAAAAAATCCACGAAACATATACTTTAAAAACAATCAGCTCTTTTTTTTTAAAAAGATGTCTTCTTTTCCAGGTCAAACAATGCATCCGTAAAGTCACACTCGAAGAAAGCGTCAAGGAATGTGTCGGTATGCTTGCTTAACGTAACTATAAAATTCGCGATTTTAGCCATTTTCTCTCGTGGTGCCCCTCAACAAGCTTGCTTCTCCGCCAATAAACTTTTGGCTTGCGCCATCGGACCGGTCGAGCAAGAGTGCGGACAGGTACTCCAAAAATAAAATTAATATACCTCTAAAATCAGGACGGCGCCAAGTTCATTGTCGACTACGTCACCAAATTCGCTACGGCCATCGATCCGCGCTGCAAGCTGGCTAGCCAGATTCCAAGTAAGAGCTTGGTCCACTGATACAACCTAATTTAAATCGTATCAGAATATTTGATTATCAAAATGTTTAGTTGGTCGCGTTGTCGGAGTCTCGTGCTCGGCAGAAGAAGAGGCTATCATCGAAAACTGCGCTGCTCCGCTCAACGAGATTGGAGGAAGAATGGAGACTATGTTCCAGGTAAAAATGGTTCTTCCAGTTCGCAAAAGCCCCGATTTTGTAGGGCGGCCTCAACCAGCTGGTGAAAAACGCCAACATGCTGGCCCCAATTTTCGCTGGTGCTTGCAATTTGACTGATGAGTTCAGGTATTTAAAACTTTAGGGGTCCTAAATGTCTAATGATCCAGTCTGACAGTCTTTAACCAATCAATTTTAGATACTGCGCTGCCGGACCACTTTCCGGACGCTCGCCCTGCATTGTCAGCGACTGCATGGTGAAAGCCGGTGAAGAGATTTGCGCCCAGCCCGATCCCGTCAAGGCTATTGACGACCATTTGTCATGCTTGTTTGGTCAGGTTGGTTTTTACAACTAATATCGTCTTAAAATGATGATATTCTAGATCCAAGAACCCGCCTTTGCAAAATGCGTCCGCTCCACCCTCGCTACCGTCAAGCAGTTCTCGCTCTCTTCGTTCCGTTCTATTCTTCCCAAATTTACGGACTGCGTTGAAGAGATCGTCAAGGGAAAATGTGGACTTACGCCTATTAAGGTAAGTGAAATTTTCGTGTCGAGATTTCTGGCCAGTCCCGGTCTAAGCGGGATCTCTGTTAATGGTATTCAATTAGTTCCTTTCGAGGTGGGGGAGCGTTAGGATCAGGTTCCACAACCCTCTTTTATTTTCATTGGAAAAACTAGATTCCTGAGAAATTCCTATTGCGTATGGGCCCAAAATCGAAATCCTAAAAAATCAATTAGCTATTTAAGTAAGAAACTAAAATTTTATGAAGGAACGTCACTTGTATCCCCAATAAAATAACCTAAATTTCCAGTTTGAAACGATCCACATAGCACCGAAATTACGTTCCTCATTTACAGGTGCTCCGTTCCATTTCCTCACCCGAACTATGCCCGCTTGGCCCAGCAGCCCCCGTCAGATTCCAACCTCTTTTCACCACCGCCGCACCCACCGACGCCCATCAACCCATCCCCAACCACGGTGTTCAACCCGTTCAGCCAAGTAAATTTATATTAAGTATATCTTTATTATTTTTAATACTATGTTAATATCGAAAACTTTAGCGCGTGTCGAGCCGATGGTATGCGAGGGCGAGATCCGCGCGCAGTTTGACCAATGTGCTGGAGGCTTCTTCGGAAAATACCGAATGCTGCCCATTGAACTGCTCAATGAGTCCGACAATATGGATCAGGTAAAAGATCTTAAAAATTCTAATTTTAAACATGTCCTATACAGGGTGTCCCAAAAAAAAACCCCCCCTACCTAGCGGTCCGCAGTCGATTCCGATTTTTACGATTTAGGTATCTATCGAAAGCTCTCGAAAGGGCGAGAAAACAAGGAGGGTTGAATTTCTTAATTAAGCCTTTTTATTTGCTAATTTTATGTCCAAAAACCTTGAAAACTGCTGATTTATGCGAGATCTGCATGCTAATTGCGAAATTCCTGATGAAAAATTCCCGGCTTTTTAGGAAAAACTGAAATATCGATAGAATCAGATTAAATCTTAAAAAACGAAACCCGCTTGTTTTCTCGCCTTTCCGAGAGCTTTCGATTGGTATAAAAATCATTCCGATCCGATCCGATTAACGGCCTCTAGAGGGGGGGGGTTTTGGGACACCCTGTATATCGATGAGGCTATGAATATGATTATTTTAGGTCTGCAGCGATGCAGCTGGTCTTGATTCGTGTGCGCGAGCTTTCAAGCTCTGCTCTACCCCGGAACAGCGTGGCCTCAAGGTATCCTTTTAGCAAAAAAAAAAATACAAAAATTTCAGGCAATGACCTCGCAAATTTGCGCAAGCCGTGCCGCTTACGACCAGCACAAGATTTGCCTAAAGACAGTGGCCCGCCAGGTCGGTATAGAGAAGCAAGAATTAAAATAGAAATTCTAGAACGCCCAGTGCATGTCTCAATTCCTTTCATCATCCGCCGCCGAGACCTGTGCGGCTATCCAAGCTGCTGCCAACTGTATGACAGCTGAGGTATGAAAATGAAAATAAAAACAACACTTAAAATTTCATTTTTACAATAAATTTAAGGACTAAATTTACGATCGTATCCCTTTAGGTGGCTGCTCAATGCGGACGCCCTGCCCTTGATTACATCTTCCCGGCGATGACCGACTATTCCAAATATATTGACGCAAACTGCAATGTAAGTTCCACTAAATCAGACTTAAATATGTTTTGCTTACATCTCCAGATCATCCCTGCCACAGTCGAAGAAGGAACTTGCGGAGACTCCGCCAAGGCCGAGTTCCTGACTTGCCAGATGGTACTCGCCACCTACAATTTCACTCCCATCGCTATTATCAGGTTTTCATAAAATTTCTCCCTCTCATCACCCCCTAGCGATGCCTCCAAATTCGACGAGTTCTGCACGACAATCGAACAAGACTACAAACCATGCCTTGAGAAACTCAAGTGCAAGTTCGAGCCCGCCTCCACGGCCAACCTCCAGCTTTTCAATTCTATCTGCAAGCAGGATATTACCCTCAGGTCGGCGATGTCACCATTGGACCTGACCTAAAAATTTACAGGGATCAAAAGAAGTACGGTGCTTGTCTGTCGAACGCCGTCGGGTCGCAAGCCGGGAATCAGTGCACAGCTCCATTCAGAGCCTTGGATTTCGTCTCTAGCAACTTGGCGGCAAGCTCATGTAAAATGTGAGTTGGAGGTATTAATAGTTATAGAAACATGAATTCCATTGTAAGATGAGAAGGAGGAGAAGTAAAAAACACCTCAATATTAACATATATTTTTAGCTTGAACTCTGTGTTCTCGTGCATCTTGCCGGTCGTTGAGAAAGAGTGCGGCTTCGATGCTTTGCTACACGCCTTCTCCTTGCACGTCGATTACGCGATGGCCTTCGACAAGAGCTGTATCATCGCTAGTCCCGAGCCAGCACCTGCGGCCACAACGCAGAAGGAGCCTGAGCCATCCCCAGTGCCAGAACCCGTGCCTGAGCCCGAGCCTTCGACGCAGCCCCCCACCACTACCAAGCACCCCAAGGATGCCAGGAGAGGTATGGTGGCACTTAAATTGCCGTTTCAAAACGCTTTTTCAAGAGTAACAATAATAAGTTTTTTCAGCTTCTTCGACATCCTTCACTGGTCTCGTGACTGCCACCATCCTATTGCTGCTACGATTGTTCCATTAAATTTCAGATTTCTGAATTTACTCTGTATTCCTCAACCCTCATGATCTGATGCTTTCTTATTCTAAAACCGGCTCCGATCCCGGCTGTCAAAGAAAACGCTCAAGCCATTTTACCCCCCACCCACTTTAAGTTTGTTCGAGCTCTACCTGTTCGTCTTTTTAAACAATGCTAGACATTCTTGGAATGCAAACGGGCCAAATATTGCAAGTTATCCCTTGATCCTACTATATATAAAAAAATAGTGTTTGTGTGTGTGTGTGTGCCACTTTGCATGCAACTTCCGTCATTATGTTCCAGTCGTATCTCGATAGGGGAGGAAGTTAAGGGTATGTTTGATACGCCAAAAGGTGCGTAATGGTCGTGACACGACTGCACACATATCAGATTTTACAAAAGTGCTATTTTCGACATTAAAATTAAGTTTTTATGAAAATCCGGGTCTCCCTCTTTGTTAGGAAACAATTTGCATGCGTCGGAAGTGACGAAAGCCTATATAAAGGGACAGAAGGGGATGTTTTTCATTTTTCGACATGGGTGATTCGTGAAAAATATGCAAAGTGCAGAATATGATCGGATCAGACGGGGCCAGGGTTGAAAAGTCGCGAAGCGGCTTTTCAACCCTGGTAATTATGAATTCATTATTGACACTGTACCGTTTTGTCGTTAAATAAAAGTTCTATAATGATTGAACAAACGCGATTATTAATATACCATCTACTCAAAGAGCAAAGTGGACTGCAAAAGGTCATTACTCCTGTCAAAAGCACTGAATATTCTTAAACATCAACAATCCGTATCACGCCCTATCGAGCCCCCTAGAAACAACGCCCTCCTGTATCTAACGCCCTGAAAAACGTGCTTTCTCCTGTAAATTAAGCCGTTTTCTCTTAATGTATTAAGCCCTAAATTTCGTTAAATTTCACATGGGGTCGGCTTCCCGCTTATAATTTTTCGGCCGTTTTGATTACCCATATATTAAAAAACTGACGGCGAAATCGGCCAAGTCGACTTTTCTGGTGTAAACTCCCCTCACAGTCCCAGTGTAACGCGGAGCGCTCCGTAGCGGTCACCCGGTGGACAGGCCATTTTCCTCCTTCATCTAACAAAAATCTTCTTTCATCATCGTATTGAAATGATTATCGCGTTTTGCACACTTCTTTCAAGCTCACACTTTTCATCTTATTTATTTCATCTTTTCCTTAATCGGTTGCACACTTTTTTTAGGCGACATGCGGATTTTACGCATGGTGGCGAGCATCGCTCGTCCACTAATCTCGCCCACCAAATTCCAGCTCCCATCTTGTAGTGCCAGGTAAATTATAATTTGCGGTTACTCTTTTTTAGACTTCCGTGCACCTCTACGATGACACAGTTGCGTACATATGCTCAACCGGCAATCAAATATCGGGCCAAGCCGAGGAAACGCAGGGCTATTTCGGCCACGACCAGTTACAATCTCAACAGGGTGAGCTTTTTTTTGCTTTTTAGACGCACGATAAACAAGCTGAGTTTTGGATTGCATAATCTTTCTGTTTCCAGGATCGTCTTCCCCAAGTGGTGGCGATTCCGTTGGCGGAATCGTTGGACGTGAAGGGCATCATGGCCGACGAGAATTTCGCGACGTTCTATGTCGCATCTGATGTCTACGAAGACTTTGAAGATGTCATCCATCTGGCCAAAAAGCGCGAATATTGTGTCTCCACTGACGATCGCGAGGGCGAAATCTTCATTTTCCAAGAGGGTGTGATTGTCTTTTGGAATATTAAAATTGAAGAGGTATGTCTGTCACGACGTATTTTTATATTTCTTTATAGAGGGTCCGTATGTTGCGCTGGATAGAGGACTATCTGAATAACTCGTACGGTGGTTCCTTATCTGCCCAAGAACAAGACAGTATGCCGTATGGGCTTTTCGATGAGTGAGTTATATTACCCGAATGTATTTTTTCTTTTTAGACCCCGGTCTAAGATCAAGAATGATTGCTTCCATCTCTCTTCCGACAAGCACATTGACTTCTCGAAAGCGCCGGATTCGATTCTGGAGCGATTTTCGTTTTCGCATGCTTTCGCTGCTAGCGGTTCGTTTTTTCATTTTTGGGCATTCGCTTTAGATAGACCAGCTTGTGAATACATAGCTTTTCAGTGAAAATCGGAGTTTGGGAAGAGATGTTGAGCGGCCTCGCCGAAGCACAGGCAACGATATCGTCCGATCTGAAGCAAGGCAAGATTCGGCTTGGTCGCAAAGAGGCCCTCGTTCGTGCTGGCGAGTTCGCCGTTCTGCGGTTTGGATTTCAACATTGGTTTTGATCTGTTGTTCAGGCACCGCGTGAATATCGACTGCAATTTGTTGAACGAAGATTTTTACTGGGAGCGTGAAGATCTGGGTGCATTCTACAAGATGACCTACAAACATTTTATGCTGGATCGCCGTATCGAGTACGTTTTGTCGATCGAACCCTGTTTCCAGTTTTTTTTTGATGAATTTTGCAAGCAAAAAAAAGCTTGCAATTATTGACCAATTTAGTTATTGTTTTAGTTCGTTGAATCGTCGTCTCGATTACTGCGAGGAATTGGTAAAGATGGTCGATAATGCTTTGGCTCATGAGCAGGTAGATTTGACACTGTCCATAAATGTTATTTATATTCTTAGGCGGCGCGTTTGGAGAAGATCATCATCTTGCTGATCGTGATCGAGGTCTTGTTCGACATTCATCACTTCTTGAAAGATCGACAAGCATCGAATGTCGCTGCTGCGCTTGCGGAGTCTCACTAACCGTTAGGCGTTGGCGATTTTTAGTTTTGATAGCATTATAGAACGAGTCTCGTGTTGTTGTTAATTTATTTTACTGACATTTACTTTCGGTAATTATCCCTGCTCTCTGGTCTTCTCGCTGTTAGTGCCTTGCTCGAAATCAAATCGTGCGTTGCTCAATAAATATTTATTCGGTGGCTTTGTTTTATTTATTCATTTGAGTCATGGCTCTTTGATATCGGCTGTTTTTGTTAGAAATGGATGGCGGGGGCTTTATATGAAACGACGATCGATTGTGGCTATATGCGCTCTTCTATCACCGATTTTTAGGGTAAAAATGCTACACATAGCCAAAGGTCGTGGCTTAGCGCGAATCTTCAGCCGACGCTTCGCGACGGCTCAAGATCGCGACGATTTCCGACTACAGGAGTATTCTCAGAAATACCTTGGCTATAGAAAGGTAAATCAGGATTTTGGTTGTAGATTGGTAATGGTCCTTGATTCCATTAAACGAAAGGGGTTGAATCAAATCCGTTGTAAATTGTTCCGTACGATTTGTCTATTTCAGGCGGCTTTCACTGAAAAACTGGAATTGATCGACTCTTCCAAGATGGCCGCTGTCCCGATTTACCGTGTCACCGACGGTCTCGGCAATTTCATCGACGAGTCACAGGATCCCAATTTTGGAAAGGTTGACTTATTGCAGTATTTTCAATTTATTGCTTTAGGAAAAGTCCGTGAGAATTTACGAGACGATGACGCAATTGAACATTATGGATCGAATTCTTTACGATTCGCAGCGCCAAGGGCGAATCTCGTTCTACATGACTAACTTTGGGGAAGAGGTGTGTTGTATTTTTCAAAATTCTATTCTGGTGGTATAGGGTAACCACGTCGGATCTGCTGCTGCTTTGGAGAGTCAAGATTTGGTTTATGGGCAGTATCGCGAGGTCGGTTTTCTTTGATGTCGCCAGTGGTCGACAACGCACGTTATAATTTATTTTAGCTGTTCAGCGATGCAACTTGCTTTTTAGGTCGGTGTCCTGATGTGGCGCGGCTTCCCACTAGAGCAATTTATGCACCAATGCTACGGAAATAGTATGGATATTGGTAGGTGTTTTCCTTAGCAACTGTTCATTGGCTCGATTCAGGCAAAGGCAAGCAGATGCCAGTGCACTATGGTTCCAAGGAACACAATTTCGTGACGATCTCTAGTCCGTTGACTACGCAATTGCCTCAGGCTGTCGGAAGCGCATATGCTTTTAAACGGTAATTTGCTTTACTTTATGTTGTATAGACTTTTAGACAACCCAACAATGATCGAGTCGTTTGCGTCTATTTTGGTGATGGAGCAGCTTCTGAGGGCGATGCACATGCTGCGTTCAACTTTGCTGCAACTTTGGTAAGGGTTTTCTCGCATGCCTCGCTTTTTGGCACACTAAAGTTAGTAACAGCTTCGTTTCAGGATTGCCCGATAATTTTCTTCTGCCGCAACAATGGCTACGCGATTTCCACACCTACTTCCGAACAGTATGCTGGCGATGGAATCGCAGGAAAAGGTCCCGGCTATGGTTTGCACACCATTCGGTAAGTTGGTCTAAATTAGATCAACGCTTTCTTCGTTCAGCGTGGACGGAAACGATTTGTTTGCGGTCTACAATGCGACGAGAGAGGCGCGACGGGTGGCTTTGACCAACAAAGCTGTGATCATTGAGGCGATGACTTATCGTCTCGGCCATCACTCGACTTCTGATGACTCTACCGCATACAGGTATGCATTTTCTTTTTTTTTTGTCGGATTGATCGATTGAGCATGAACTGTTTGCCATTTCTTAGACGTGATAACTTTTGCGTTTCAGGTCGGCAGAAGAAGTGCAGACATGGGGTGACAAAGATCATCCGATCGAGCGCTTCAAGTCGTATTTGCTGAGAAAGGGATGGTGGTCTGATGAGCGGGAGAAGGAATGGCAGAAGGAAGTTCGAACCAAGGTCCTCAAGGCCTTCGGAGATGCGGAGAAGACGAAACTCGCCCACTACCACGAGCTGTTTGAGGGTGTTTATGATGAGGTGAGCAGACTTTGCGTATCAACTTTGTGAAGTCGGGTTCCCCTCTTTCCTCTTATTGCTTCATAGCCAATCAATGATGGGTCTTGATTTAATTTGGTGGAAGTATATCACCTGTCTCTGTTTCAGCTGCCCATCATCCTCAAAAAACAACGCGCGGAATTGGACGAACACTTGGCCGAATACGGAGTAAGCCTTTCTTATCTAACACTGATCCATTTTAGGACCGATATCCCATCGATCGTTGCCTGAAGAAGGACTAAATCCATATCACCGATCCATCACCCTCGCTTGATTGTGCTTAGTTAATTACTATTTTCCCCTATTGGCACCGGTTCAGGCCTTCAGCATTTAGCATCCACTCCGTCTATGTGCAAAGCTATCGTTATTGTTTGCCAGAGAGCTTATCTACTGTGAATAAAGTTTATACTCGTTTTTAGACCGTTTGTTCAAAGTGGGTTGAAGCTATCCAATTTTTCTGGATTTGCGGACGCTTTCGCGCGTCAAAAGTGCTTGTGCCGCTTTTAAAAAATCCAGTTCCACGTTGGGTTTCGATTCGCGCGTCACAGATCGCTTGTTGTCCGTTCGCAATGGCTTATCACTCGTCCCATATGGGTGATTCCTTGGGTATCCCCTAATTGTGCAAAATTTTATTAACCCTTCACTCATCTGATGCGTAAGGGGTTACCCGGTGAACTCACTGATTCATAGACCGGATCGCGGATGGCTGTACATTGAGCTGGCCGTGGATTCGACCGATTGCAACACAGTGTGCGCAAAGTCGTCCAACTTGTGATGCGGTTGTGGTTTAAAAGGGATCAAGGTTAGTTGGCCATAGATTCTACGAAAATAACTTGGAGAATTAACCCGGTTGATATTTTAAGGACAGCTCGGAATCCTGATTTGCGTTTGGTAACTTTTTTTTGCTTAGAAAAGCATCCGCTTTCGTAGGGACTGTCTGTATTGCCTTTGACCTGCAGGACTGTTCCAGCCACCACGGGGCTAATAGCAGGATTTAGGCTTGGACTATCCCATTTCTCTCGATTAGGGCCCATAAATCACGTATTGATATGAAGTAGGGCGATAGACTCGATCTTTCATTGAGATAAAATGCGAGCTGGGTTTTGGGTCAGCGTTTGGTTACGCGAGTTTTAATTTCCATCCGAATGCACGTTAATTCGACCCGGGACACATAATAAACCATCACTATCCTATTTCGGGACGGGGGCTCCGAGCCGGCAGGGAATTGATCGATTTCCACCAAATGTGCGATTTCTCCCCTTTTCGTTTGCTTCCGGCACATTGCTTGTTTGTTGCTGCAACGCTTACATGCACAAAACACTATTATAGCCATTAACACGGGGTTAGAAATGCTTCCTAAAGTGCGGCAAATTGATCGTTTTGAACGAAAAATAGATGGACTTTGTTATCACTGGTGTCCCGTTTCTTCCCCGTTTATACCACTTTGCTGCTTATCGCTAGACATCCCATTGGGAGCGGGACGTTCGTATTTCGCGGGGTTACCAATATTTGCTCTAGGTTCGCATTCCTTGTGGTTTTTTTTCAGGAACAGAATACCATATGATGGAGCAAAGAAAGCCCCTTTATCCCAATGAGCACGAAACGGACGATACGGCGAGGATTCTGGTTGACGGCAGCCATGGCCACGACGACGAAGAGGAGCATTGTTATGGTAAGCTAGATTGTTAGTGGTTAGTAAGTTTTAATAATTTTCCAATGTTTTCGACCAGCACTCTGTAAGCTGAGTTTAATTTTAATTTGAGACGATGCAGATGTGTTTTATAAAAGAAATGCTCACCGAGACTTTCAGAAGATCATGCCTTCTACAACGGCTCCAACAACAACGACGACGGCTCACGGACACATTGTCATTTGATGAGAGGATGGCCAGGTGGACTATGTCAGGTGGGGAAACAGCTTAAAAGTGCTAAATCAAAATCGCATAGCGTTTTGAAAGAAGGTAAACTAAGGATGAGAACCTTGTTGCAGTAAATACAGCTTCCCATCTACAGTGTGTACTTGGGGCTATTCTTAGACATTATTAACGCGTTTACAGTCGTTTCCCCCGAATTCAAAGTCCTGGGAAAACAAATTAACTGCCTAGTTCTCTGTAACTGAGCCATAAGCCTACTGTTGTTGCATAGAAACTGACATCAAATTGGGCGGTATTCGACTGGCCCGATCAGGGGCTGGCTCCACAAAGAAGGAGGAGGTCTTTACAGAAGGATTAGAAGATGTTTGTGGTCGGGGTGAATACGCGCGCCTCACACTATTTCTTCGCTGTGTACATAGGGCTCCCGTATCGCTCATTCTCCTCAAGTCCAACGCATTTGCATTGTGCGATGTGGGTTGTATTTTGGCATGCATTTGCTGAGTCTTAACTGATTTTTTTGGTGGCCATTAAGTTAAACAATTTTATTTTATTCCTAGTTTTTATTTTGCTCAGGTATGGGGAAGGCTAAGAAAACCTGAGCTCATCTTCACTCGAAAATTTGTACACCACGATTCTATTAGGGCCATGTTTTTTTCGAGCTTAATACCGATCTTTAAAAATGAGACATTGATGAACTTTTATATGACTGTAATAAATATATCTTCGGCTCTATACCGTTCACGGGATCCTTAAACTTTGAGGGTTCATTAAATTTACAATTTTTACAATATTTATGTTTACGATTGTTTATCGGGCAGTTGTAGCGCAAAGCATTCGATTACGATATGTAAATGGATGCTGAAATTAATAGTTTATTGAAATTAACTCGAATTTTTAATCATAAGGGTCATTAAATTAAAGCTTTCGAGGCGTTAAACATATTGTAAAGTCCCAGAAGACTTTTCATCAGATTTTTTTCTTAGCATCCTTGTTTTTGTTGTTGTAAATATTGTAAAAAAGAACATTTTAAATAAATTTTAGGGGCTCGTCAAAATTTAGGGACCTCGCTATCGGTCTAGAACCATCCAGTCTATAATTTTTTTCTCGGCTTTCTCTAGTGAGTTATATAAAGTGAACCTAGCCATGATGGTCCCAAACTCGCACAGTTCTCTCCAACGAACCATAATACATCCTCTGCCACCCCAAAACGCACAAGTATTTTTTTTACCTTGAAATTTACGATTGTCCTTTTCCGTCGGGGGGGTGAAAGTAGACATTGATCGGCTCATCGAACCGCTTATCTTCTCTCGGTTTTCGGACCATCTAACATCCAGCAATAGTCTTGGATATCCGCTACCCACCAGCCTCGTGTTGTTGCCGAGCATCTTGTTGTCCGGTCCGGAACAATAATACCCCTACAATGAGCGCTGGACCAATTCGTCACAATTCTCATTCGACAAATTCGATGCCTCCAGCGGCGCGCAAGATCTCGTTGGTCGACTATCCGCTGGGTCGGAGAGGTACACGGATCAGCTTGTATCAGCTGTCACATGCCAAACAGGTTGGGACCTTTGGGCTTTGCTTGCGAGTTGTAGCTATAGTATAGTTTGGCTGATCAGGGTATATGGATCAAGAATACCTTGTTGATTGTTTCAGGTCGAACATCGGGAACTTAGTGACGATTTATTAGGCCGGAATTTTATTTACCCTTGATTTTGACGTATTTTTTAGTTACCCGATATTAGAATTGAAGGTCTCTGGGATACTTATTGGGTCTCCCACTTTGTATAGCTTAACTTCGAAGAGATACCCTTATTTTACATAGTTTACCACTTCTGTCTTTTTAAATGATCAGAAATCCGAACCTTTTTGCTCTCCAATTTTAAGATACCCTGGCTATCAGCCATGTTTAATAGTTTTCTACATTAGATTTTCCACAGCCTTCCGGCTCTACCATTAATGTGCGATATAGACATCTTTGAGTGCGGGGTACGGATTCCTTTTTGTCGCAGTCGCGATAGGCAGCCCGCCCGCGGCTCGAACGCTGTTATTAGGTCGGGTTCCATGACGCCCTAATAGGTCGAATGAAAAAGCGTCGGTTGCAGTTAACCAAGTACTAAAATCCGTAAAAATATATAGCTTAAATTAATCTGTAGCCTGGCCCACCCCGTTAAGGCGCGCGTTTAAGGAGTTGAACGTATGTGCCTAGTTACGAGGAGGGACGGGGGCTGAGAGACGCACTACGTCCTGAGCTTTTAAAGGGATCAGGAAGGACCGGGAAAATTAAGCATAAAGCCGGTTTTAGTTTCAAAATTAGCATAATTGGTCTCTGCTCCCTCGCTATCCCGTATTTTGGATTAGCATTTCCGGCCGGCAACTTGCCAATTGTAGGCGGGCCCTGAAATACGTCGGCCTTCCTTATCCCTTTAAGGCAAAGAATTATGCCAGAAGACGAGTGCAAGCGCTTGAGCTGTAATAATGTCCTCAGGCCAGCTTCTACTCTGCTTGCTGCGTTTACCTGCCCGCTAGAAGAATGGTTCTAGCGCTTTTCATCCCCATTGAGAAGTCCTACAAGGATTCGCCGGTTATCGAGGTAAGGGTACGGCCGTATCGCCAGACCAATGAATCAGCTGAAAGAATACCAAATCCGTTCACTGATCCCCGCCCACAAAACTGTCCAGATTACTACGGTAAACCGTCCACGTGACACTCATGCTCACGTACCACCTTCCCGCGCTGCCGCCGCCGCCATTAAACCACAATCACCACCGCCACCGATTTCCGGGGTAATGGGCGACGCGCGGGGTCGACGAGCGACAAGTGATCGAAATGTGAGACACATCTTGATCCCTCCCCCTATCACAATTCCACCCATAGATCTCGACGAACGGTCAGGGGGCAAACCAACTGGCTGGGGAAGGAAGGCACAGCGTCACTGTGCTCGCGGAAGACCGCTGATTTTGATCGTGGTTGGGGGGCAATGAGAGACTGCTGTTTGGATGGTGTCTGGGGGCTCCCAGTTGTCGACCAAACCCGAGAGGAGGCCTTGGTACTGAACCCGGGGTTTGGAAACAACGATCAGTGGCTGGACTGGAATTGAGACCGGATGTGGAATGGGTAATTTAATCGGGTGTGGGTGAGGGCTGCAAATTCGGAAGATAAGGCCAAAGAACGTACACGTAGGTGGTTGTGCACGGGTCTGAACTTGTCCAATCACATCGATGGACTTGGCCTAGGTTTTCTACGCGACCCAAGCTCTCTCTCTCTCACTCTCTCTCGCTTCCTCTCTCGCTCTCTCTCTCTCTCGCTGCTCTCCCCCCTACGCGTATGCGTAGTAACGCTTGAACGGGTACTTGAGGCAGCTCCTGAAGCTCCTCCTTCAGCCCCTTCTTACCTCACGAAGCTCCCAGAGCCGCCTAATCTATGCCAAGTAATAGTTGAGCACAAGATGTTAAAAGCTTAGGCTGAAATGCGACCAATTTTTGAGGCTTTGTAGCGGAAAAAGCTAACGGCCGCCTGAACTTGACGGTTATCGAGCAGAAGCTTAGAGCATAAGGGCACAAGGAGCCATCGAGAGCGCTGAGTTCGGACTCCAAAACGGGCCCTAAAGGTCTATCTAGTAGTTATAGAAAGTTCTTAGGTTTAAAGAACGTCCAACTCAGAGTTCAAGAGACCCGAGAAGTCAAGTCGCGGTCATACTGAGCATGAACGAATCAAAAACAATATCTCTCAATTAACAACGTATAGTAATATAGTGCGAAAACGAATAAGTCGACGATCTCTGAAAGCTTTCTTCAAATCCGCGCTTCCATAAGCAGCAGCCACCCGAGCCACCACCAGACCCGAGAATGGAAATACGCCCATCATCAAGACACGTGAACATCCCTGATCAACCGAAGCGAAGGATGAATGCTGGCAACATTTCCCACTGTCTGCCAACATTCTGCACCCATAGTTTCCTCTTCCTACCATCTTGTCTTCAAAAGAGAGCACTACGTAGCTAGATCAACGGGGGGTCGAGCCAAGGAGAACTCAAAGTCTGCAGAAACAGTCCCCCCATCCCCCCACATTCAGCTGCCCCATGCACGTGAACAATTTAGCCCTTTTCTCCACCATCACCTCCTTCTTTTACACAATCACAATCGGTGGCTACTTGTCTATTTTGGAGTCGCGTCAAATTTCGGGAATCCGGCGTGGGCGGGCGCGTGTAGTTGGCAAATTGTTGCACAACTTTGTTCATTGTCCTTAGGGTCAAGTCGGATTGAGTTGCCGTAATTTATTACCGGAACGATACTATTGACGTTTTTGGGTATTTGGGGGAGTTTGGGACGGGCCCTCGTGGCTCGAGCATTCGGGATAATGATCTATTTCTTATTTGCTCCTCTAGTCTAATTTTTTTCAATCGGTGGTATAAAATGAACCAATTTCGGCTCACCAAATTTTATCTCTTATTAAAGGTGTCTGGTTTTGCGACAAGAACAGTTATTTACATGCCGTTTTCTACTGACCGGCTCACTTAATTTTAGCGTTTATGGAAATTGTTCTGTCATGCGATAGGCATATCACCTTCAATTTTCCTGGTTCCAAAAATAACCCAACTTCTTTATAGCCCAACATTCTAGAACCAAATATATCCCACCAAAAAATTCGAATCCACAGATCCCACCCACCGACTAAATGTAATGGGGGCCTCCGTCATTCCCATGACCCACACTGCTATCTCAATCCACCGAAACAAAGCCTCCATCTCGACCACTGACTCGGGTTTCCGGGCTCGAATTGCGCAGCCTGGGATCTTCCCTTTTTTGGCGCATTTCCATCCTTTTTTGTTGTAACTTTTCCTTTCGATTACAGGCGCGCTTTCATCCTGCATTGGGATAATTGATGGATTGTCTTTCGAAAGTTGAACGTTACAGTTTCCAATGACTTTCACTTGTCTGGAATTTTACATTGTATAGTTTGCTATCCTGGGATCGCCTTTGAAAAGTATTTGCTTTTAAAGCCTGATTAATCAAACCCACAATCCACCAAAACTCTACTTCCATTTTTCATATATCATTTCCTTGTCCATTTCACTACCGTAAACGCCGATTTCTACAGTTCCACTCACCCATCCACACACCAAATGCTATTCCCATTCTGCCGAAAATCCTCGGATATAGTAGACCTGAAAGATGGTCTCCCCGGTGATGAAGCATTATCCAAGCAGAGTGAAGAGGTGTGCGTTGTGGCATTAAGCAAATAAGCGATCTAGTAAAAATTCAGAAACTTTGAAAAACTGAAATTGTCATTTCAGGACCGACGTGCCGAGCGTGTGCTATGGGCTGTCGCCTGCCTATCTGCGTTTTTCATATGCCTCGAGCTGGTTGGAGGGTATGTTATAAGAACTAATTAAGGAAAAAACTATGACTCAAAAATATAATTATATAGCTTGATTTTTAGCTACCTCGCCCACAGCCTGGCCATCATGTCTGATGCAGGACATATGGTTTCTGACCTCGTCTCATTCCTGATTTCGATCTGTGCTATTCGATGGGCTCGTGCGGCACGTAAGTCTGAGATTTTAATAACTATTGAACAATTAATTTTAGCCACTCGTCGTCTATCATTCGGATACGCGAGAGCCGAAGTGCTCGGAGCTTGCATGTCGCTGATTATCCTCTGGGTACGTTGCCATCCCCATCAATCGATCATCTGAATTAGATAATCACCGTCGTTCTCGTGATTTTTGCGGCACAGAGGATTATCGAGGGTAAATACGAGATTGAGGGCAACACTATGCTTTATACATGTTAGTTTATGAGCAGAATTTAATGGGATGCCATCAGCAGAACATTTAAACCGTTTAATTGTCAAATTTCAGCTGGAGCCGGGGTAATTTTCAACATCATTATGGCCACCATTCTTCAATGTGGCGGTCACGGGTAAGAATTTTCCAAATGCATTTTTGTCATCGAGTTTGCGGGAACTGATGAGTTCATACTGATTTTTTAGGCACACTCACCACGGAATGGCTCCTTCTCACTCGCATTCTCATTCTCATGCCCATGGTCATTCTCATGATGCTGAGACGTCTTCAGTCACCTCTCATGCCCAGAATGTGAACGTTCGAGCCGCTTTTATTCACGTCGTTGGCGATCTGATCCAATCATTTGGGGTTCTGATTTCTGCTGTCGTCGTTAAGGTAAGCGATCGTTTAGACCCAAATTTTCATGGCGCCATCTAAAGACATGTCACGGGATTTTCTTGCCAGAAAAATCAATTTTGTTGCTTAACGGAATTCTTACAGTACACCGACTATCAAATTGCCGATCCACTCTGCACATTCTTCTTCTCGATTATCGTTCTCTTCACATCGATCCCAGTATTGCGAGATATTGGAACGCTTCTGATGGAAGGTTGGTCCTTCAAAACATACGACATGTATTAGATTAATTTGATTATATTTTTGCAGAGCTATTAGATTAATCCATACATTATAACGCCTTATCCAGGAGTTCCGAAGCACGTCGATGTCACGGATATCACAAAGGATCTTCTTGGAATGCAGGGTGTCAAGGGTGTTCATGATCTTCACGTTTGGGCGTTGAATATGGAAAAGGTGGCGATGTCGGCCCATCTGGCTGTTGGTGAGTTCGAAAAATTTCTATTTGACTGGTCTATCTCACTAGTTAACGAGAAAACAAGTAGATTTTTGACCTAAATAATGACGTTTTTCCATTTTGAAAACAAAAATTTCCCAAAAACAGCTGCGCCAAACGCAAAAAGGGAAATGCGCTGTAAAATCTGCCCTTTTCCATGCCATCCACCATCCGATTGTAACATCTTTTTTTTCAGAATCGGCCGAACGTGCTGTCTACACGGCGGCTGATGCGCGGAGAATGCTGGCTAACAAATACCCGTTGCACTCGATTACCCTCCAAACGGAAGTTGCCGATAAGACAATGGACACATGCCAAAGTTGTCGGGAAGTCGTCTAAATGATGCCTCTGATCTAACGTTTTCCCTTTAATATTTGACCAGGATCTATTCGGCAGTAACGGGACCAAAGTATATTTGTTAATATTAAATCTAAGATGCAAAATTTTCGATCCAAAACTCAAGATTTATTCTGTATTCTTCAGCACTAAAATTAATTTCAAATTAGAATTTTGCTATTCCCGCCATTTTCCGTACCAAAACCATAAAAACCAGTCATTTCGAAGTTGATCGAGCTTCATTTCCAAACGTCCTAGGTTTTATCTTTCCCATTTTTGCCATAGCTTTAAAACTCAAAAGCTCCCCCCAATTTCTCAGCTTTCCCCCCGTCCGTTTTACTTTCTTTGTATCGCGTTAAAGTTCAACGATTCCCGTTCAATATTTCTGTGCAAAAACTGTACTCTCAAAGTGCTACCCCTCTCCCCGAAACAATTAACTCGATATGTTACCAAACGGGTGCCAAAGCCTTATCCTTCGCGACCCCCTCATCAACATTTTGTGCCTAATATTTTGTGATATAACTTTCACCCCGCTCCCAGACGAAATTCGCCTAGCGGCATCGGAATACGGTATTCGGAAGTTACGGCTTTTCATTGTGTATTGCAGATTCTACTTATGCGTATCATTGTGCTAATATTTTTTTGGTTTGACTGAATAAAACATCTATAACAACATTCAGTTTGTAGAAAACAGTCAAAAAACAAACAAAATGGAAGCCGATTTTCAGCTAAATGCTAAAAAGCAACAGGTAAAAAGCGGTTAGCCGCATAGGGGGCTCGAACCCCTGACATTCAGATTAAAAGTCTGACGCTCTACCAACTGAGCTAATGCGGCACTGGGGGAATGGTGGAGAGGATTGGGACAAGGGGAAACAGTGGTATTGCCGGGGCGTGCTAGCAGCGATGCAAGTCATCCATCGGGTATCCTACGTGTTTAGGATACCTGGTTTCTAGTGGGTATCTGATACCACATCCTATTTCATGAAAAACAGTTCATATTTCCATGGATAATGTGCATAAAGGGAGTCGACGACCAAAATGTTAGAGCGCTTTTAAGGGTATCTAAGCGTCATCCAGGTGGTGGAATAGCGGGCGCTTATTCAGATTTTCGTGAAATACATTGATTTTAACGCTGTAGAAACATAGTTGAATACCGGAGCTATGTGCTATAATCATTTAGAAACGGTTTTCCAGTATCTTAATGTTATATCTTTTCCAATTTATGTATAGGCCTCCAACCTATCACCCTTTGATATCGCCGCAGCTTTAAATGAATAATACGTTTATTATACTAACTATCTGAAAGGAGGTGCAAGGACAACAAGCTTCCGCTCACCCCGATCGTATTACAATTATGAGTGATGGGAAATTGTTTTAATTAATTGGAGGACACGATAAATAGATAGTTTAAAGTGCTGAGGCTTCGCTAGAAGATAACCCCCGCCACGAGATTGCTGAATTTTCGTTGCTTTTTACGTCCGAAATTACTCATCGGGATTTGTAATCTTCTAACCAGCCCTTAAATATTGAGATAATGTTGAAAACAAAGCCAATCAATAAAGAAATTGCAAAAATCAAATTGGTAGCTAATCTGGCAAGTCGGATCATATAGAAGAGATGGCACTACATTGGCATCGGGGGCTATTTTTGAAAGAAAAACGGAGCAGGACGCATATATATACACCAAGCGAACGAAGGGACGGCGCGAAAAGACATCAAGATAATACGCAAAATTTCAAAATAGTTATGCTTGTGAGGAGAAATCACGTGGAATCACAACAAGTTCATGAAGACGCATTTTAAAGCGAAATGTCGATGGGAAAAGACTTTTAGGAATGCGTGGGGGGGGGGGTAAGGTCAAATTCGACGATATTTAGCGATGGCCTTCTTTCAAAAGAGAGTTGAGGATTTGGAGGGGTCGTGTTAATTGAATTTCGATCCAGCAGGGAGTATCCTGAAAATTTATTTATGTTTACGCGAGGTTAAAAAATGGAGAACATTTTCTGTGCACTTCAAGAATGGGTTGTGCAACTCATTTTAATCGTAAAACCCCAAAAATGAGCTTCGTAAAGGAGCTCGTATGCAGATGCGTAAGTTCAATTTATTTGCTTTTTAAAAACGTTATAATAAGCTGTAAAGTGAAATGTATAAGTATTACCTTAATGCTAGCTCGACTGTAGTTACCGCCTCCCCATCCCTTGACGAACGAGACGCCGACAGAACAGTAGGCCCGTTGCAACTCATCAGCCCCAGCCGAAACCTCGCCGAATGAGACGTGACCCATCTGGAAAAAATATTATTAACCATTATAGCCCTCTCTTCTTACCGGGGTGGGGGCTGTGTGATAACCAGCCACTGCAGCAGCCTGTTGCACTACCGCGTTACGTTCCGTGCGCATTTGGTCCGACATTTTTTGATAGGCCCAGCGGAGATCGAATAACTGAAATCGTTCATAAGCTTATTTTGGTACCATTAAATCCCATACCTTTACTTGCCCCGTGGCCGCTGTCAATTTATGGCCCTTTGAGTTCATTGGAAGACCCTCACAATAATCTAGATATGGCGAACGGACGAATACCTAAAAAGTTTTTATTCGAATTTAAGAAAAAACTTACTGATTTCCACGACTGTACTACCATATACAGCTCCTCATCCTTTGTCCAGATTAATTTAACGCCGTTGCCAATGTGAGGTCTGGAAATGTTACCTATTTTTAGAAATTACAAGTTGCTAAAGGCAAAAAATAAGTCTATGCGAAGATATATATGCAAATGAATTGCCATTTTTTGCGCTTAAGATTCGCTACCTTGCTTTCTCCGACGCCTCAGTCCTATGAACATTCGACAAGGCTCCCAAGCAGAATCGCCCGTTCCTCTCGCCTTGTGGATCCATCCCGCCATCAACGTTGACTTCAGTGCGCTCGGATGACCACTAAAAATGTCATTATATTTACGCCAGGCCAACGCAAACCTTGAAAGGATCTCCAATTTGCGTGTCCATCTCATAATAGCTGATATAAGCCCAGTTTGGTGGGAAGCTATTAACGATGATGGGCGGGATTCGGATGGTTGTGAAGTCGCAGGCAATAACTACAGTTTTTGTTATTATATTATAGGTTTCAGATAGCTATTACCAGCCGGTTCAACCGGTCTCGGTGCTTGTGTGATGGGCATTGGGTGGTAGGGTTGGACGTAATTTTGGGCGACTAAAAGTAGAGAAATTTTTAGGCGATTTTGAGGAAATACCTGTCCATTCTGTATATGGAGCATCGGTTGCATCCATGGGAATCGGAGCTTGCTGGGGGTTGGCTAAAAAAATAGCTTCTATCCAGAATATTACATCGAAATCTGGTTTGTTAAGACTATTTTAAGATCTGAATGACCTACAGGGCTGTCGTACATATTGCTGGCTGGGTGCCGGTGCGGTAAACTGCTGGGTAATCGCCGAATCGATCCTCATTGTAGAATCTGAATAGCAAAGTTTTTTTAAACGTTTTTTTCCTGGCGACAGGAAGCAATGAGAAGTGAATGGCGATTGCAAAAGGTGGAAAGCCAAATTTTCACGGACATCCGGGGAACTGGAGTTTGATGAGGTTCAGCGGGGTAATGCCGAATTCTTCGTCAGTGGGACTCTGGGCGCCTAGGTGAGTAGGTAGCTGCTGCGTATTTTGATGATTTATTTCTGCTATTTGGAGAGTAATTTGCATTTTGGATAATAAGGGTTGCCCTAAAAAGTATCCCCCTAGCGGTCTATGGAAAAGCTCGATTGCCATGATTTTATGGCGTTTAAATGCTCTCGAAAATGCAAGAAAACAAGTGGGTTCAAGTTTGTGAATTTAATTAAATAGGGTATTTGTTGGTGATTCACTATTAAACGTTTTCCTAAAAAAAAGCGACTGATCAGCCGGTATTTTCCATTGTAAACCTTGTTTTAACCTTTGCCCTCCGAAGATAAAAAAATTCGGCATTAAAATATACAATACTCAACAATACACGGGTGTTTTCTCGCATTTCGAAAGCTTTCGAAAGACATTTAATGCCTAAAAATTTGGCACTTTGCTGCACCGCTAGAGGAAGATCCTTGTTTTTGGATAACAAGTTTACCCGATTTTGAACCGGAACTGCAAAAGATCCTTACCGTATGGATGGCCAACGACACGCTCGTAGTGATACGGGTTGACGCAGATGTAATCCTGCAAATGTCCTCTATTTATAAGCCCGGAATCGAGCCACCCAAAATGGGATAGTTTTTAAGAGGGTGGCGATGAAGAGGATGAAGGCAATCAACCCCGCCGCCACGCACAAGATGACAAATTGAGCGGCGCCCATATTTCAGTTTCACACCATCCCGGAGATTTGTGGGCGACGGGAGATTGTCAGTGAGAAGGAGCCACAAATCAGCCGCAGCTCTTTTTCGTTTATGGTTTTGGATGATAATCGGTCATATTTAGATGGATTGGGCGGCCTCGAGTCGGCCCCCGCGGCCGGCTTCTGACCCTGATCCGAAGCCGGTCGGGAGGAGCCGATCGGTAATTAATTGTTTTTGCTTGCGGATGGGGGAGTCTCTAACGATGAAGCGACATCGTGGGATTGGGAAAAGTGTTTTTAGGGCATCTATATTTGAGCGCATGTTCGAGGAACTTGCGTGGATTTAGAAAGCGCTGTATTGCCAGGTGGGTTTTACTATTATAGTAAGGATACATTTTTTGCAGATATGATGGACAAATTATGTGAAATTTTCGCATATTAAGGCAGTTATAAAGCTTTAAATCGACGGTTCAGTCGCCTATTTTGAATTTTTTCTTTAAGCCAATCGTTTGGCAGATTCCATTGGGGAAGTCAGAATCAGATAAAATTTGTATTCTCACTGAAACGGCTTCTTGAATTTTTTGGTTGTGGCACTTTAGTATGCCCATTTCCTATATGCCTCTATTGAGTTAAAATATTGTTAAGTTGATCTTTGAAACGCTCCGAGGCTCCCACCTGATTGTCCACCATGACCTGGCACATCGGAAGCTTTTGAAGTTCCGACTTCGAGACGTTTTGCCACCGCCAAATGCGTGCGTAGACGACGTGTGGCACCCCTTTACGTCCCGCAACTTGTAGACGACCATCTAGCGACCGTGCTATTGTCACACATGTTGTCGGCGTTTTGCCATTTGAGGTAATCTAAAGACCACGATAATTCTTTAAATGCTTAACAGCAAAAATTAATATCCTAGATATTTACCGCGGTGATCAAGTTGTCAAGTTCCTGTCTCCGGTCTTTCAGCTTCTTCACCAAACTTTCAATGGCTTTTCGGGTATACTCGTTGTCTTCACCGCCCTGAAAACCTGGTTAAATTAAAACTTCATAGGGGCTTAGGCTTAGGCTTAGGCTTAGGCTTAGGCTTAGGCTTAGGCTTAGGCTTAGGCTTAGGCTTAGGCTTAGGCTTAGGCTTAGGCTTAGGCTTAGGCTTAGGCTTAAATTGGGCTCAGGCTTAGGCTTAGGCTTAGGTTGGGCTTAGGCTTAGGCTTAGGCTTAGGCTTAGGCTTAGGCTTAGGCTTAGGCTTAGGCTTAGGCTTAGGCTTAGGCTTAGGCTTAGGCTTAGGCTTAGGCTTAGGCTTAAATTGGGCTCAGGCTTAGGCTTAGGCTTAGGTTGGGCTTAGGCTTAGGCTTAGGCTTAGGCTTAGGTTAGGCTTAGGTTAGGCTTAGGCTTAGGCTTAGGCTTAGGTTGGGCTTCGGCTTCGGCTTAGGCTTAGGCTTAGGTTCGGCTTCGGCTTAGGCTTAGGCTTAGGCTTAGGTTAGGCTTAGGCTTAGGCTTAGGCTTAGGTTGGGTTTAGGCTTAGGCTTAGGCTTAGGCTTAGGCTTAGGGCTTAGGCTTATTTAATTTACTGATTTCTCCTTCACCTACCGTATCATAATAGATGAGGCAATTGATAATGTTGTTGACAGGATCGGTGGCTTTTGCTGATGGGATGTGAGGATGTGGCGGGGTGGTGACGAACATTGGCGGCACATTTGCACGAGGGACCATGGTGCCGTGATGGCTACTTGAGGGTTCGTCTTGCGTCTGGGCTTCCTAAAACCAATAATTTATGCCATTTTGGCAAAAAAGTAAATTAGATGCTTTCTTCAGGTATGTGACCAATTTTTCTACCGGTATAGATTGTGTTTGTTAATTTAAGATAGCCGTACAGCCAGTGACAAACCCCAAAAACTTACATAATGTTGATTTAACCGCACCATGGCCATCGGATGTGGATAGTGGCCGTCTGGGCTATACATACCCTGTGTTATGGCTGGGTAGCCAGGGACGTAACCCTTAAAAATTCTTTGTTATTCGGAGGTTACAAACAAACAATATCGATAGCTATTGACTTTTAACACGATTTTTTTCAAGTCTGAAACCGAGGCACAACCGACGTACCGTAATTTGCTGTGCGGTGTGAATAGGGGCATAGTTGTGCAGGGGATTTTGGGTGTATGCGGGGTTATGTGGCCCTCCGGAAGAAGCCACCACTCCCCCATCGCCCATCATCTCCCAGCCTGAAAAGGGTTTAGCGGTGAGCATGAGCATCAGAAATTCGGGCTCTTTGGAAAATCAGACGCTTCAAGCTCGTACGATTGCATTCGGGTATTTTCAATGTGGCCATTCGGATTTTACGCATTCCAATTTTAAATTTTTAGAGGTCGGTGTAGATTAAAATTATGAGAATCTCAAACCGTGTATTTTTAACATTTGAAAGCAAAACACTTGAAAATGTCCAGCAAACTTCAAGAACCTACCTAATTTTCCTTTTAAGAAAAAAATACTGCTTTCATTTCTCGGTGCTATGAAGTTTCAATCCTGTTTCTAGGTTTTTTTGCGAAAGATATTCTACAAATTGTCTTGAAAAATACTGGTAACTTACTAAAAATATGTTTAATAAAAATCCTCACCTTTGTCGTCGAAAAACGGTTGCGCTGGCGGACCGTCAACAGCTGGCTGTGTGATGAAATATGTGGCGAATTCTGTAAAAAAACTCCGGAATTAAAACCCAACGACCAATGGCGGTAATTTGTAATGATTATTATCTAAAAGGCCTTGGCAATCGTAAGGGCCGGTGGAAGAAATGGGCGCTTTGCCTCGGGAAGCCCATAAAGAACAGTGGAGGACCACCATACTGGTGCTAGCAAAAGGAAGAAGGGCACTGGAATGGCGATTCAAATTCTCAAGGCCATTCCTCCCTTCCGGATGCTTACGGTTCGGTAGGTAGCATTTGGAACCAAGCAGTTACAACATACGGGATTCCTTATGGCAACCAGGCTCAAAATGAGTTTTTTTAGGCAATGCTACAGCTTTGTAAGGTGACGTAGCTTATTTGATAGTGCTTCAATAAATAAACATAATTTTCAAGAAAAAAACTGCTTGATTATGAAGGTGTTTGAAGAAATTTTCTTTGAAAGGACCGATTTCGCCTACTTTTAGCTGGAACAAAACGCATCTTGCGAAGATTTTTCTCGAATATCGTTATCGTTCAAAAGTTTTTGAATAAGGTGACTGATTAAAAATTAATCCTTTCAAAATCACTCTTTAATAGAGAAATGTTCCAGTAGCCTGCAAACGACTCTTTGTCCACTACTATGCTAATTCCGGAGTTTCAAAAAGAACCTGTAAATGCCACTTTGCAGAATTTCTGTATTTCCGGTCACCAAATTTCCGGTCGAAGCTTTACGTTAGCAGAAAAGAGCAGAGTTTTGGAGCGTCATTACGGAAATGAGTCCGCCGTCTTTAATTAATAATTAAGCTCTGAAAAACCCTAAAGTTATGACGCTTTTGGCGTCATCTGAGGGACTGGAAGTTACTGGTATTTCCAGGGGGCTAGGCTTAACAGAATCATCGAAAATTCTTAACACCGAAATTATGCCCAACCGGAGACCTCTTTAAGAAAACGATAAATGTAATTTGCAGGTTCAAAGTCTCTAATGATCAATAAAAAAGCGGAAGCACTCGAAAATGATATACGCACTGATTCGCTCAAATTCTGTTGAAAATTCTATAAAACCCCTTGAATAGTCGGAAACTACCAAAGAAGGCTGAAACTGAAACTTTAACCAAATCCTCGAAACACTGACTCATATTTTCGCCACCACGCATTGTCTGTAGTCAAATTCAGCTCGCGGTCAAATGGAAAGCCATTGAATATTATAGTGAATTAAGCCCAGAGCAGAGGCCTTCTTCACGCCCCCTTCCGACTCGATCCTATATAGGGTCTCGCTACAACCAGCCTCCCCCTCGGCTTCCGGGGAAATTTGACAGATGGTCAGTCGGTGTCCCTCAAAGCATTCTCCCAACACTCGGCCACATTTTTCACAAGCCCCACCCCGCATGACAGGTATTTTCACACCCGATACCGTACCCGGGGAAAAGAGCGGGGAAAGAATGAGAAGAAGGTGGAGACGCAATTTGATGCGTGCGATTGATTGATAGGTAGATGCTAATTGGTGTCCAGTCCTTACTGACAGATGATCGTGTCGGGGTGCGTGGGAAAATGTTTTTTTTTTGCTTATTCATGATGGGGACCGGAAAGGGTTGAGATCGGATATGCCTAGATTGGGAGGGATACAGTAATCGTATATTATAGGCATTCAAAAGCTTAAAAAACATTGAGAGCTTAATTTACACGATCCGGGGGGTCGAAAAATTTTAAGCGTTTTTATTACAGCCCTTAATTATCGCATAAGCATTTTATATTGCATCATTACCGGCTTTAACAAAAATTCGTTAGTTTATTTATGCGGCTCTCTCGAATGACATTCAAATTCCCGAAAAATCGTGTGAAAACATTGAAAATTAGGTGGCGGACCCAAATCCTTACCGAAAAAGCTAAATTCGTTTTTAATGAAATTCGTACAAAGTTTTACAAGCAGGGATTAGATAAAAAATCTGCCTAAAAATAATTTTTTAATTAATATTATAATTTTAATGCAAAAACATCTGCCGCTTACCCGTGCCACACACCTCCGCCTCACTACCAGAAACAAGGCGCATTTTGGGCGCTGAATGGAATAAATAGTTCTGAATGACTATAATAGCCCTCGGGCGATATTGAGAGAAGGGGGTAGGTATGGATGGTGAAGGTAAGTGCTACGATGAGCTTTGTCCAATTAAACGCCACCCCTTCTACTACCCTTCCTCCCCTCGTTAGACGATTATACCCTCCCGACCCGGCTCCCCGACGGCGCTCTGCTTCCTCCAAATCTCCGGTCTCAAATTGCAACCACCCCTGATTCTACCTAGCACTCCCCCCATCCTATAATTACCGTAATCGTCTCGAATTTCTGGCTCGACGCAACATTGCAGGGTATGGATAGGCAAATTATGAAGGTGGATTGACCTTTAAATTGATCTTCGAGCCTTAGAATAATTTTTTTGGGCGAATTAATGTTTTAAAAATCAGAATTTTGAAACGTTGTCATTGCTATTTATTGTCCGTATGAATTTTTCTATTGGTAAGTGGACGCAAACTTTGCGCAATTTTAATTTTCGAGCAACTGCTTTTAGAGGCCTTTCCGTAAATACGGCTTTTTAAAAATGGTTTTCGAGAACCTGAATCGAAATCGTTTCCCCCTTGCAGAATCCAACTTTTTCTTGACACCCAAAATTCGTAATTTCATTGCCACTCCCCCAATTTCAACGCATTGCCTAATGCGATACTTTATAGCCGACCCATACGTGCTTCCTCCCCCTCCCCCCACCCCACCCCATCCGAGTCCGACTCATCATTCAGCACCACGGGTTTTTGAAAATTTCTGCCTAGCGGTTTTGGGCAGGTCGTAAATTTCGAAAGGGAGAGCCGGGAGCTTCCGGATGGAGCTCTATCGCCAGATAATGAAGATAGATCGCGGGGCGGGGCTTTAGGGAAATTTATGGTAGCACGGTGTGGGCTGCAAAAATTTTGCGGGCTTTTGCAAAATATTGAAGGTGTTTTGCAAACTTTGGCGAATGAAAGATTGTTCGATGAAATTAAACACAAGGCTAAGTTTTTAAATGTAAAACAATCAATTTTGAGTTTCCATTACCTTTACGGGGCGCTGCAAAGGCCTGAATTAACGGCGACATAGTTGAAATTTCCGAACGACTACTGCTGCTCTTTTCCAAAACACTGATAGGGCCAGTAAACTGAAGGCCGAGACCGGAAATGATGCGTGGGCAATCAAATAGTGGTAGTGATAACAAAAAAAAAGGGGCACGGAGCTGGGAAATTACTTTAGGAAATAAATTGTGGTACCTTTTTTGGGTGGAGGAGGAGGAGGTGGTGGAGGAGGGTCCATGAAAGTATAGAGAGCTAAGGGGAAGTGGTGGATTTTGGAAATGTTTTTGACTGAATCACTCATTTCTTAGCTTAGTCAGTGAATGTGGGTGGGTGGGATGTGCTGTTTTTGGGTTGTTTGAGATAAGAAGGTGCTAAGTTGAGACAATTGGGACACTGCAGGGGGTCGGGATGCAAATTAACAGAAGTGAGCTTCAGCAAATTTGGTTTGTAATTACTCTGAATTCCTTAGTTTTTCACTGAATGTAAGGTCCGCGTAATTAATAAATAAATTTCATATAAAAACTTATCCTAGCACAAATGTAAGTATTTAAATTTGAAAACAATTATATTAAATCAATAAATTAAATATCAATGCATATCCTATCAAAATTGTATTTTGGATCCAAAAACAACTAAGGTAAATAAATTAATAAATGTCAAAACTAGTCCTATCAAAATTGTATTTAGGATCCAAAAGCAATTAAATTAATTAGCTGAGTTAAATAGCAAAACCTATCCTATCAAAGTGGTATTGTTAAATTAAACTAGCTCTGTTTATGCAGTTTGTCGTACTGTCAAAGGGTGCGCGGTTTGGTTGTATCAACTTTTCTGATCAAGGAAATACAGTACCCCAGCCAAATCTACCTACCCAAATCCTCTTCCCGTATAAAAAACGGCAGCATCCCAATCACAACGACCCACACGACCCGTTCCGCCGGGAGCCCTCAGTTTTCGTGAAGCCCACGCCGAATTCGACAGTTTCCAGCCCCGATTTTTGCCGCGACCGCAGCGCCTTCCCCCTCCCGCGCCCATGATGATTCAATGGCAATAATCTGGCCGTGGCGCGAAGTAAAAACAAAAATTCGCCCCTTCAACATGGGCCGCGAGGACGGCTACCGGCAACCATCGATTTCATCCACAAATTTTAGGAAATGAGCGGATTGAGAAAAAGAGATTGTTCGTCAGGAGGGGTTCGGAATGTTGAAATCATTTTGAAGTTACGATAAGCGAACGGTTCGGACGAGTTTCATCAAATGTTATGAGAATGAGATAAGTATGCGAAAGAGGAAGAAGAAAAAAATAATAGCGTTATTGGAACTTTGATACTGAGAGTTCTGCACGTTGGAATTTACATGGTTTTCGTTTTTCGAACACGTTCGCCATTTTTTGGAAAAAGACGATTAACAAAAATTTGAATATATGAAAGATCTATTTAAAAATTGTGGAACTGACAGCACAAACAAGCTTTTTGAGCATTTTAATTATTGTAAAAGAAGGTCCATGAATATTGCCACTTTGTAGTGTAGCTGTCAAAACTCAAGAATTGCGATTAGAACATAGGAAAATCTTCTGTTTCACAACTAAGATGGTATCTCTAGGAATCTCCTGACACTCAGGAATAGGCGATGAGGATGAGGGAAAATGATGACTAGGTCTGTGAATATTTGGGGCAGACGTCGTTTCGCCTAAGCGCCAAGGGACCCACGTTTTTACAGGGTCGATCAGATATGCGGGGCGGGGGATGGGGGGGGTTCTATGCGGTACGAGGTGTAAATTCGTTCGCCTGAAAAACATCGAGAGGTTTTTTGGGGCACTGAAACTGAAAATTATGAGCGCTAGACCTAATATTCAAATTTTTCGGGGAAAGCGCAGCGGTCGGAGGAAGAAACAATTCAATAGTAGGAACTGCCTATGCGGCGTGCTGTACACCTACTAACATAAGTAAAGGTATTACAGTCGGTTTTTTCTCAGTGCCAAGACCTTCGGAAATGTCCGTTAACATTACTAGGACGTACGAATTACGACAAAAACTATGCAAGGCTATAGGACAAGCTAGACTCTGGCGCCTTTGAATTATGTGGATTTGTGGGTTTTTGCATTTGACATTATATCTATCGATACGCCGAGGCAAACCTATGTTATCAGGGCAACCAAAATTCATATAAAAATTTCAGAGCACTATATAAAAAAGGGAATTTGACGAGATACAATAGTGTCTAATCCTATCCTCTCCCAGCCTCAAGTTGCAATAGCTGTTTCCGAGAAATAGGTTGGGCTCTCGATCGCGATTAGATGAAATCTACAGGGGCGGGTTCGTTTGTGGTTTAAGGGTGTCCCAGAAGAAAATAGAAGATCTGGATCAAGTTTCAACAATCCGAGGAATTAGGTAAAAAAATGCAAATAAAACAGTACTAATTTTCTGAATAAAACATTTTCTGTTAACATTGATTAAATTGAGGAATTTAGACATTTTTAACGGCTTGAAAGGACAAGCATACCGTGCCAACGCACGGTATGCCATTTTTAATAGGGCTTTTTTCTTTTTAAATTTCATTTTGGCAAATTTTCTTCGTGAGGGGTCTATGTATTTTGCAATAAAACGATGGAAGCGTAGTTGTATTTGAGAGGGGAACGCAGATTACAGGAAATAGACAACTACAAAATTTAAGTCTTGGATACCCTTGACGTCCCAAACCTTGAAATCCCCGCTTACTAACCAGCTGAGTTCGAGCCGGCGCAAAACGTTGTTGAATAGATGGTGGGTGGCTGTTCGAAGCAGGGGTCGGGGTGGTTGGTTTTGTTGGGGGGATCTATCACCCGACCAAATGGGCGGGTGCTTCTCCCGAGGGGCTTCAGCTCATCATAAACACACAATCCGACGAGCCATCGCTCATTGTATTAGCAAGCAGTCAGTCCGCAGACCGCCCATCGTGATCGATGCCTATATCCATTTCAGTGTCCCTTTCTTATCTGGACGGATCACCTAACCCTTGATGTGAGACGGTTTTTGTGATGGGAAGCTGTGGGTTTAAAGGTATTGTGTCGGTAAGGGACGCTGCGGGTAAGAGATGTTTTTATGGTGTACGCTTGCGTGTTCAACCGAACAATTTGTCGAGAAAAGAGTGAGAAAAAGATAGGGAGCAAGAGAAAGCTATGGAGAGCGAGTGAGAGGGAGTGAGAGAGAAAAAATGCGAATGCGAGAACCTATGTCCTGCAATTCTAATTTTCTGATCCAGAACTACCATTTGATGAGCACACTTAAGCAAACGCTTGGATCCGTGACCCTATTAAATCCACACGCTGAAGTAAAGGGAGCAACAGAAATTATAGCCCGTATTAAACTATGAATTAGCTTTTCGAGAACCAGATAAGGGAACTCTCAAACAGCTCGGCATGCATATGACAGTGCCGCCATGCGTCCCCTTCGAAATGGACGGTACTTTCAGCCCCTGGCACCGATCCGACCTTTTCGCCCCCGGCCGTCGCCCCCTCCGCGATGCCAACCAAATGTCAACTCTACGATTCACGATAAAACAGGAGTGGGCCGCCATTGTTGGTCATATATACAATATATTAGCATCGCTAGCTAAGTGTTAGGGTAGCAATAGGACAAAAATTTACGGATCGTCTTGCCTTCTAATGGGCTGTTTACTCCCATTAATTTAAATAAGTGCCCGAATTTCAGAGTTTGTTCTCGATGGAAGTAGACTAAGGATAGACAATTAATTTGATATCTATTACCCTTAATGGTCTATAGATATCTTCTTTTGGCCTTTCCACCTTCCCTCCATTTCCTAAATTTGGTCTGCTCATCGAATGCGCCACAAAACCGAAAAGACTCTTTTTCCGACCAGCCCAACGACTGCGGATGACGGATGACTATTTGAACAGTGTGTGTGGGGGTATGCCTTTCGCTTCTTTTTCGTCATTATCACTATTATCATCTTCCCTCTTC